GGGGGGGGGGCCTCCCGCCCTGAGCCCTGGAACATATATATGATATATATATTTGTGTCAAGAACAAACACGTACCTTAATCAGTTCGCTGGTCCTCTTGTTGAACACCGTCTAGTCCAGTCATCATATATTTGTGTCAACCATAAACAGAATCATCCACTTTGATAAGAAAAAATGCAACCGCGTACGCGCGAAGACAGGCACTTCTGGAGGCACAAGGAGAATGTGGAGCGGGAGAGATTGAGGAATCGGACGGGTGGATTTTTTCGATACGAGGATAACGCAGATCCGATTGCACAGGAGAAGTCATGCCCGGCTTACATCGCAGAAAAAGACCGTCATGACGTCCGGGACATGGCGGACAAATTTCTGGCCGAGCGGCAGCTGCAGGAGGATAAGAAGAATCTTGTAACTGAAATTCATAGGGAAGCGCACCTGAAGCGGGAATCTGATCGATGGGAGGCGATCGATTACAAGGAGCGTGCCGAAGCAGAGAGGCAGCGGCGGCTTATCGATGACCCCCTCATAGGCAAGAAAAACGTCTCCGGAGTTCCCTTCGATATCGTGAATCTCGAGTACAACTTAACCTTCATCTTAAGTACAACAAGACTTTTCAAATTCAAATTCAATTACTCCCAAACGGGTGTTTACTTACAACTTACTTTTTCACGCTCATTTGTTTTTGAAGTGTGACTGTGATCGGCATCAGCCTGATAGATGTGATATTATTTTTTACCTAGAAGTTCCTTCTATTTCTATAATTATTGATGGTAAAAACCATCGCAGGTACGAAAACACATGGGAAGGGCGAAAGTTGAGGCACGATGACGAAATGACAAGGTATCGGGGTGATTTGCGAAAAGCAAATTTGGCGTATCGTGGGCACCTCGGTTTCAATCCGATACTTATGACAGGGATTTCTTTGTCCTCAAAGAGTAGGGTTGTGGCGTTTATTTTTTCATATGACAACGGCATAGAGGGCATGCGTGAAATGCCTTGATAGTCGATTAGATTGAGGCTCGATGTTATCCATTTGGCCAATTTTTTCCTGCGGTTTCCTGTTCATATATCTCGGTGAGCAGACACACGGCATTTCCCAACCGATAAAGCCAGACGCCTTCACCGAGCAGAAGCCAGCTGGTTTCGTCGCAAAGACCTCACAGTTAGGGTAGTGGACAGCGTCGATGTTGCCTTGAGGTGTTGCGGAGATGAAGATTTATTTACTTATGCTGAGCTGTAATGTGAATGTGATCATGATTTTGACAAAGATAACGTTCCACTGCTAGTAAAATTCTACCTCTATAAATATGTCTATCATGCAAAAATCCAACGATTAAGAGTGGTATCTTCCACTTCCACCTTTGGTAAAACAAGAAAGATTCTCTGTTTTGATCTAAAAATAACGATAAGTTGACTCTCTTCAGAGAATATTATGCTAGTGTCCAGGGCGCTACGAGAGCAAACCGCCTTTGATTTGCAAGTACAAGATCGCTTGATCTCTTGAAAGAGAGCGAGAGAGGACGTAATTTTATAGAACGAGGACGAAAGGCAAAGGTGGAATCCGCATCAGTGTTCTTCTTATGCTGGTTGTCGGTGACGTGAACCTCATAATTCCAGAGAGTAGCCACACTTTCACAGAGATGATCCATGTTCTGAGAGATAACCACATGAGATCATCCTCATCTGTTGCGTGTGATTTGCTGACTATATATTGTTCAAGTCTGTATGAGAAAATGAAATTTTCTGTTCCGGGCATGTTAAGAGGTGAGTGAAGTCCAAGTGTGGGGGTTCACCTTATCTGTCCAATGAGTGAATGAGGAATTATGTGGGACATACAGCTTCTGTTGAGTGATGTTGGTTAATAGGTGAGCAGATTGAAAAGTAGAAGATGGCTCAGTATTTTAGGATCTGTTGAGAGAGAAGATTTCGGTCACTGCAAGACGGAGGATGCCGACGTGGAGAATCAAGATGAGAGGTGGCTCATCCGCTGTAATTGATGATGTTTCGCGACGATCATTCTCATTGCGATCAACATCCATAGCTTTGACCCAGCTTCACAAGTAGTTGTTCTCCTTGTTTTCTCCTTCGCTCTCAACAGCTTTTTCCCCACTCCTTCTTGCGGTCGATCCGGCCGTTTTCCTTGGTAAACACATAGATCAAAGAAGAAGTCAGTGATACTGAAGATAACTCAACGACCGCTGATTCATCTCGTTGGTTCGAAGGATTCAAAGAATTCGTAACTTTGTTTTGATTCACTTTTAGAAGTCTTATTAATTATAGTTTTCCATTTCTTGAGAGCACGTAGGTGTTCTCGAACATTATAATGCTGATGTCGGGTTTTCAACCGCCGGAGAGGCGGCCGTTGCAAACCACAATGCTGCCGCAGTTCCAGTTTGGTGGTGAGAGTCTGGCTCTGCGTGTGATGTATGGCGGCAACCTGGGAAAATTTTTGGCTGAGGTCCCACTGTTCAAGAGCATGTCCCCGGCAGATCTTTCCCAATTGGCGCAAAACATGGAAATTAAGACTTACCAACCGGGTACGCCAATTTTCAGCTTGGGCGACCTTGGTGACTGCTTCTATGTTGTTTTGCAGGGTGAAGCAGAAGTCCGGGTTCCCGACCAGACCTGGCTCAAGGTGGGCCAAGAAGCACAGTTGGCTGTACCAACCAAGATTGCGGGCCAAGTTTACCCAAAAGGTACCTTTCCGCTTAGCTCCGCATCAATACATATCAACACTAGAAGAGGAAGAACTAGAAGTACTGTATGCTCATTATACTTACATACACAAATGTAGCTAGTCGTACAACACGGTGTACGAGACCTTGCAGTTCCGCGGCTGTCTTTTTTCAGGCGATACTAGAGCTATTATATATAAGTAGTTAAAAAGATATAATTCGCGTTGATAATCGCCGCGATGATCAGATTCCGGAGTGGTCCTTGGCTTCTTGATGGAGCCACCGCTTTTGATTTTCTATCTCAATATTCATCTTATTCTTCACAATGCTTGATCAAACAATCTGTTTCAGGAACCAAGGGTGTAGTAGACAAATATGAAGGAAAGCGTGGATACCCTTACACCTTCCGAACGCAAGATAACATGCGCGGCCGTGTGGCTGAGCATGAGTTGGGGCCAATCGATGGCGCTCCACCGCACGCAGAAAAGTTCATCGCGCTTCTCAGGTAATTTACCCTTTCTACGGGGACTTGTTCGCACTTATTACTAGGAGATGACGGCGCGATTATGTCGTCCTTTGCTCGTTCGAGAAGAATAAACGACGCGGCCTACAAACCACATATTATGTTCATGGAAGCAAAAGCATAAAGGTAAAAATATCATCATGATGACTCACTTCTTCGAGCTTTTTTTTACATCGATTTCAACACCAGACCCGGAGACTATGTCGGTGAGCAGGCAATCCTGAAGAGCGCCTACCGGAACGCGACCGTGAAGGCCTACGTGCCTAAGGATGGCAAGCCAGCAAAAAGCCTGGTCTGCGGAGTGTTGACGAAGGCGGCCTTCGTTGCCATGGACCTGAACCACAAGTTGGTCTTTCCCAGGCGCAAGGCCGTGCTGGCTATCGATGACGCTTTTGAGTCGCGCATGGGCGAAGAGAAGCTACAAGCGATGAGCACCAAGACCGCGGAGGAGGCGGAATTCGTGCGACAGGCGATCAAGAACAACAAGGTGATCCACGACCTCATCGAGTTGACCCCGGAGCACATCGACGCTATGGTGCGCGTGGCTTACAAGCAGAACGTCGCGGCCAAGGAGGTTCTCATCCGCGAGGGAGACCTCTTCGCAACGCAGTTCTACATAGTTGCGTCCGGCGCATTCGAGTTCAGCATTGCCGCCAAGAACGGCTCGGAACACGACAAACTGTTCCAGCACCAGATGATGCGTCAGTGCAAGCCCGGTGGCTCCTTCGGTGAGATTGCACTGATGTACCACTGCCAGCGCGAGGCCACCGCGACCTGCACCGAGGCGGCCACCGTGTGGGTGGTCGACCGCATCGCCTTCAAGAACATCCTCTACACGACCCGCCGCAAGCAGCTGTTGCAGTACGTGGACATCATTGGGTCCATCCCGCAGTTCAACTGCTTGCTGAACGATGAGCGCGAGGCCTTCGCCGAAGCGTTGTTCGAGAAGCACTTCATCGCAGGCGAGTACATCATCCGCGAGCAGGAACTGTCCACTATGTTCACCGTGTTGGTCAGCGGTGAGGTCGAAATCGACGGAAAGCGCTACAACACCACCGAGAACCCGGGCTTCTTCTTCGGCGAGGAGAGTCTCCTGCGCGGCTCCGTGTCGCAGCACAGCGTGAAGTGCATCTCTGATGACGTGGTGGTCGCGTGCCTGTCCAAGCATGACTTCGAACGCCTCCTAGGCCCGCTGGAGGACCTGATGGCGGCGAGCAAGCAAGCGGGCAAGCCGCGAAGATCCAAGGTTGAACTCGTGGACCACCCGAAGTCAGCTACTCTCGATATCAAGATGAATGATTTGAAGCGCATTGGCATGCTTGGTTGCGGTGGATTCGGAGCCGTCTCTCTGGAACAGCATGCAAAAACGGGACAATGCTTCGCGCTCAAGCAAATGAGCAAGGCCTACGTCGTCAAGTGCAAGATGCAGAAATCCATCATGAACGAAAAGAACATCCAGCTGATGTGCAACTCGCCCTTCATCGTCAAATTGTAACCACAATTTTTAATAGTCATTTCATTTAGGCTTTTTCTCCTTCTACTTGTCGAACAAGATGAAGGAGGTTTTGGTCTGGTCTTTGTTTTTCTTTGATGAGTCACCATCTATTCGCCATTATTACCTATAAAGAAATGAGGTTCGCCTGCGCGCGAGGATGGCGATAGTGGGGCGAGTCTTAATGATTCACATTTGTAATGAACTTACCAATCTCAAGTCTCCATCTCAATCTTTATTTGATTATCAATTTACCTTTAAAGTCTTGTTCTCTACCTGACCCAGGTATCAAACCTTTAACCTCCCGGCACATTTGTGCCTGCTTCTGGAGCCAGTTCTTGGAGGCGAGCTTTATCACACTTACCATAAGAGGAAAATGCATGGCGACAGCACCAGAGCTCGCTTCTACGCGGCAACGACAGTGAAAGCTTTCGCACACTTACACGAGAAGCAGGTACAGCTGAGTTAATATCTTTGATCCACTGGCACGAGACGGAGAGTTTTAGCACTAGTGCTACGGAATGTTTTGATTTTGTGGTAAGCGTAGCTTGAATATGCAATATTTGCGCACGAAGTTTCTTCGAGGACATACGCTAGTGTGATTCCAATCTTCTTATATAGAAGTCCTCGGGGATGATGATATTTATGGGATCGGAGGTATCCGCATCTTGCCCAATAAAAGACTCAAATCTATCATCAATATTGACTAGGAATCAATTATACCATCAATCGAAGAGGAAAGCTTTTCATCTTGGTCTCAACAACACAGGTGATCTTCCGAGATTTGAAGCCAGAGAACTTGTTGCTGGATCACGAGGGTCGTTGCAAGTTGACGGACATGGGTTTGGCGAAGCAGACCGCCATTAAGACGTTCACCACGTGCGGAACTCCCGACTACTTCGCTCCGGAGATTATAGACCGTAAGGGACACCACGCAGGCGTCGATTGGTGGACTTTGGGTGTGCTGGTGCACGAGCTGATGTCTGGACATGCGCCGTTTGAAGCCTCGCAGCCCGCTCAGATTTACGCAAAAGTGCGCCGCGGTGTCAACCAGGTGATGTTCCCGTACAAGGAAAGCGACCCCGGTGCGGTCGAGATGGTCAAGGGCCTGTTGAAGAACGAGCCCCAGGAGCGTTTGCCGATGCTTCCGGGAGGTGTGGACAACATCCGCAGTCATAGCTGGTACCAAAACGCCAAGTTCAGCTGGCCGGAATTCGAAGCCAACAAGATGAAGGTCCCTTACAAGCCAGATGTCAAGGGCCCAACCGATCTCAGCAACTTCAAATGCCGAACTGAGGCTGACATGCCCAAGCACTTCAACATGGACTACAAAGATCCGGGTGACGGTTGGGACAAAGACTTCTAAGTCGTCTTCCACGTGCCGCTCGTCGTGGTTCTGCAAAAGTGAAACCCAATAAAATACTGAATTTGCCTTTCTATATTTGGAGAGCGAGCGAGTGCTCTTAGATATTAGTTAGCAACATGAACAGGAAAGCCATCTAAGAAACTGCGCCACATTTGTTTTGGTTCCGAATACATATTCAGAATGTAGCAAGATATTTGATTGTACGCACATCATACCACGAAATGTCAGAGTTTTAGCATATATCAAAACAAAGAAAAGTGTTTAACGCAAAGGATATCAAAACTTATTCTATAAATTTCACGCATAGAAGTTGTAGTAATGGTAATCGATGAAAACATTTATTATTCAGCTCAAGTTAGGTGTGTTTGGGAAATTCATCGCATATTTTTATCATATCAAAACACTGTAGGTATGTCACAAGACTAGGTGAACTACTCGCGGGAAGAACAGTAAGAGATAACTGTGTTGGAAAAACTATCCACGAAGGAGTGACTTCCATCTAAAAATTATTTTCTTCGAGAGACCATGACCAAATGTAACAACATGAAAAGTGAAATTAACGGGAGAACTATCACTATGAGGAGAGCGACGCCATAATGTGAAGCATCCAACTAGGTTTACTTAGCATAGTTGGAATATTTCTAGATAGATATCATACAATTACAACAGAGTTTGAGTTTGTTGTAGTTGCTATCTTGGCTAATAAATGTTGTTATTTTTGTTAATTGTATGAAAGCGCGGGTCATGGAACGAAAGCAGAGTAGATAGCGTTCTCTTGTTGGAGAAAGAGTAAGCGCGTCCAGGAACGTTGTTGAGCGAAATGTACGGGCGAAGATCATTATGCCCGAGGAGACCGGACGCGGTCGCCTTGCTCGTGGTCCACCGAGGTACATGCTACTTTTCTGCAGAGAGTAGACCTCATGTGGAAGAGCGTTGGCGATCCCTACTCGAGTGAGCGGTTCCAAGAAGAAAATTACTTTCCTGTAGACAATAAGAATGCCGAAATTCGCAAAAAAAATAGGAAAAAATTAAAATGTATGAGATTCAATAGTAAAAAGGTTTAACTATGTTTGTTGTAGATGTCGATCTATGAGGGAACCTACTTGAAGAAATACTATGATAGTCAAAAAAAACAGGTATGTAAGGAAAAATCAGCGGTGCGCAAACGCAAAGTCAAGTAAAAACGCCAAAAAAATGTTCATGCTGTTCAGGAACTACTTTCACGTTTTCTGCACGGGAGGATAAAAAGTGTCATAACAACAGGAAAGTGTAAATAAAGGTCTCATCGTCATTTGTTCGCAGAACAGAAGTCTTCGTCTTCTGTTCAATCATTCTCGACTGAGTCGTACTGAAGAAGGCTGCAACTGATGTCCACACGTCGTTTCTCGCGACTGAGACTCATCATGAGAGACCATCATCATCATCATCATCATTAGAAAAAAAAAGTTGGCCAGCTTCTCGATTGATGTATGCAAAGAGGGCTCTATTGGGTTGGTTGCAGTAGTTTTTTCTTCGGTCTTGGTCAATTGAAAAAAGCGACTATCACTGTCAATAGTAACGGAGATGCTCTAGAAGGTTTGCACTTGGAGGGCAAAAACTGACGGGAATGAATAGGAAGCTTAAGTTGTAGTTGCGCTTGTGGTCTACATCATCAAATTTCATGTTTTTTCAGTCCATAAGAAATTTTCACATATAGTTCAACGTTCGCCCAACAAAAGTAAAGGAAAGATGCCTTCTGCGCTCGGCTTGCAGAGGGTGAAGGAACGATCAGCCCGGAATAAGAGCATTAAAGAGACGGCTCATCTCATTCGCGAAGCGGGATTGACTCCCTCAAGCAGCATTTATATCCCATATTGCCTCGAGAAAATCGCAGCTGCTCAGTCGAGCCTAACAATGAACGATGCATACTCTTCAGTCGTGGAAGAAGCACAGCCGCGTGTTATTATTGGACAGAAGATTCGGTATCCGGTTTTTAACGGTGAGGCCGAGGCAACAACCGGTGATGTGACGCCAAGTGCGGAGTCGTCGGTCATGAGAAGGCCACCCCGGAAAATAATGAAGGTGAAATCTAAAATTAAAAAAGGAACCAGCACCAAGACGGCAAACCGGAAAAAGCAGGCACTAGTAAAAAAGAACGACGTCAATCGCGTGCCGTCATCTTCATCAACTTCTGCATCGGCGCATAAAGGTGGACGAGTTCATCGAACTGCACAATCAGGAACAGAGAGTACGCCAGCAGCCGCGAGTACCGCAGCCACAGCCTCTACCACTTCGTTGCATAAGGTGTGCCCACCAGGCACTCCTAGTACAGTGACTTCGTCCGCGTCAGTATTCACAGCCTCGACCGAGATACCTGGAATTAGTATAACGACAAAAACGCCTCCCCGCAGTCGCGTCACTCGTCAGACCACCAATTTGAAGAAGACCAGCACGACCACTAAAATGAAGACTATCACTGACGAGATAGTGGCTCTAGACACTGCGTCTGAGGAGATGATGGATAACGATAAGCATGATGGAAAAGAACAAGGAGACAATAAGACCAGCACCAGCACGACAGCTACATCTTCCATGAACAAGGGCGGAGCGCGCAAAGTGCTCGTCATGAAGCGAGTTAAAACTAGGAGCACACGCGCGAAAAGCAGAAGCGCATCCACTGGAGAAGGAGGGGCGGGGTCCGAGAGTGCTGTAACAACGAAAGAGCAGACCTCCGGACAACGCGCTGTGGATGGTTCCAAGCCTGGCGCAGCCGACGGTACAGAGCCCATGAAGAAAAAGGCGCACGCACGGAGTGTAGCGTCGTCCAAATTGCCGATGAAAGAACGCATTCTGCAAAAATACAAGGAATCGAATACCTTGAAGCTCAGCCTCAACTGGCTGCCGTTCTGGGTACTTCGTCTCTTTTGCATATTCACTGTCATGGTAATGCTGCATGTGCTTGAGCATGAAGGTTTTGGGCCACGACAAGAAAAAATTATTTCGTCAACCTATCATGTACTAGTATATCAGTCTGCAATGAAGTAGTTGCAAAGCAAATAATACATCAGTTGTATAATTCGTAAGATCATTTGGCGTGAAAGTTGGAGAGTAAAAAGACATCTAAATCGACAAACGTCAGCTTATCGCGAGTGGTCACAAGCGGAATGAATATCGCGCGTGTTCGACGTTCATAGAACAGCGGCTTTTTGTGGACGCAAAAACTCAAAGTGGGTCTCGTCGCTACGATTACGTCGAGTTTTTGAACGGTCGGGATTCCAGTCGACCCTGGTTACGCGTTGAGTTTCGAGGCTTTGAGAAAAGGAAACTCCATGAAGGCTTCTCTTATCCCGAAGCGCCCGAAGTGCATTTGGACGCCGGCGAGTACTACGTGATTAGCCTGGGCAGCGTGGTGGAGTCCCGCAATCTCCCGAAGGACATGCAGGACCCCACGAAAGCACCGGTCAAGTCGCCAACCGGAGAGCCGTGAGTTTTCTGAAAACCGCAATCAGCGACGTTTCTGGTGGCTGCATTATATTTATAAAGCTTTCGACTTCGTCGCGATCGTGTTTGTGTTATTCATTTATCTTCTTGCGATTAGTTTTAGTTTTTTTGAGCAGTCTTCTGTCGCTCGGTCACCGTCACCGTTATTCCATCTTCGTTACATCAGCTACAACTATCATGATCTCAGTGCACGACTCCTATCTTCTCAGAGAAAATCACAACATGACTGAATTATATGCCTTCCTATTGAAGACGCCTACGGACTCGATTTCGATGTTTATTTTTATGGATCATAATTCTTCAAGGTGAAAATTTCAACATACACGTCTGTCGAGTAGGTACGATCTATGATGGTGAAACAAGAACAAAACTTGTTCGATGCAGGTCGCTATCATAAAGACGATGTAGTTTTTGCCGATTAAGTATTTGTATTGGTTGTTAGTTTTCAGAGTATAGAAATTCCTTTTCTCGACTCGTTTCCTGACTGGTTCCGCATCTGTTTTATTCATGTTCCCTCGTCAGATGAAATTAAAATGAGGACGGAAGATGATTGATAGCACAAAATTGATAAGAAACAATGAATATTTGACGTTGGCACATTACTCGCCCAACGACCTCAAAAATGTTGATTCATATCTCCTCTCATTAAGTTTTGTTTTTCGCGTTGCACATCTGATGTCATAGCAAGTTGAAGTCTGCCAGGCTCTTCAGTAGCCGTTGAAGTCTGCCACATCGGATGGTGGATCCCAACCTAACCTAACCTGATGTCATCGATGAGATAAGCCCTAGCAGTGGACTGGTGGCCTCATGTGTTCGATTTCCAGTTTCTTTTGATGCAATCAATAAAGATCTCGGTGTGCTGCTGTGGAACAGGTCCACTTCTAGTGTGTGAAACAAGGAGATGACGAGGGAATCTAATCCGAGTGTCTCTCTTTTTTACCGTTCGTAGAGAAAGAGAAGTGAGAGTTTTTTTGCTCAGTATGTAAGTATCACGTTAGGTCCCTGCTCGCTGGATACAAAGCTTCAGCTTTGTTGTCGCGGAGTTGGATATTCGAGTGTGGGAACTGTGCTGAGCGACAACTCGAGTTCATAGTTGCGGTGCCCTGGTTCCGGATATCTAGGAAAACGATCATATTCACTGAAGATTAAACTAAAAAACAGGTTTTCCAATGAATTCCATTTTTAGTTATTCTCATGGATACATCTATTGCAGTTAGCACCAAGTTCCTTCGCAATCGCATGATCATTGAAGAAGTTTTATTGGCCTAAGATACTAGATATTATCACATGAATGTCGGTATCGCGTCTCTGCCGCGGACTCTTTTCGTCTCGTGACTGCTTCTAATGCAGAAGGTTGCAATTCGCTAGGAGCCACGACAGCGGAAAAAAGATTTCAATCGATCTTCTTGCTTTCTTACTCGTTGTACAACCAGCTGCGCCGACCGACGTGTGACTCGTCTGTGTGGATGTGCGCACGCACCGAATTTTGAGACGCTGGTTGGGAATTAGTGGTAGCAACAAGCAGCGGTTGACAGGACCACAACGTCGTGGTAGCCGAGGACAACATATTAGTCAGGATTCTATACTTAATTCTTCACATCAAATAACGCGAAGAAAATGATCGAGGAGGTTGAGGTCTGGCGGCAAAATGCTGATGGATCCGCAGGTTGGTATTTGGGACAAGTCGTTGATTATCGAGATGGCGCTGTGTCGGTTCAGATCGGATCTGAGGCGCCTTTCGTTGCTGCAACCGATTCAGTCAGAGTACCGCGTGAAAGCAGCAGCAGCGCGTCATTTTTGCCACAGGTTCTTTCATTTTAATAGATATGTTTATCTCAATCCATGCATATTAATTTCATCGTGCTGGCTGGGCGTAGCCCAGGGCTCTCGCTTCTCAAAGCCTGTTTCTTTCAATGAACTCGGACACTTCTCGTCTCTCGTTCTCTTTGTCAAAAGTGTAACTACAGAAAACGATAAGTAGGGGGGAGCAATAGAAGCTTCAACCTGGGCTAGCTTCAACCTGAGTAGTGATATCGATCTTTATCTCTCTCGAAAGAAACGGAGACTACTTCCAAGGTGCTGGATCACCAATTGTCATCCTTCAACAACGAAAGCAGCACCCAGTATTCACCGACCTTGCTTTAATAATCTGCACTACAGGCTGGCGGCGTCTGCGAGGTCTTGAAGAAGGGCCCGGGGGAATCTGTGAGCTGGGCAGAGTGTCGAATCAAACAGATTAAGGGCGAATTCTACTACGTCTACGACAAAGATCCCAATGCGTATTCTATATCTATAAATATGTGTTTCACTTTGTTTAACTCTTTCTATTGTGTCAGTGATACGAGGTTAGTTTCACGAGTCAGTGACGCGAGTCAGTGATACGATCACGCAAAGACTTGCTGATAAGGGCGGATCCTCATCTCTCTGCACGTTTTTCCGGTTATAGCACAGACCCCACCGCCAAGCCACATACTAGTACGTCGAGGAAAAAAGTTCATTACCCGCACGCGTTTCATCAATCATCATAAGTGAGTACTGCCCGGCGGTGGGGTCTTTAATGGGCAAAGTCTGTAAGTAGGCGGGAAAAAATACCGCATGTAGTACTCGGCTGAGTAAAAAGGCAAACATGTTGAGAGTGAATGAGACGATGTCAGAAATAAAAGACTCAAGTAATAGAGTAGATTCATGTAAGGACAAAAAATGACGGGACGAAAGGCGCGGCTCTTTTTTTCAGCTTCGTTTACAACGCAAGGCGTGGCAAGATCAGCCTGGTGGGGTCCGAAATTCGTAGCGGGCGTGTGGTATTTCACACATTTAGCAAACAACAGACATCAAATACAACACACGCTTTCACGAGTTGGGCCCACGTCGGCCCCGCGGAAAAGGGTCATAAGGTTTTTTATAGTGGAGTTCGCGCATCTTAAGGCTTTTCGAGTTGAGGCTACCTCAGTCCCGCGAGGGCATTGAGGGTTTTTTGCAATGGAGTGAGCACATGTTAAGGCTTTTCGAGTTGAGGCCATTTCAGCCCCGCGAGGGCCTTGAGGCTTTACAATGGAGCACGCACATGCTAAGGCTTTTCGAGTTCAGGCCGTCAGCCCCGCGAGGGTCTTCGGGCTTTGCTTCAGTCGATGGCGCATCGAGGCGACACGCGCGAGGAGCTCTCGTTCGCATTGTTTTTATTCTGCGGTGATGTATACCCCGCGCGTTAGTCTCCGCAAGAAAAGAAGGGCGAGGTGCACTCGGTTCGTGAGAGGTGTGGAAAGATCCTGTTAGACATCGGTTCTTCTTATTGGCAACGACTTTACTGGAGTCACGGCCTCGGTGCTTCAGCTGACTTTACTCAAGTCGCCCACCATCCTCGGAGTTGAGCTACGAGTCCGGGGGGCTCAATCTGAAGGATCCCCGACCTAACCTAACCTAGTTTTATCTTGACCAAAATTACAGTATTGCTGGATACAACTTTGACATAAATCATGTTATGGCCCAGTGGACTTTGAATACATAGATCAAGAAGAATCAAGTACTTGTTTACTTCTTGATGAATCATCAGGTTTGAAAATTTGAACATCATACGTAGGAACATCAAGATATTTAACAGACGAAACAGAACGAAGAAATTTGAACATACATTGAAACAATCTTACTAGATAGTCTTCTTGTGGCTGCTTCTAAGATTTTGAATTTTCTACGTGATTTGAATTTGAAATTTCAAGGAGAAATCAAAAAATTTCTGATTTTATCTCGTTTTTAATGAATTCATAGGAATCTTTCGATTTTGAAAATGGCTGTCATCTCTTGAATCATTAATATTAGAAACTAAAGTTGAAAGTGATGCAAATCCACCTATGATGATCAGCTGCTGTAGTCAGTCACTATAATGGGCAGAATATATGTATACCCGTGTAGTTTATAGAATGTAGATCATTGCCAATGAGTATCAAAAAAGTATTTCCATGTGATGATGTCTCTTTATATCAACACCTTCAGGGCATGGATAGTAGAAAAATCAAATTTACGACCTGCGGACCATTCTGCAGGTGGATTTACGTTTGGAAACGCACTAAGAGAGGTACTTAAAAACACCGCTGGTTCCACATTCTTAGTGTAGTGAAGGTTGTGCATTGATCATGGATGAGTTCCTTCCACTTGCTGTAGTTTTGTGAGTGGACGTCAAGAGTGACAAGAAGGTTCCTGCATTCTAAAAAGAAACCTTCCGTTGCAAGGAGGGCTAGAAGCTTTGCTATCAAAAAATATACTTCGTAGCAGGTACTTCCATTAGGAGCAGAGCTGCGCGCCTGGGTAAGCGATGAAGAGAGTGACTGCGACGGCTGCCTGCAGCAGGTCGCTGCGAAAGTTGGATTGCTTATCTGCAAAGCTCGAGTCAACGATGCCGATGAAGCGGAGGTCGTTTTGGTTGGTATCATTCACTTCCTCCACTTCCATCTTTTCTCTTCGCTTAATCAGTATGACTTGGCTCTAGAAGAAGATACAGATGAATCTACTTACGGTTATTCAGGGTTTTTGTGTTGAAATCCACACTTACAGGGGAAAAGTCTGCCTTGAGGCGCGCGAAGATTTTGCTTGACGTGCATCTGAAGCACCAGAGGGCGATTCAAAAGTTTCATACGACGCGCGATAAGAAAATGAAAATGCTCGAGGAGAGGAAGAGCAAATACAACGAGCAGTGCAGCTACGTATTCACAACCCATCAGACTGTGTCTTCTTATGAGTATTCTGATATTTGTGTTTGTTGTCTTGGTTCTTGTCCAGCTATTTACACAGATTAGACAGCTTCGTGTTAGTGGTCAAAGTCTTATACCAGCAAATGATACAGGCGAGGACTGTTTCGTTATTCCCTCTCTTCATTGCATCACATTAGGAATTTGTCGCTGACGCGCGTGTGTCGGGTTTCATCCTTGGCAAGGAAGGGAAGACTATCAAGCGCGTGAGGCAGGCTTTCGACGTGGAGATCATCGTCACAGACCTTGAAGACACCTCACCTGCGCAAGTGCGGGTGCGCATATACGGTGAGACGCAAGAGCAGGTCGATCGAGCTCGTGAGGAGATCGAGTACACAAGGCTTGAATTTACGAAGACTACAGCAACCTTCTCAAACAGTAGAAAGTACAAACCGCAGCTGCTAGTATAGTTGTATTTCCGAGGAAGAAACAATGTCCTACACGACCAAATAAGTAAGCACTTCAGAAGTAGTAGCTTCTTTCTGCTTTCTTAGTTGAAGAAAACATTTTTCTCCTCGCCTTCATTCGTGTCCCGGTGGAACCTCATCTCATTGGCTGGGTACTCGGTAAGAAGGGTGCTCATCTAACCGATATTGAGGAGAAAAGTGGCATTGTGAGAGCAAGGTACTTCTACTAGATCGTCATTGCGAAAATTAGAATTGGTGCTTTCATTTTTGTGATTCCTTCCGATCATTGTTCGTCGTAATTCTACATAAAAATATCTGGTTGTATGCAACCACTGCTCCTCGTTTTTCCCAGGTAATTTCTGTATCATGATTACAACACGCGCCGCCCCCGCATCATAATCTTTTTCTTCAACATTTTTACGCCTCTACTGCAACACCCACGACAGCTTGAACCGTACTACTAACGTCGTCGAGCTAATTGGTTTGAAGGACTGCGTAGAGGATGCAAAGATGGCTTTAGAAAGCCACTGCACATATTTCGAAGTTTACAAAGAAATGGACGATGAGCTGCTTGAAATCGATAATTCATTCGCGGAGCTTGGCGCGAACGGGAAAGGCGGAAAGAAAGGTGCTCAATATAATGACATAGTGAAGACGATGACTCCGTCCTCGATTGGAAATTAGTGATCATTATTCATGCATCGATATTTTTCACAGCAACTCGCGAGAATCACCACTGAAGAAAGATAAGAGTCTTGTTGCCGCAATTTCCTCAACATCTTGATGGTCTCCCTCTGGAAAATGCAGGTAAAGGCAAGAAGGGCCGCGGGAAGAGTGTCCGAGATGATGAGGAGGGTGGAGAAAATAGTCGGCCATCAAAAAAAGGTCAAAGTGGTAAGAAAAGTCGAGACAGCGCGAGCAGCAGCAAAGGAGCGGATGCTGAGAAAAAAGGCAAGGACAACAATAAGTCCGGAAGTAAGAATAAATCGAGGAACTCTGGAGCAGGAGGAGCAGATACTCCAAGTGATGGCACGAAAGCTAAAGCCAATGGAAGCGCGCCAAAAAAGGGAGAGCAAAAAAGTAAGGATAATGAGACAAAAGCTGCTTCCGGTGCGGGTGGAAAAGGCGCTCTGGCTATCAATGGCCAAGACGGCGGCGGTGGAAATAGAGGAGGAAAGAAAGGGATGCGCCGTGCAGCGGAGGACGAGATCGACGAAGCCAAGAAGGAGCGAGCACCGGCTGAAACGCCCTCTACTGTCGGGGAGGAGTCTAGCCCGGGTGCCACAGACCCGTCACCCGTATCCGCCAAGAAACGAAACAGCAGGGGAGGTCGTGGCGGACGAGGCCGACGAAATAGCTCACAAGCGAACAAAGACGTTGATGAGTTAAACTCGCCAGCTGCAGCATCAGTCAATGGAAAAAACTCAGGCACAGCATCATTAAGGAATATTTTTCTCTCTAACAAATCCGTGCTGTTCTTTGTGCAACTCGCACGCAATTCTATTTATCACATGCAGTTCTATCAACCAAAAGTGTCTTCCTTTCTTCAAAACGGTATTGATTCGGCAAAAAATACATGCCAGCTGAAACAAGGGGGAAACGGAAATAGCAATAAATATCAAAGGAGATGATAGATAATGCGATTAAAAAATCTTAATCGATAGAGAAGTACCTTCCCAGTCTCAGCCTAGAAGTCAACCTCTAATGGGCACGGTGGATGATCAATCACTATCGGTTCCAGATGCGCAGAAGAGTGTAGACGCGAGTGAGATGGGAAACGAGAACGACGCAACACCCTCTGGAGACGCGTCCCCTTGGAAAACCGGCGTGACGCCAGCGGTCGGGCAAGTTACTGCCTAGCACGTGAACGACCACGGAGCGAAAAATCTGCACTTCAAATGAGATTATTGATGCTAATTTGAATGGCCTTTATCTCGTCGCGCAGAACCCGAAGGCAGATGGTGCGATCGATGATAGGACATTCACCATGAATGACATGATACATGATGGAAATTAAGCAACTATTGTCATAAGTATGATTAGATGCAAGCTGCACGAGGACGAGCTCCATATTTTTACTTGTTAATCATTTTTATTACTCAACCTCAAGCTCAAATATAGATGTGGAAAAGAAAGAATGTGCCTAGCCGTGAGCTGCCGCTACATGTGTCACAGTAGTTGTCACTTATGCAAGTGGTCGTGTCCGGGGCAGGCTGTTTCAAAAACCTTGTTCCGGGCAGGGTTGAGACTGTTTGATTATCGTCCTCGGCTATTATTATACATAGATCTACTTACCACGAGGAACTCGGATTCAGAGTATCATTACAACACGACAACTTCACTCACATTGGTTGGCGCCTCATGATTATTCATTGAAAATTTCGAACAAATTTCTAAGTTAGTGTTAGGATTACTCAGCTCCATGATCAAGCCCTCCATGAACTTTTCCTGTGCTTCCTACACAGCGCCAGCGGTAGTTGAATTTTTATGGCCATGAATGAAATTCTTGTAGTTCCACTGATTTCTTTTTTTTGTTTTTTGTAGCATGATTGTACAATGAAGGTGGTTGGATGTCGACTCCTGACTGGCTAACCTACAGAATTGAAGTGAGTTCTTCAAAGAAATGGAGCTAGTCCGGGGAGGTCCTCGTGGTTGTCTGTATTTTCCAGTGGGACATCAAGAACAAAGCTAATATACCAGTAAGGAAAAGCATGATCATACAGATACATAGTATAACCACGGCACAAAGCAGCCAAGAGGAGTACTGTGTAATTCATTGAGTTGCTTTCGTGTGGCAACATTCGAAATCATGTTCTTCATCATCAAATATCAAAGATTAATAGTAGAAGAAGACAACTACTCTCCTCTCCTGCCCCTTCTCAGCAGTCTCAATCACGGGTTGCCCGCCGGCTCCTGACGCTCTTTCCCCCTCTCTCGCAAGTCCCTTGGTGGACCGCCGTGCAGGTCGCGATACCCAGGGGCCCCCTGCCTAACTGTCAAAATTCATAGCCTAACCTTCGCAGTTGCAGTTCATGCCCTAACAAACTTGCAAAGTTGAGTCATGTCCTAACTTTCGAACTTCGTCGCCTAACTTTCAAAATTCATGCCCTAGCTTTCGCCATTCATGTCCTAACTTTCACAATTTATGTCCTAACTTCCAAAATTTGCGGCCTAACTTTCAAAATTCATGCCCTAACTTTCAAAGTTGACGCCCCAACTTTCCAAAATTCATGCCCTAACTTTCACAATTTATGTCAAACTTATGTTCTAACTTTCACAAGTCAAATCCTAACTGCCAGAATTCATGCCCTAGCTTTCAAAGTTCGGGTCTTAGCTTTCGCAGTTCATGTCCTAACTTTCGCGATTCATCATGCCATAGCTTTCCCAATTCATTTCTTAACTTTCAAAATTCATGCCCTAGCGCGTAACTCATGAGCATCGCAAAGCGCTGCGCGTTTTATTTGCAGTGTTGTCGCCTCGTTTGTTTATTTTCAAAATTCAAAATGTAAAATCAAAAGCAGAATTCAAAATCAAGAAATCAAAACGAAGGCAAAACTTTACAAGTAAACAAAGAGATTCATTTTCATAGAAGAAAAATTAGCGAATTTTTGCGTCCAAGCCGAAAGTCCTCATACGAAAATCGTTCATAAGGTCTGGAGAGACCATTGTGAAAAGAAAAACCTGCTCTGTACAATAAAAGTGGAAGTGCGGCGAAGAGTCGAAGACATTCTTACGGGAAGTGGTTCTCAGAGACCTTCAAGGTGAAAAGAAGCAAGATTGCGAACGTGAATACTTAACTGACAATAATATTCTGCTGAGCCTGAGGCAAGAAGACGCGACAAGAGGATGATGTTCCTTCAGAAGTTTCTCCTTCAAAAAAGACGGCACAGAGGCAGCAGGATAGTAAGTAATGCCATGTCATCTCATGCAGGACGTCAAGGTCAACATGCAACTATCTCAGAAGATAATGCGTATGCAACGTCGATCCTTTGGGATTCAATGCAGAAGTCTAAGGCTTCCATGCCCTTTCCTCTTTCCACAACTCTCTCATCAGAAATAAACAGCAAGTTGAACGCTTTAAAACGCCAAACACTATAACCACTGTAGGCATTGGTTTGTGTCAAGTAAAAGTACTTATTAATTCCAAGCAAAAATTTTTTGTCGGTGTCCTTCTCCTTGTCCATCTTCTAGTACGCTCAACCTCAGTTTCTACCATCAAAGAAAATGCCGGCATTCGGAGAGAGTGGTGTTGAGTGGGAGTGCGTGGCTCGTGAGTTCCGTGCCAAGTATACTGGTGCTCCCAGTGAGAGCGCGTCTTTGAAAGCGGCAAACGCTGTACTTACCGAAATGCTGCCCGAATTCAAGGCCATTCCGGGATTTGTCGAGGTACCATCATTGAAGATTAGTGGTTTCAGGTTTGGATAAATTATACGTAGTAAGATGAGAAAGAGAGGAGTAGATGATCAAGGACGACGACTAATAGGATCGACCAAAAGAAGAGCACGGGAACATGATGATTGGAAGAAGATCGATTAAGGGTGGAGATGAAGATTCGCATGTCGTCTTCCAACTCATCTGTGTCATGATCAGGCGAAGCGTTTCGTTTGCGGTGAATGCGGTGACATCAAATTAGTGGTTTCTTTGAAGGACGCTGATTTTGGAGGCTGGGCTGGCAAGGATTTTGCGCCGGGCGCTCAACTGTTGGAAAAGTGGGGCGCTATTGAAGGCCTTTCCGCCATCGAAACGCAGAACTACACCATTGCTGCTATGTAATGGTCGCTATTATGTCGTGGTCTGAGATAGAAGCTTGTTGTTGTTCATGCTCTGTGTAGGCTTGGCCTTGGGCTTCCCGTCTTGGAGTTTGTCGCGGGTATTCTTCCAGCTTTGTGAATACGATCCACGCTGGGCCATCGAAGTAAGAGATGACAGCGGAGCTCTGCCGTCATTCCTCTGAATTTGATCAAGCGGGCTTGTGAGAATTTTCTGAAGATCATAAGTATCTACCTTCACGGAGTTCTGTATGACCCGTTGCTCCTACTACACACACTTTTATTACAGTCTGAAAATACTGCAGAAAGCTTTACTATTATGGTGTGAGTTAAAAAAGTGGCTATTTTAGTAGGCGCTTTTGAGCTAAAAAACATCTGAAAAAGTGGTGAAGTAACCTCCTCCCATAACAGGACTCATGGCCTTTTCCCCTTAATATAGTCAGAGGCTGTGGCGCTGCAAATCTGGATTGGCTTTTGCACGTAAAACGGCGAAGGTTTAGGTCCAGCGACGCTCAAAGCACAAACAGCCGGCTTGTTTTCCTCTTTCTACTTCTAGGCTATCCCTTCATGCAAATTATTATGGTGGTCGTATTTGTGTGGTTTGTTGTATTTTTTTCATCATTTTGATACACTCGAGCGCGGCGTATTGCAACGGACGCATACACGAACGAAGTTCGCTTGCGTCATTTACATTGCATTAAGTAGATTGTAGGCCTCACAACCAACAACAGTTTCAGGATGAAAGATGATCTGAAGCTTTAACATAATGTTGTCGTGTGACGCAGGTGCATCAAACATTGTGACCGGAAGGATTAGCAATGAGGTGGATGAGAAAACTCTTATGTTGTGCAAGGCGTGACTATGTTCGACGAGCAGTTACGACCATTCATGACATTCACATCGATGTGACAATTTTTTAAGAAGGCATACGCGTGCAGTACATGGAGATACATGACTCTTGTAGGAGTAGGACGCTATCCTGCGCTACTTAGGTGACAGGACCAGGCATTGGCCTCTGTGGTGCAAAGTTTTTGATTTGTGCCGGCGATTGTTCTTAACCTTCAGGACGGCGTTGGAGTGTTTACATTGTTCATCATGATGCTAGTTTTGCTATCTGATTCTAAAGAGGAGCGAACTAAAGAGGAGCGAACCTGTGTCAATTCTCGTTGAGGCCAATGGATCAAAGGTAATAGGGACGATCGTGAATACAGCGCTGCGTTAGCACTTAGGAGGCATCTACACGTCAAGCAGAGGACATCTAACAAGATTATATGGGACGCATCTCCATCTCCCTGAGAGATGAGGATCGGTGGCTTTCTGTGGAGTGTGCCAGCGAGTGAGGACGTATGAGTGATTGAGCCAGTAGGTCCGCCTATTTTTGTAGATTTAGCGAGGATGCTAGAGCTAGTATACTAGATTTTTATAGAACTTGCTCGGGGTGGAGGTGGTCGTATGAAAGTTAATGCTGCGTGTGTGGTCGTCAGCTTTAATGATGTTTGGAAAGTACTTAAGTTGTGGGCGGGTGAATCACCCATTTTTTATGCAAATATAGCGAGCGTCTACGTGAGTGCAGCTGCTTTGTAACACGCACATGAGTAGGACACTGTCGGCTGCTCTTTTCGCATCTTCTCGCTGGTAAAACTAGCCCTGCCTGCCAGGACCAGTATATCGAAGATTCTGAGCAGATAGAGAAGATAGACGGACTGCTATTTCTAAGGAGGACTCCGAGCTAGGCTCCCTGACCCTAATGACAAAGCTTTGGGGAAAGGTCGTCGAGGTTCGAAAATCGGAAGCCGCAACGACATGGTATCATGCAGTGGTTGTCTCCGAAGCGAGGAATGGAGATGCCGTACGAGTGCGTTTTCCACGCAAGCTAGAGCCTTTGGCAGGTGGTGTGGACTCAGGGATATGCGCCTATGAGCAAGACAAGTATGTTTGGACAGAAAAAGTCGTTGCTCCGATAGCAACATGTGTGAGGGAACGCGCGAGGCCGTCAGCTGAAGGGACATGGGAGCCAGCAGTGGACGAGTATTTGCGAATTTGGTTTCGAGTGTTTTTGTGAGTAGTTCTACGTTTCTTAGACTGTTCGACAACCCCCGTAATGTGTCTTTTCGATGTCTTTTCTGACTGGATAGCTAATCACAGTCTGCGAGATTGCATGAAAGCAGACTCGTTCACTCCACTCGGTCTCTTCATGGGCGAGTGGCTCTGAAGTCTGTCAGAATGGTTAGACGTCTTGCGGAGAGGTGTGGCTACTGATGGTGCTGCATACGCTCGGTTGACTTCTGAAACTTCGCCCATGCTCGCAGTTTTGCTACTGCGGCCGTGCTGGTCGTGGGCTTTGAATATTTTTCCTTCATTGATGTCCAATGTTCCTTCCACTAGGTTGGTCGAGCTGAATTTTGAAGCCAATGGATACTATCCCGGTGGGTGGGCTTTGGGGCGCGTCGCAGAGCGTCGCGACGATTTCTTCTTCGTGCGTTTTGAACCCGATAAAGAATCTGGGTTCACGCAAGAGTACACTTTTTTCTTTTGTTCTATTTTTGCCTCGTCCATCAAAAACATGAAGGTGAACATTTTTCAATTTATTTAATTGATTGTTCTTGCTCATTGCACTGTCTGCCAGTAGTTCATCTTGAGAACGACAATACACAGTGTTGAATAAAAATCCACCTAAGCTGCAGCTGCCTCTTACTCTTCGCAACTCCTCCAGCCAAAAGACGGTGATTGTACGTAAAAACGTGCTACGGCGAGCGGGGACGCGCACACCGATATGTGAGAAATTTATCAAGAAATTGGTGACGTTGCCGGATCCCGAGGATCTGCATGCCCATTGGCTTTTCACTCCAGATGGACAGGAAGTTCTCTTGCAGCTGAAAAAAAAGCTGGAGCTCGTGGTACTTCTAAATAGAACATGATCTTCTAACATGATTGGCCTCGTCTGCAATTGCTGCGCTAGAAGAAGTTTCTCTCAATTAAGAACTCTCAACCCATCACGGTGTATGAGTGGTGTAGTTTTCAAGGGAACAGGGCACGATCCGTGACTAAGCTCTACTCATGTCCCACATCAATCAGTTTGTGTTACCACCCGCGGAATTACTTGTGGAGCGTGATGAGGTAGGGGAAAAGACGCAATTTACCGAGATTGCCTTGTACTCAGGTGGAGATGACGAGCGCAGCAAAACGAACGCAGAGCAAGCAGCGTTATTGTTGCAAATACACTGGTACATGATGTTGATGTTTGGATATTATTGTCAGGGGAAAGCGGAGATGATATTCATTCATTGAAGTAGAAGAACAAAGGATTCATGTACTACCTCCTGGGAAATCAGGAACAAGATACACATTTGTACCTCACAGTCACGACCAAATTTTCTAACGAGCAGGCACCACCAGACGCGTATTCAAGCGTTTACGCGTGAGCGTGCGAGGAAGCTGGAGGAATTAGAGCAGCTGCGCATCAAGGCTGAGCGCGGACTGACAATGTCGCGCGAGGTGCCAGATGCAGTGGTTGGCTTTCTCGTTGGGAAACAAGGGAAGAAAATTCAGAATCTTCAAGAAAAGTACGATGTGGAAATCAAGGTTTCAACGCAAACAGATGGTGCGCCTCGTGCAGGAGGAGCGCAAGAAGCATCATCGAAGAACACACAGTCAGGAGCGGAAGCAACCTCAGCTGCTACTTCGCCGAGTGATGTCCCAGCACCCCCACAAGCAGAGCCGGGGACGAGTAGCGTGGGCACGTCTTCCTCGAGTACAAGCAAAGCAGCTGCAGAGCAGAAGATGCGTCGAGTCACAGTCTTTGGGACAGATGCTGAAGCAGTTCGGGCGGCTTTCGAAGAAACGGACCTTACGTACTCAGAACTCAAGCTGACAACAGAGCAAGCAAAATTCCTGCGCTCGAAGTGCCAATTTACGACGCTGATGCAGGACACTGGGGTGGCTTTCGCAGGGTAATCAATTTTCTGCTTTGTTGACTACGAGCATGGTCTTAGCACCGGTTCTGTTCTGAGAAAATGCCAGATACTGCACGTGGTCGATAAATTGATGAGTATACCATAGATATTAATAAATTTTGAGTTTGATTCTACATTTCGATTTTTACATGAACTCTGGTAATTATCGTAGTCGTAGTATTTTTCCAGATTGATGCTGTCTTCAGAGATTTCCTAAACTTCATGAAAAGTCTTGGGCACTACATACATACACAATAATTTCATAGTGCTTCACAAAATATGAAATTGAAGGCCAAGTGTGTATGATACATTTGCTTTGAATGAAACAGAAAATATGAATTGAAAAGCTGCTGATAGAAATTGAATTTAATTATTACAGCTTAAAATCAAAATTTTTTGGATTTCCATTTGATCAAATTCAAAGTTGAGGGTTTTCTCTCGAAAAATTTGTTTTTTATCGATTCTAATTCAAATCCATTTCCTGGTGAGGCACTGTTGATCGTTAAAATGGTCGTGTCAAAGTCTAGCGAGATTTTCTACCTCCTAGCATCGCAGTGGATTGGTGTAGGTCCAGTTCGTTGTTTTTTCATATATGTGTCATAGGAGTGACGTGTGATCCTTCGATATGATTTCAGTCTATGAAATTCGTATTCTCCACAACTTTTCAGGATTTTGAATCATCTTTATGCTATCAGAGAAATTTTCATTTTTTTTGTCTTCTTCTTCGGCCTTGCTATTTTTATAGCTGCGTTCTTTTCAGGTTCAATCAGAAAAGTGGTGCGACAGTGGAGATTATGGGAAAAGCGGAGGAAGTCGAAGAGGCACGGATGATTGTAGAAAGTCACCTCGAGTATTTTGGAACTTATCAGACCATGGACGATGCTTTCGATGCGCTTCGCTCCGAGGAGGAGACTTTCGCACGAGAATTCGGTGGCCCAGGTAAGGGCAATGGGAGACGGTCAAATGCATCCACGAAAGAAGCCACTACTGCACGACGGTCAACGAAAAAAAGAGTAGCTGATGAGACTAACGGACGACCTAGTACGCAGGCTGGAACTGGTGGTGGTGGTGAGAGTGAGCAAGGCGAAGAAGGTGATGGCGCTGTGAAAAAAGGGAGAGGATCAAAGCGAGGTGGACGAGGCCGTGGGGCAGCTGCGAAGCAAGATGGCTCAAAAGGCGATGCCTCAACTAAAGGCAAGAGCAGAAGTAGCGGACGTGGGAAAGAGACAAACGGCACAGCAAACGAGGATGCAGAAGCAGAAGCAAAACACAAGGCCCCGAGTGGGGATGGAGGTGAAGCGGATGCAACGGCGGGCGAAAAATCAAGTACAAAGACAGGAGGCAATAATCGAAAGAGCAGCGCCAAGGGTGGTGGAGCGACCTTCGCAAATCCGAATGAGGCAGCCGCCACGCCGACAGATGATATGAAGAATCGCCATGATGCCGCAACTGCGAATGGCAATCACAAGGTCGCTCTTGGAGGTGAGTAAGCTGTACTAGTGTGCCTACTCGACTCAATATGCTGTCGTGTTCAACTTTCCATCATATGAAGCGTCTTCATTATTCAAGTCAATTTTTCCCCATGGTCGACCGCTTCCTGAAAATAGCAGTTAGTGTTTACCATGACGTAAGAACAAATTTCACTCTTTGCAGTTATCTGCTGCAGCATGATGATTTTCAGGGATTATATTAGTCCTCCTTTTTACATCCACTTTATAGTCATGCTTGTTCTTGTGCTTGTCCTCGTGTAACAAACTAAAAGTAACAAGTAGGTACTACTTACGTAATGAAATATGAGAAGTCTCAAACAAGCATGGTGTCACGATCACGATCTTCATCATATACCCACATTTCTCCTCTTTGTCTTTCCTTTATGTAGCATTGATTTTGAGAAGGAGAGGACCCTCAACATCAAAATTTCTCACGATTCGAAGAAAGTACCGTGAGAACGCAGTTAGCATCGTTGATGAGTTTTGTTGTATGCAGAATGACAGAGGTTAAACTCCAGCTGCAGGGACCTGCTCCACTGCTTGAATGATGATGATGGCCTGTTTCCGCCCTATCATTACCAAACAAGAAAAAGTGGTTGTTCCTTAAGCTACTTCTGTTTGAGTTTTCGTGAAAGGGGATGTCGCATTTTTCAGCAAAAGCAGAAACTGTGGAATACGACAATGAAAGGTGGGATGAACATCAGTGCACTCTTTGTCTACGGTTCCTACAAGAAGTACTTGTGTGTAGTTGGGTGGTATGAGAGCTTCATCTAAAAAGACGGAGGAAATGAATCCCGAAACGCTTGTTCCAGTAGCTTAGACGGAGATGCTTTCTCTCGTTCTAGTTCTACAATCGAGCGAAAAAAATTTCTAGGACTGAGCACAATGACTTCTAAGAGGTCAATCAGCATGTAGAAGATGGTGGAGGTATAAACCACGATGAAGGGGGCTGTTGCGCGTCGGGTTCGGCACGACCTTCGTCCTATGTGTTACAACGTCCGCCATGGTGCTCAGCGTTGCCATCGTGCAGATGTTGCGGTGGGGACCAACGTGACGAGCATCCCACGCCAAGGTTTCTGCAGCTGCCATGCGAGAGTCGAGGTTGCGCACGACGTCCCTCATCAGAAGTGTCAAATACGTTGGACGAGATCTTCAGCAGGAGCAGCTTCTAGACGAGGACGCAGAGCTACATCGGCGATTTCCAGATCTCCTTCTTCAAATGGGGGTTTTACTCATCATGATTACGAGATTTCCAGATCTCAGGAAGCAATCACACACCAGGCAAGCGCTTCAGCTGCTTCTCTACCTGAGCATGTGGTCATTCCCGCAGTGGTCACGAGTCCTGAGCTTAGGGATGCGATCCTGCGCGAAGGGCACATGTGGGTCTACGACTCCGAGATCAAAAACATTGCGGAGCTGCATAAAATGAAGATGCACGCTGGTACACTCGTTCCGATAGAGTTCGTTCGCTCCGCCTCTCATCAAGTAGATGCTGGTAAGAATTTTTCCGAATCCACAGAAGATATTTCGTTATCTCGATGCACAAATAGTGCAAGTGGAGGCGGACCTGCTAGAAGGGGCTCTGAAAACTTCTACTTGGGAGGAGAATATCTCGGCACGGGAGTATGGAATCGTTCATCCTCAATAACGCTCCGACTTCTACCAGAAAGTCACGTCGAGGTAGAGGAAACACTTGCTGGTTTTTCGAGCGCTCCTAACGGTGAACAAGGAAAATCTTCGGGTAATGGTACAGCAGAAGGAGCAGATATCTGTGACACTAGCGACAGGGAAGGTGCCAGCAATAGCAAAGTATTCGGTGTCACTGCTTCTGCCTCCGGAGAATCAACCTCTTCAATACCGCAATCTCCTAAAACCAGAGCAATTCTCTCCTTGGAATCTTCTACGAATGCGTGGCAACAGAATGCCCACCTGATCTCAGAATTGACTGAACGAGTGCAAACTCTTCTTGCTTCGCGGCTTCATGTTGAGCTGTTTTCTTCAAATGGGGAACCACGCCAACATCTCAAAGATGACTACTACAACCACGGCCGAGAAGATGCAACTAGTCGTAAGATCGGAGATCATCCTGAGGCTGAGGTGAAGACTGACGCAGCACCTGAATCGGCGTTGTACGGTCGCATACTTCATGCCGAGAGTGACGGCGTTCCTGGTGTGCTTGTGGACAGATTCGGGGCTTGCGCAGCAATCATTACATACCTGGCTTTGGGCAGCCATGCTATTCTGCATGAGACAATCGTTGAGGCGTTGAAGTTGGCAGGTGTTTCTCAAATCGGTGTGAGAAAACTAGTCACAAAGAAGGAGCGTTGGTGCCTGGCTGGTGAAGAATTCTCCTTCTCGCTTGCCGCTGGTGATGATGCCGTCTTCGTCGCAAAAGAATTCATGGATACTACTTGCTCGACGAGAATCGAAATCGATAGTGTTCGTCTGATCAAGAACAAGGAGAATTCACCGAGCAGTAAAATTGCTGGTACGTCGTCAGCAAATGAGGATGACTTCTTGGATATGGATGGCATGGCCTATGAAGAACCAGGAGTAGCAAGACCGATGGGAAACGACGGCGCTTCATCAACGAAATTCGCGTTGTTAAAACATGCTGCATCATCCAGTCCAACGAAGAGATCTTTGGAATTCGCTTTCACTCTAATGAGCAGCACGTCGAAAGATGCGTCCACAGGAGGTATTAATAGCGTTTCTTCATCCAGCGGGTATGAGACATGGGATTTCTGGAGCTCGCAGGTACGGCGTTTTTTACCACGATTGCTAGCTCAAGGGCATGGATCGAGCCCCACTGTTTTGGATTTATGGTGCCACTTAGGGGAGACAGGCCTGTACTGTTGCGCAAGTAACACGGCGACCGAAAGCATTTTGTTGGAAGAGCGAATGCATTTAGTTTCTGCGTGTGCCGCGAACGCGAAGCGCAATGGTTTGGACGGACGCGCCACTGTGCTCCACAAAAATTCGATTCTTGCAGAATTGCGCAACATGGCACTCGCGGGACTGAAATTCTCGCTAGTAGTGATCAATTACCCGCTGCGCTTCGGACCAAAGAGTTTCAAACAGAGACACGGTCAGTTTGGGCGATGGTGTCGACCAGATTTGAAAGGTGTCGCGCCTATCGTCAAACAAGCAGCGTCGGTGACAGCATCGGAGGGATATGTGGCCTTAAAACTGATGCTCCCAGAGCAACATCGATCCTGGGGATACGACATCCTGAGAGACGGTGTCGAGCAGGCCGACCGCACAGCCAGCATCGTAAGGGAGTTCGCGCCAACATATGACATGCCCCGAGTCATGACCAAAACCCTCTGGGCGCCGCATTGGTTCATCATCAGGATGCACGACTGACGTGGTATAATACAGGACAAAACGCATCATGATTATGAAGACAAGATGACAGTAGAAGTATATATATGTTCCAGGGCTCAGGGCTGGAGGCCCCCCCCCCGATAATTTTTTGGGGGGGGGGGGCCTGCCAGCCCCGGCCCCTCTTTTCGAGGGGCTGCCGGGCGGGAAGGCCTCAAAGCGCCCACTTCTGACCCCTTCCCGCCTTGTTGCCTGTACCCTACAGACCTGGCCAAGGCAGCGGGGCCCTGCCTTTGCCCCCTTTGCCAATCCTGTACTTTAGGGGACAGGCAACAAGGCAGCGGGGCCCTGCCTTTGCCTGGTCTGTCGGGTACATGCAACAAGCCAGCGGGGCCCTGCCTTGTTGCATGTACCCTACAGACCTGGCAAAGGCAAAGGCAGGGCCCCGCTGGCTTGTTGCATGTACCCTACAGACCTGGCTAAGGCAAAGGCAGGGCCCCGCTGGCTTGTTGCATGTACCCTACAGACCTGGCTAAGGCAAAGGCAGGGCCCCGCTGGCTTGTTGCATGTGCCCGACAGACCTGGCAAAGGCAGGGCCCCGCTGCCTTGTTGCCTGTGCCCTACAGACCTGGCAAAGGGGGGGCAAAGGCAGGGCCCCGCTGCCTTGTTGCATGTCCCCTACAGGCCTGGCAAAGGCAGGGCCCCGCTGCCGTGTTGCCTGTGCCCTACAGACCTGGCAAAGATGGCAAGGCTGGCGCCCTCTGGCGTGTTGCGGTACCCGACAGAGCTGGCAGAGGAGGCAAGGCGGGACCCACCCCCTTGGCGTGCTGCATGTGGCCAACCATACAGACCGCGCAAAGGTGGCCAGGCTGGACCCCTCTGGCGTGGTCCACCCCAGATCCCTCCACAGGGGGGGGGCCTCCCTCCCTGGTACATATTTATATATAAGAACAACCGTTCGAAGCACTATAACACCAAGGCAACTTGGCGGCACTGCATCGCAAATGCAACTGTCGGGTTTTTACTCAACTCGCACGTAAAGGATAGGCTCAGAGATCCTCTACCTTACGACATCTAATGACTCACTTTCAGCGTGCTGAAATCGGACAGCTTACCTTCCGACTGAAGACTCAAAAAAAGATGTTGGTGAGTAGTGAGTGGTGACATCGGACATCGCTCTAATGTGATCCGGCGCTGAAAATTAGGTGTTCCAACACAATCAAGAAATACATGAAGCAAGAACGAGACGAGCATAATCTGTTGAGGGCATCGTCGTAGCCTTAGAGATCAGGTCGTGCAACTGCAATCGTTTGCGAGGACATGGACTCTATGACTTTAATCTGTTCTGAGGCTTTTATCTGTCCGGCCAAAGACTTCTGAAGAGAGCAGAGTGATACGACGAGGACCCACATGATTGATTCGATAATCGTTGATTGACGCTGACAACAACAATGATCAAGAATTATACATCTGTCATGAGGCTAAAGAATCCTTCTGTGGATGAGAAAAGAAGTCTCTTGGAGGGAGAGAGTACTATGTTGGAGCAGACGAGCAGTCTTAACATCTGTCACAAGTAGAGCGAGAGACAACTCCACTCTGTCTCCAGCCCGTCTATGATGTTCACATTACCTAGTGAGATACAGATGATACACGAGCAATATAATTTTGGAGTGTGAAAAATATCATGATCCTTATATTTTGCTTCAGATTCACATTCATGTTCATCTTGTTGCAATAATTCGTCTATGTTTTTACATTCAGGTAACATCACCTTCATCATAACGACTTCAAATTCCATCGTCTTCCTGAGCAGCAAAGATTTTTGGATACTTGTGACACAAAGTCTCAAAATCCCACGCACAATCCTCCTCACGCTTCTTCTTCTTCTTAGGAATTTCGCAAAAATTTTAGACTTCACTTTCAAGTCACCCCCAGTTGTACTAAACTACGCTCTACTTCAACGAACAACATTTTGTTATCACACAGAGTTGACTTTTTCTTGCTAACCAAGTATAACTTTCTTCTTCGTTTTCGTACATCACAGATTGGGGTCCTGGGATGTCTTCTCTTCAGTAGAAGCCATTCCACGATCTTTTATTCTGTGTCGTCCATTGTAAATGGTTTTCTGCTGTGTAGCCAGCTCAAAAGGTCAACAACAAGTATTCAAGCCGCTCACAGGCGAAGATTTGGTACTATTTTATGATCTGTTTTCTGTTTCGACCGTTCGAGATATTTTCGATTGTGAAAAAATAAGAAAGGATAAGAAATAAATGCATATGGATTTTTTTTGATCGTGTCCAAATTTTTTTCATACACAAACTCCCCTCATACATTTCAGGTAAAAATGCAACAATTCTTGGAGAAGGTTCCTATCTTCCGGTCCTTGTCGACCACGGACCGCGAGGCGATCTCGAAGTCCATGCACCGCGTCAAGTTCAAGAAGGGAGACATCATCTTCAACCAGGGCGATCAGGGCAATGCGTTCTACGTTATTGCCGAGGGATCTGCCAGCGTGCTCGTCCGCAAGAGCACTTTCATCAAGGTACCTGGATGGAAGCAGTTGTGTTATTTAGATTGCTGTGTCAGCTCAGTGCCAACGCTGGTTTGGAAAATCAGATTGGAGACACATGACATGACATAACATCGAGAAACTAATTTCTTTAGAAAGATCATTGGTCTAGAAGCCAAGAACTTCTCAATTTGTTTCTATAATGATCATCCAATTACAATTTCCTCCTCTTCTTCCAGGTGAACGACTTCGTCCAGCTCTCCGTTGAACTGATCTTCGCTGGTCAGTCCGTCCCACCGGGAACCATAGCTCGTGTCGACAAGTACGATCCGTCACGTGAGTACCCGTACACCATCCGTCTGCAAGGCCCGAAGTGGGATGGTCAGCGTGGTCGCGTCATGCCCGATGAGATCGAACCCAAGGAAGGCCAGCCGGAAGCCGCTCACGTCGCTACCCTGAAAGTTGGTAGATGAAATCGTAGATGATTCAGTCGTGTGAAAAACTTGAACATGATTTATGTATGTGTACCTAGTTCTTCCATGAGCGGGAGTCCTGAAAATTTATATATATATAAGAAACTGATTTTCTTACCTTTATTGGTGCTCCTTCGCCTTCGGGTCGTGCTCGTGTCAAAAAACTAACTCTCTCCTCTCCTCACACCCTCTAGGTGACTACTTTGGTGAACAGTCTTTGCTCCGTGGTAAGCCGCGTAACGCTACCATCAAGGCTGCTGATAACCTTGAGTGCGCTGCCATTGACTCGTCCTTGTTCGAGAAGCTGGACCTCGGTTCTAAGCTGACCTTCGCCAAGCGTAAGGCCCTCCAGGCCCATGATGGCGAGCGCAAGGAGAATGTTGATACCGAGAAGAACGAGACTGAGATGCGCCTCATCCTTGACGGTGTGTTGAACAACAAGAAGCTCACCGAAATCGTCGAGTTCTCCGAACAGGACTTAGAAGCCATGGTTTCTGCCGCCTACCGCATCAAGTGCGCGCCGGGTATGCTGTTTGTCTTGTATCTATAACTACAATGTATGAAGATGAAAAGCTTTCAACAAGGAAGCACGCGACACTACGTGTTTCTTCTTGTGAAAACTGCAATTTGGCGAATAAGACGTGTCAACTGAGGACGAAATATGATATGTCATGTTTGTTCTGCGTTTCTTGCAGTAGGTTTTCTACTACTTCTTAGGTAATGATTTCTTTTCTTCAACTTACTTCAACTACCTTCTTGCTTTCCAGGTGACGTTGTCATCAAGCAGGGGGATATCCAGGCTGAGGAGTTCTACGTCGTTTCCACTGGTTCGTTCGAGGTCTCGATTGATCACGGTGACGACTCCGCTTCCAAGGTTCACGCTGCTCAGGTTGTCGGCACCCTCAGCACCGGCGCCTCCTTCGGTGAGCTCGCTCTATTGTACCAGGCTCCGCGTGCTGCCACGGTTACCTGCAAGACCGCTGGTCACCTCTTCGCGATCGATCGCTTCACCTTCAAGGACACCCTGCGTAAGGCGAACGAGGCCCGCTCCGCTGGTTTCATGAAGATCCTCGATTCTATCCATCTCTTCGACTGCTTGCTTGCCGAGGAGAAGGAGCAGCTCTCCCAGCACTTGGTCGAGACCCATTACATCATGGGCGAGACCATCATCAAGGAAGGTACCTACTTTTTAGTTCAAGTTAAGATGTGGAAGATGTTTTTTTTCAGAAGAGAACAAACATTCTTTTTCTTTTTAGTAGAACGATGAAGGTTAGCGAAAATTGTAGTTGTGTATGAGCTTGACATAATTGGTTTCCTACTAGCAGTGCTTTCTGCTACGTCGACGTCGAAGAGTCACGACGATCTAGACTCAAATATTAATGTCTTTCTTTACTTCAGAAACTGAATATCAGGTGAGAACGGCAACGCATTCTACATCTTGAAGAAGGGTCAAGTCGCGTTCACCAAGAAGGACGAGAAGGGTGAAGAGAAGGTTGTCTCGCACATGGATTCCGCCAAGCCCACCGAAAAGGGCTGCTACTTCGGCGAGCGCTCGCTGTTGAAGAGCGAGAAGCGCGCCGCAACTGCTCGCGTGACGAGCACCGAGGCCTCCGCGTTGGCCCTGTCGAAGGAACGATTTGAGGATCTCCTCGGTCCGCTCGCGGACTTGATCAAGGCACAGGAGCAGGGCGAAGTCCGTCAGGGCAAGGCTGGTGGCGCTGCTGTGGCTAAGGAGCGTGACATGAAGACCATCAAGCAGAGCGACTTGAAGAAGCTCGCGCTCCTCGGTTGCGGTGGATTCGGTGCCGTCACCCTCCAGCAGCACAAGACCACCGGTGAGTGCTACGCCGTCAAGGCCCTGTCCAAGGGTCACATCGTCAAGACCAAGATGCAAGCAGGTACCATGCGTGAGAAGACCATCTTGGCCTTGTGCGACTCTATGTTCGTCGTGAAGCTGTTCGCTACCTACAAGGATGACCAGTACTTGTACTTCGTCCTCGAGCCGGCGATGGGTGGTGAACTTCATGCAACCTACCACAAGATGCGCTTTCACGGTGACGGCAAGAAGGCCAGGTACTACGCGGGGACGGTCGTCTTCTGCTTCGAGCACTTGCACGAGCGCAACATCTTATACCGAGATTTGAAGCCGGAGAACTTGCTCCTCGACCACAAGGGTAACTGCAAGATCACGGATATGGGTCTCGCCAAGGTCACCGCCGGAAAGACCTACACCACTTGCGGAACCCCGGATTACTTCGCGCCGGAAGTCATTCAGCAGGCCGGTATTTGATATAATATATGTAGAATTACGTAGAACAAACATGCAGATTCTAAAGCTGTAGTGTTGTAGTTTGATCTATTGATGAAAATGTTTTTTTCCAACCTGTCCTCTATTTATCATGTCATTCCTCGATTTTTGTTTTATTTTAACAAGTACCTAAAAAAAGTACTAATTGTAATCGCGACCTCGATGACATCAACGACAGGTATGGGCAAGGGTGTCGATTGGTGGACTCTTGGTGTGCTCGTTCACGAGTTGATGTCAGGCCACGCTCCATTCGAGGCGAACGATCCTATGGAGACCTACCAGAAGATTGTCCGCGGTGTCTCCCGAGTTCGCTTCATGTACCGTGACTCCGATGCTGTCGATCTGGTCAAGAACATGCTGAAGCATCAGCCGGCTGATCGTCTGCCAATGCGCGTTGGTGGTACCAAGAACATCAAGCAGCACCCGTGGTTCTCTGGCTTTGACTGGGCATCACTCTCCGTGCAGAAGATGACCCCGCCGTATGTGCCGAACGTGAAGGGCCCAACCGACAGCAGCAACTTCCGCGCCTCTGAGGCCGACCTGCCGCCGCAAATCCCATACAAGGACAACGGAGCCAACTGGGACAAGGACTTCTAAGGGGACGTCTTCTTTGTAAAGATAGAAAAAAGGAAGATGATACTCGTATTTTGATTTTGATTTTTGCTAATATCGATATCAATATGTTGGTATTCTTCAAGTCGCCAAGAAAGATTAATGGACAACAAGTAATTTTTCTTGGTACGAAAGGATGAGGTAGCACTAGTGGTTTTTTCGGTCGTGGTGTCACAAGGGATAGATGAAATCGTGTACAGAAACAAAAGCAGAATGTGACGCCACACCGTAACGCGCAAACACAGGAGGAGGGGAAACCGCGCCACATTATCCTTACTTCCGACGTTTTCTATCCGATATACGAAAATGAAAACCAAATGTTGTTGAGAACTGGTAGTCATTTGAAAATTGTTTTCTGAACCTGAAGTCGATTAAAATTCGAAGAAAAATGCACTCTTCTAGGGTCGGCAAGGGAGCCGAACGATATTTTCGCTATTAAATATAGTCACAAGGGACCATGATGTAGAATGAAAATAATTATGAGTGTACTAATAGGTGGATGTTGTTGTATAATGTTGTAAGTATGAATTTGTAATTGTTCTTATTATATGTATAATGAAGGACGATCATCAACATCTTCGTCATCTCCCAATGACATTTTTAGCGCTTTTACGTACGAAGAGTGGTAGCTCGTCGAAAAAAACATTATGAATCGAACGCAGAGGCGCAATTAGCGTTCCTTACCTTGTACATATCAGGATTTCTCTCGAAATTCAAATTGGTTTAGTTCTTTGTCGCAAATTTTCAGGGACTAAAACGAGTAGATACATCATGATGGGAAAACATAAGTAGTTTTTACTGTAGAGAAAAATACAATCTTACAAATCATCTTCATCAAACACGTGAAAGGAAATATGATAATCGTGATCTAGCAGCAAGTCGGAGATCATTCAGAACAGTAGTCGGGCTTGACTTCGCTCGAAAATGAACTGGTGCAAGAGACAGCACGAGTACTAGAAGGGAGGAGATGCAGGAGGGGGATTAAGAGAGGCGCGGTGGCCATGATTACAGCAGAAGAATCGCCGAGGTGGAATTTCTACTTACGCACGCAACGAACAAGGAACTAATTAGGTAGGAAGGATGATAATCCACGACTCAAGCTTGGTAAAAAGTCACATCTTCAAGTGTGAAGATAGACTGATCACTATGGAGTTACTAGTCTGCTTCATCCTCGTCTACGAAATTAGTTTTTTCTTTTAGGATGCATACTTACATGCAACTACGGGCGGCCACCGGCGAGCTGGATTACATAGTGCTGATTATAAGATCCACATTCATTCTTTCATAGATTATCATCGAATTGCAGAACTAGAACGTGAAATAGGGGTGCAGAAAAGAAAAGCCCGTGAGAAGACGTGAAAGTAGTCGGGTAGGGCATTGGCTGACTAGATAGTAAGCGGTCGAATTTTTCTATTCTTAGTCTTTCCTGATTAGATGCAGAAGCAGAATAGACTACGACTAGCGGCGCACATCAACATACGCAATATCGGAGGGTATTGGTATTGATATTGGTACAGGTCATGGTGGAGGTGGATGAAGATCGGACTACCTGAACAAGCTGATGTTGGGACGCACGTTGCATGACCATCTTTGCTATTCATTGTGAAAATGCACTAATATATCCTTCACGGACAACTAAAAAATTGGCGCATTGTCACGCTGAGGCCCTGAATCCCCAAAACAAGTACTGAAATGCTGAGAAAACGCAGACAGATATTAAGATTGAAAATAATAAGACCGCCGATGAGTAGGTAGAAAAATTAGTGATAGAGTAAGAAAAATGTCTACGCTCATATATCTGGTGCCGAATGCGAATACGGTATAATTATAATAGATGATCATGTAGTTGTAGTTTTTAGACAGATTGTGTTCTACGTCAGTCTCCTCGGTCTCGTTTCCGCAGGGATGAAGTCGGTCGATCGCAGGCCATTGGCTTACCTTTTTTTTGCTCGCAATGAATCAACCTTTTTTCCGTTAAGGTTTTCCTTGTTTCTTTTTGTTCTCAGGTGAGAACTTGCTATTGCTATTGATCATACAACAAAAGAGAGCATTGACGCGCATAAAAGGAGCGATAATCGGTATTTTTTCGAGAGGACGCCTCTAATGATGATTTCGGTACGTCAATCCCATGTAGTGTAACTACTGTCCACATTCAATCTTCGAGGAGACGAAAGCAATGAGAAGAACAGTTTTTTAGAGCACAGATAGTAAATTAGGGAGAGAGAGGTCGCACGAAAAATATGTGCGTAGGAGAGGAAAGATCGAGCGCAAATTTTTTTTCCTTTTTCTTGCTGATACATAGATTTCCACTCCATCTCGTGCTATTTATTGAATATTCATTTATCCTCCTCTACAGAGCAGGGCTCCTCGGACGGAATCAGTTGGTGTGATTACCAAGTGTTCTGCTACGACCTATCGCGTTCGCGACAAATTAATTATCGTGTCTACTTCTTGTTCTTGTACTAGTAAGTTTTCGCTTCACCAGTCAGATTCTTGTTCGTCAAATAACGTCTAGTCATAAATATTCTGAAAGGAAAGTAAAAGAAAATGTCGGGGATGATCGAATTTCTGGAGAGGGTTCCGATTTTTCGGACTCTCCAGAAGGAGGATCTTGGAGTTATTGCCCAGGGAATGAAGCGTGTATCGTTCAAGAGGGGAGAAACAGTTTTCGCGCAGGGTGATTTGGGTGATGCCTTCTACATCGTCGCTGTTGGCCAAGCAAACGTTCTCGTGCGCCCAAGCAGCTTTATCAAGGTTAGAGCATTATCAATCATGTTGTTGTTGATGTACTATAATGTTGAGGGAGCTGAAGATCATGGTGATGGTAGGTTTGCAATTGTTCCTAGGATATTAACCATACAATCACAAGCACAACCTTCCTGTCTGTAGCTGCAGCTGTGCGACATGATTAGAAGTATATACTTTGATGTTAACAAGTTTCTCATACTTCTTCCCTCCTCCCAATGTTGATCCGAAATAAAAACAAGGTTGGCGATTATGTGGAGCTGTTGACGGATTTGACGTTCGCGGGTAAGATCGTACCGAAATCCACATGCGCTAGAGTTGACAAGTACGACGCAAGCCGCGACTATCCCTACACGGTCCGCGTTCAGGATCCTAAATATGGTGGGCAGCGTGGTCGTGTTCTGCCGGATGAGATCGATCTCAAAGAAGGCAAGCCGGAGCTTTCTCACGTCGCGAACCTCAAGCCGGGTATAGAATACGTCGATCTTGGAGTTCAGTGTAGTTGGAGATCAAGTAAATGTCGCTTGCAATCGTAATTGTTAGCTACTGTAGCTACAGTTTCTTCCTGTTGGACAACCTCTAGTTCCTGAATCAAGCCCTTGGTATATAGTCGTATGATTACCACGACAAGCATTAAGACGACGGCCTTGTTCATCAATCTTTCTTTCTACCTCCCCTTTTTGCGACCAACACCAAAGGTGACTACTTTGGAGAACAGAGTCTGCTGAAGGGTAAACCTCGTAACGCGACTATCAAGGCAGGAGAAGACTTGGAATGCGGCATGATCGATGCTGACCTCTTCAAGACTTTGGATTTGGGGTCAAAGATCGCCTTTGCCAAGCGAAAAGCAATTCAAACATTCGATGCGGAAAAGAAGGAGCCGGGAGGTGATACCACCAAGAGTGAATCGGAGATGAAGTTGATATTGGTAAGTCCTAGTTACTAAGGATTATCAGGTAACACTAACAGTATCCAAACCAAGGTAATAGCAGAACATTGTTGAATCAATTGCTCAACTGTAGCCTTCTCAGCTGCTAGGCGTGTGTCGAAATAATAAGTACCGAATCTGTAGTAGTCATGCAAAACCTTGGTTCAACACGCCAGTCCTTTCGTTTGAACAATGATGTTTGATAGCCGAAGAAGTCAATAAAGAATGTCATAGATATCATTTATAATGTTAAGCATCATACCGTAAGGATTTATGCTGGAAGCGGTAAGACTTAAAAGCTTCTCGCCCATCCGGACAACAAACTTTTTTTCAGGACGCCATTCTGAACAACAAGAAGTTGACGGAGATTATTGATTTTGAGGAGTCGCACTTGGAGGCAATGGTGGCAGCTGCGTGGAAGAAACCATGTGCGCCTGGCGATGTCGTCATCACGCAAGGCGATATTCAGGCGGAGGAATTTTACGTAGTGAAGGACGGTGAATTCGAAGTCACGGTTCAAGGGGGCGCAAGTGATTCCGTCGATTCCAAGGCTTGCGCAGCGAAGACGGTTGGTACGCTGCAACCGGGAGCGTCTTTTGGAGAGCTGGCCTTGTTATATCAAGCTCCGCGCGCAGCAACCGTCACGTGCAAGCGGCAGGGCACTGTATTTTTCCTTATCGCTACTTCATCTTCTACATGATCTAGGTATTCGTAATATTCATTGTTCTTCCATCTAGCATATTTCTACTCGTACCAAGTCTAACCAGATTCTACTCGTACCAAGTAGTGCGAGTCACTGTTTAGTAATAACAGGGATCATGATGAGGTGGATCAGATTCCTCTAGATAGTCAGCAGAAGTGTTTTATTCGCTTGTAGTGGGCTCGTGAATCCTAACGAAAAAATCTTTATCACATTCACAATTTATTACGATTACAGCTGTTTGTGATTGACCGGTACACGTTCAAAGAAGTCTTGCGCCGAGCCAACGTTGACCGCATTCAAGGCTTCTTGAAGATTATCGATAGCATCCGCCTCTTCGACTGTATGCTGGCAGATGAGAAGGAAGCGGTCGCAAATGCACTGGTGGAAACGAACTTTATTCTCGGCGAAACGATCATTAGGGAAGGTACGCAAATGAAAAACTAAACTCGCTGAAATTTCTTTACCTTGATGAGCGTCTTCATCTTTTCGTCCTCTCAACTATTTCCGTCTTTCACTTTTAGCGTCTTTATGTCGTACCCCTTCTATATCTTCTACTTTTAGGTGATGTCGGCAATGCGTTTTACATTCTGAAGAAGGGAACAATTGCCTTCACGAAAAGGGATATTCACGACGGCGAAGAGAAGGTCATTTCCTACATGGACGCATCCAAACCGGAAAAGGTACATCAATTTCCTTGGAGCGTTTTTGAAGGAATGAATCCTTATTCACAACTACATGAGTGATCTGCAACAAGAAAAAAGTAAGCTGATACTTGTTGTGTTTCCTATGTCTTGCCTGCCTCTGCTTGTCTACCTCTCCAATCTATAGTTTGTTGTATGACATTCCGCAGGGTTGCTTTTTCGGAGAGCGAAGTTTGTTGAAGCAGGAGACAAGAGCAGCTACCGCGCGCGTGACTTCGTCTGAGGCTGTTGCTTTGGCTCTTTCCAAGGATCGCTTTGAGGAAATGCTTGGATCTCTGGCGGACATGATCAAAGAGAAAGAAGGCAGCAACAACCGCAAGAGCAAAGTTGTTTATGAAAATTGCACTAATTATGTCAATGTTCTTCATTTAATATCATCGAATGTTGACTGACAAGCAGATCCAAATAATCTGTTGCTCGCAGGAGTAATCTACCATTGGCTCACAAACACAGGAGATACAAGCAAATCTTGTCACAGGAATCCACCATTGTTACGCTGACACCCCGTTCATGATAGAAAGGAGCACAAGCCGCGTGATATGACCAGTATCCGCCATGAAGACCTAAAAACGATCGCGTTACTCGGATGCGGAGGATTCGGTGCTGTTACTCTTGAACAGGACAAAAATTCGAACAAGACCTACGCTCTCAAGCGCCTCAGCAAGGGTACTTCTAGTGCGTGGTAAAGATGAAGAGAACAAAATACTATATCTGAAGCTGGGATTTTCAACCTTGAAAGCATAAGTAGCATAATCATCAACATCTTGTGGATAATACTGACTTTATTCTTAGTTGCAGAGGTGATTTTGTTCTGCATGTGGTAGTTATGTTCCCTGTGTGCTTTAAGTTAAAATAATCCTTCTACCCTTCCTCATCCTCGTTGCTACATCTTCAACAGGCTTTATCCTGAAGACGAAGATGCAACAGGGAGTGCTCCGCGAGAAGCACATTCTGGCCTTGTGCGACTCTGACTTCGTTATCAAGCTTCACGCAACGTTCAAGGATGCGCAGTATCTGTACTTTGTATTGGAGCCCGCGCTTGGAGGTGAGCTCTATGCGACGTATCACAAGTACCGATTTCACGGCGATGTAAAGAAAGCCCGTTACTATTCAGCGACGGTGGTTTTCTGCTTCGAGCACCTGCACTCGATGAACATTTTGTACCGAGATTTGAAGCCAGAGAATCTGCTTCTCGACGATAAGGGAAACTGCAAGATGACGGATATGGGTCTCGCAAAGGTGCTCTTCATTTTTTTTCACTCTACTTATCGTGCATGTTTTTGTTGTTTGCGCTCTTCAACAAATGTTGGTGTCCCCGTGATCTTGTTTTGTTGATGACCACGACATGACCACGACAGGTAGTAACCGGAAAGACCTACACGACATGTGGGACCCCGGATTATTTCGCGCCGGAGGTTATTCAGCAAACAGGTATGGGCCGTGGTGTCGATTGGTGGACTCTTGGTGTGCTCACTCACGAACTGCTCTGCGGTCACGCTCCGTTTGAAGCGAATGACCCGATGGAAACCTATCAGAAAATTTTATGAGAAAGATTTTTGCAAAAAAGAACTTGGTCGAGTGAGTGTAGATACCTAAAAGTAGATCAAGAGATCCTGTCTCCTACTCGTACAAGATCCTTAGATGGAAAATATGAGTGTATCACCAGATTATCAAGATGACTCAGATTTTTCTAGCGCATGTCACGAGAATAAACCAGATTTGAATAGTCTGATGATCAAGATTACACACAGAGTACTTTCTAAGGTTCGTTCGCGGAGTGAACCGTGTGCGGTTTTCGTACAAGGACGCTGATGCGATTGACCTAGTAAAGAACATGCTGAAGCATCAGGCCAGTGAGCGCTTACCGATGCGCGTCGGCGGAACGAAGAATGTCAAGGGCCACGTATGGTACCGCGACTTCGATTGGGACACCCTTTTTGCACGCAACATGACGCCACCGTTCAAGCCTACAGTGCGCTCAGTTACCGATACTTCCAACTTTCGCGCCAACGAGTCGGAGATGCCACCAAACGTACCGTATAAGGATGACGGCTCCGGCTGGGATAACGATTTCTAGAAGAACGGCTTCCTTGTAGGGCGTGCACGCCGACCTCCACATACGCTGTTATGATATATCCAAGTTGCACTTGCACTTGCAATTAATTTGAGGAGAACCAGACGCCCTTTGAATTTGATCTATAATCTTGAATAACCATTATTATATGCGAGCAGTCTTATTTTATTTCTGGTAGTTACCAGAAGCGTTATACAACGTTGCTCTGCATGGGTCCTTGATTCAACGTCCTCAAAATATTTCATGAGACTAGCACCACATGGATGCGCATGGTAGAGACAGATGATTTCATATTTTAGTTTTGGCATTCTCATTGAACAGCCCACTAGGTAGATATCCACTGTGACTGAATACCCATATTTACGGGAACAAGTCATTTCATTTTTACCAAAGAAATCTGAGAGTCAGGCTCATCTAGTTTCAAAAGATGGTCGATCGATATTAATGCACTAGGTATTTCTAGATTCATAGACTTGTGTTAGATGTTATTTTTAGTCAGTCTTTTTTGTTGGTACAAAGATATACAGATTGTTCTTAGGTTCTTCGCTAATTTCTACTTCATCCTCTGCAGGTTAAATTTTGTTTTTCAAACTTCAGTAAAAGTTTTACGTCACAGCAGAACCACCAGCAGTAGTTTTAGCATATTTTTTGTTTACCACGAGTTTGGGTGTAGTAATGGAACGCCAAGACCACAACGCTCGCCGCGAAAGCGATCGCAGTGTCCGATGAATACGCATATATAAATTGGATAGACACGCGTTTGCGCCCGCTGCAGTTCTTGTGCGGGATATCGATTATTTTTGATTCTTCGATAGTCTATTCCCATAGTTGTAAAAGACAAGGAAAATATAGATAAGTATCACATTATTTGCATAGCTCTTGCAGGGAAGCGCCTTAAATAAAGTAGAACAAGTCCCTCGGTTTTCCGAAATAGTTCCTCTGAGGTAGAAGTTTTAGTTAGTTGTTCGTGCGACTGTGAGGAGGACTTCTGCGATGCGGCAGAGAAGATGCGCAAATTGAGCGAGAGCACGTAGTACGTGTACGTAGCTAGTAGAAGATGAGACAAGAATTTCCATATTGTGCGATCTTCATGACGTCGTGGTTTCATATGGTAGATTTGATATATTCTGCAACATATATATTAGTAATATGGGCATGGGGTAATACGAAAAAGATTAGCAGATAGGTTAGATTGATTCGTATGCATGTTCTTATGTGAAGTGAAAAGTGCAAAGCGTGTTAGAAATAGAGGAATCACCTCAACGAGTCTTAGGGTGGATTGATTCAAAGTTAAAGTGTTTAGTGATGCACTTGATTCGATCTGGAAAGGCGGCGTCGCGCTGTATTGTCGATTCGATGTGATCTTACTTGAATTTCTATGTTAAGGAGACTGGTGTGCCTGTGATTCAAGAGCAAGGTGGACCTCAGTTCTACCAGCGGCTCTGTCGTAAGTCGTCGACAATACTGCTGCGACGTTTGTGTGTGTATGGATCGGAATGCGAACACATTCCCCGCATACTAATAATGACAATGAGAAAGAATCTGAACAACATGCAAGCATTTTTCTCAAAATAAAATCCTCCGAGTCTTATAAATATCTTGATTCGAAGAGAAAAACTAGGACGGAATAGAAATACCTGTGTTGAGAAGGGCGATGAGATAAAGTCCCGTTCTCGTATTCATGGTTCCGAACAAGTCGCTACGCGCAGTCACAATCTGTTGTTACAGGAGACCGTGTTCTCACCAAAAAGGTGGAAGTTTGACAGAGCCATAATGTGACGCTAAGTTCTAGTACTTAAATGTGTCGGACATTTTCGCTTGATGTGATGTGAGGCACCAGCATTCTTCTGCTTGCGAGTCAGATTTTCCCAAGACCGTCCAAAGACTGATGAGGTCAATCCATGATCGTGGACAACAACAACAACAACAACACCATCAAGGAAATTTTGTGAAATAAAGTCGAGTGCCATAAGCGCAGCGTTGATCCACTGACTAGGTACAAATAGAAATATTATTTAACGATTGGAGGATTTCCACAAGTACAGGGAGAAACTTGGCGACGTAGGCGATGCGGCGACTATATAATTAGAAATCAAGCGGCATTTCGTCTTCTCTGTACTTCTTTGTAATCCATACACTACTCTCACTCTGGTCGTGTGCGTGTGGATTGAAATGTCATTAATCTGTATTTTTTGATATTAAAAAAACGCGATCGTCATTGGCATTGCTGTGTTTTCTCAATAGTCCACTAGCTACACGTACATCCACAGTGCGCAGCGGTTAGTAAGAAGAAGATAAGATGGCAGTAGTTGTGCCGCGTAATTTCCGGCTCCTGGACGAGCTGGAAAAAGGACAGAAAGGCGACTGCGCATCCGGAGTTACATGGGGGCTCGAGAAGCCAGACGATATCTCACTCACCTACTGGAACGGCACGATATTCGGTCCACCAGCAACAGTTTTCGAAAATCGTATATAACTACTACTGCTTATGGTTTATTTCATGCCTACCACTGGTAATCTTGCTCTTTTTGTGTTGCAATCATATTTGTTTTGGATGAAAAAAAGCGTTCTAGGGAACAGTGAAGTAATGCAAAGAAAATACAAGAAATGATAAAGCGATTATCATTTTCATTATCCTTTAGCTCTCAACTAAAGATCTTAATTTTTCAGGTATCTATTCCCTTTCGGTTATCTGCGGTGAGAAATATCCGGACGACCCGCCAATTATTAGGTTCAACACACAAATCAATCTCGGATGCACGGACAAGAACGGATGCATAAAGGTAAAGACTACTTTTTCTCAAGCCTATTGCAGAACGCTTTGTTCAGCTGTAGTAATCGTCCACTGCTTTTCTCTTCAAATACGAACTTTCCATCCTGTTGTAAGCGCACTGGGCCAACTGCTCGTTTTCCTAGGATAGTGCAAGGAAAAGTGAATCCCACGAAATGAATGTATTGCACACTGGACGCACTTATCTTTATACATGAGAACCTCCATATTGATCTTTTTAGGACGCGTGGCCGCTTCTGGCACAGTGGCGAAGAGAATACACGTTGGAAACAATATTGAGCAGTCTTCGACAGGAGATGGCATCAGGCGGGAATAGAAAACTTCCACAACCCCCAGAAAGCAGCATGTACGCCGACGCATAATAATTTTTCCATATTAGACATAATAATTCTCTGCTATGAATATATTTCGCTGGGGGAACCCCCCTCCTTGAGCAGGTTTATTATGAGAGTTTTTTGATTGGCAGATGCAGGTTCCTCAATACTTAGAACGTGTAGCAGATGGGCCATTTGATTATAAACTGGGGATCAAACAACCTCCTTCATAGCTTCCACTTGATGCGCCTCCGTCCAAAAAAACATTGAGTGGACGTACTATATGGGTCGCCACATGATAGGCATTCCGACTTTCAAAAAAGAAATGGGATTCAACAGGGAGCATTGTACTCGCGCCCTGCTGCTTTATGCAGAGAGGTGGAGACGTGCGGTAGCACGCATGAAGGTGTCCATTTTTTTGAGAAAGTAAGTCGTCAGTCGTGTGTAGGCAGGAGCAAACAACAACATGGGACAACGTCGCGTTTTGTACCGTTCGTCCGATGCAGAGGTACTTCATCATGATTTTTGGTCGGATCACGCTAGCTGTTCAAAGTGGATCTACATGTTTCTACCGACGGAAGTGGTTGGACAAGTTTGTGATCCTATCGTCCTTTCTAGCACGTGAGTGTCAGGGCTTATGATCCAATGGTGAAGAAAAAATCGAGACCAAAGATTCCTGGTTTGATACACGACATGGCCTCCGATCATGTATCTGCACACGGCTCTGCACTCTTGTGTTAGAATTTTGCTTCCAAAAAGAAAGAGGAATTAGAAATGTCGATATGAATGAATAATACTAAAATGATGAAGAGGAATCTGATGCTGTTTTTACGACTGCGGCCAAGAGCAAGAGTTGTAGCAAGGACTTGAGAGGAGATGATAATCTTTATCCGAATAGTAAGTAAAAAGTAGGCCATTTTTTTCTGCACTCGCGTGGTCATGCGAAAAAAATCAGAAGGTGCAGGAGCAGCCACGAAGATACTGAATTATCATTAGCTTTATGTTCATGGGCCTGGGCTCGTTGCTACCTGGGAGCATATCGCTGCGTCTCTTATTTTCAGGAGTACTTCTTAATTGATAATATTGGCGTGAAGAAAATGAAACTCAATCGGTTGTGGAATTATCATATCAATCTAGTGAAACAAACACGAATATGAAGAGACCTAGGGAAGGAGAAGAAGAGGGAGCTCGTCGCAGTTCCAATGCGTCTGACAAGCGGCCGCGCACCAGCGCGGAACCAGCGGAGGCAGGTGGCGTTCCGTTGAAATGGTGTCTAGAGATACGGCCGGACCTTCGTCGAGGGTATTTGCACGCACACCTGGCAGCAAGCCGTAGGTTTTGTGACGCGAGTATTCGCTCGAGGCGCGAGAAGGAGGTGCCCGACTCCGCAGGAGGTAGTACTAGTAGCGGCTCAGGTGGCAGTGGCGTCGAGGTCATGAACATTCTCGATCTCGTTGTGCGGCACCAGCCTGTTGAAACGTGTTCGCCCGAAGAACCTGACTCATCCAAGGAAGGCGTTGCTTCGCAAGCAGCTAAGCCAGATGGAAATAATACTGTTGAACAAGACGCCAGCACATCGACAACCCTCTCGTTTCTGTACGGCAGAAAATCAGTGGCATCAGAGACCGCCTCCGCCAGCGATGATGATACCGCTGATGATACTGGTCTGCTCTCCTTGGATCCTCGCAATTCCCTACGCGTGCTGCCGAGTTCCGACTCCTCGACGATTATCACATTGCAATTCTCCTTTGGCGAGCGGTGCGTCTTTTTCGAGGGCGACGACTACGACTTGGTCTGCCTTATTGCGACGTCCACTCTGCTCGAGGGCCCACTACAGAGCAGCATCAAATGTCGCACCTGCATGGCTTGTCTGTTTCCTATTGACGAGCAGAAGGCTGCAGATAAAGCTGAAGATGAACACGATAAACCTGCAACTCGCACAACCGCCTCCAGCACTTCTAGAAGTGTCATTGAGCAGTTCCAATTACCTTCAGTTCTTTGGGATACCTTTTCGGACTGCGTGGCTTGTGAGGAGTGTATGCCCTTTCGTACCTCAAAGTTCACAGCTCTGCGCGGTCGCCTGTACTGGAGCAAGATGTACGCGCTTTTGCATGCCGACGATTTCGGTCCCTTTTCGAAGTTCGATTTGAAGACGGGACGATGCAAAGAGTGCGGTACCTATGTGGGGGACCATGCGGACGCGAGCGCGGGAGTGCAATTGTTCAAGCACAAAATTTCCTACAATGGTTCGCCGACAAATGGCACCTCTGAGCAGCCAGTACAGGACATCATCAATCCCTCTGGATCTTCTGGGACGGATGAACATGCAAGGTGGGCGACGCGAAATATATTCTCGGGGCATACCGATGTAGGTTGCGTGGGAGTTGTATTGCGAGAAGCCCTGGAAGTAAATAGTTGCAGACAGTTTAGGCTTTTCCTGGACGAGAGCAAGAATAAAAGGGATGATACGAACAATCAGGGAAAGACTTCTCCTGAGAATATCTTCACTCCAAAAGAACAAGATAAAAGTGCCTCTAAAGAACAAGATAAAAGCACGTATTCGGACGCTGACGGCGCAAGAGTTTCCTTTCCCCCAGAAATATTAAAAGAAAATGCAACACCATCATCAAGTGCTGATATAAGGAGCGAAGCTAAAGCGGAGGACCATCCTACTAGAGCGAAAGGCACTTCTACGGGCGAAGCCAATGACGAAGAAAGCGGCGCACATTTGTCGCCTGCCTCTACGGCGGCTGAGACGGAAGATGCTTTGGCTGGAGAAAACATCGTGCCTTCTCTTCAGCAAAGCATTCGCGTGAAGGTGGTCGCGAAAAGAACGAAGCTGCTGAATATAGATGGTGAGTACGATGGGACTATGAAGCTTGCTGCGTGCCAGGGGGAAGAGAACTTTCGTGACCATATGTGCGTGTGGTACCGATTGGAGAATGACGAAGTCGTCAAAAATGTAACTACTACGCAAGGTACGCGACCACAATCTGAAGAGAGGAGCATCGCCATACGGGATCGTGACGTTTTCAAGGAAGTTCTACGCTATCTTTATTCGGCGCAAAAACGCATTCCACAGCAGCCTGAATCCCCTTGGATGTTCGCATACCTGCCAGTTCTACCTGCGGAGTAAAAGGATTCAAATTTGTCTTTCATTGCTGTCCCGCTCCCGTCGAGCATGCCTACCTGTTTCATCTTTTGTAAGCCCATTGCACCTGTTAGTTTTCTATCTCCTGATATTGAGTTGTGCCTCATCTGATTACTTGATGAATATTGGAAAGTTCCCATGAGTAGACGATAAGTATATGGCAGAGTAGTACTAGTTATATCATTCCTCCTGCTGTCTCCGCTTTCTTTCGTTGCTCCCCTTGTCGAAAAAGAACAGAACATGCTTGAACTGCAGGTCGTTTGGCGGTGTCCTCCTGCTCAGTCATTGTTGCCTGCTTCGTCTGCGCCGGTGTAATTGTTGCTCGCTGAGTCGTGGTTCTTTCAAGAAAGAACTAGACCGAATTTTTTAAAGCAAAGCACTACTGCTCTACATGATGGCCAAGAACTAGATTTATCGTGAAAATCTAGACGATCCTTGCTTCCTCTGCATGCTTACTCTCCAAGATAGAATGTGATACAAATGCAATGATCTCCACGATTCCGGTTACAAATCGTTCTGATCAAACAAGATAAAGTGGTGGACAGCTTGAAAATCCTTCGTCCACCTTCACTTGGTGCATGCGATCACTGCTGCAAAGTGATGAAATGAAAAAAAGATATGCTGATCCTCCTTCCAGCAGAGCAGACGTTGTCAAGTTGTCAACGCAGCGCTCGAACAACAAGAATAATATCTCTCAACAATGCGAATGTCACTGCTCTCTCTCTGCGTATCGTCATGATCACGCTCATCCTTGCGTACAAATTCTTACTCAACATAATTGTTGACTGACGTGTAAAAGCTGTATTACAAGCTGCTAGCGAATCCTACTGACGTAACATTGGTGCTTCTTAACTGAAGGAATTTTCCTTATTACATACTGATCAAATGTCAATTTGCATAATTTGCTTGAAAGGGGAACTTTTTAAATCTAGAGTCCACCTTGTGCTAGTTCTAAAGTAGTTTATGAAGACCAACCATCTACGAAATCGTCGCAACATTTTTCCGCCGATCGCTCCCAAAATTCGCTAGCTGTGGGAGTTGTGGCGGAGCTTGTGACGAGTCTCGTATTTACTGTGGCGAGAAATTTTTTGACTGTGACGAAAACCGTTTTCACTGTGACGAGTCTCGTTTTTTACTGTGGCGAGAATTTGTTTTACTAGGGCGATTATTTTTTTGACTGTGACGAAAGTTTTTTTTTTTACTGTGGCGAGAATTTTTCTTACTGTGGCGAGAGTTTTTCTCTGACGGAAATTTTTTACTGTTGTCGAAAATTCTTCTCACTGTGGCGAGAGTTTTTTCTTACTGTGGCGAAGATTTTTGTCACTGTGACGGGCTTCGTTCTTACTGTGACGGGCCTCGTCCTTACTGTGACGAGCCTCGTTCCCACTGTGACGGGCCTCGTCCTTACTGTGACGGGCCTCGTCCTTACTGTGATGGGCCTCGGCCTTATTGTGACGAGCCCCAGCCTGCCTTGTTGGTATGAGTCAGCGTCGACCTCATTGCGACAGACCTCAAATTTAGTGCGGCGAGCCTCAGTCTCATCGTGGGCACTCAAGTGGTGCCAGGATTCGACTTCGAGTAGTCCGAAGGGCTGGGCACTCGCTGGCGAGTCCTCAGGCTCTCGAGCTGTTCGAATCTTGACACCACTAGAGTGCCCTCCAGCAGAAACGCCCTCAAGGCGCGCGCGCCTTCTCGAGCCGCCAACAAAAAACGCGCGCTTTCGCGCTCTCAAAGTCTTAGCACGGTGACGGGCCGCAGCCTTACTTCGAGGCCAGGCACGTGCCCCCAAGGACCGAGAGGGGCGCTGGCTGCTTGGGGGCGTTTGTGTTTGGGGGAATTCTAGTAGCGTCAGGATTCGAACAGCCCGAAGGGCTGGGCACTCGCTGGCGACGAAAAAGGCGCTTGCGCTCCTTTCGGGCCAATTCTGGGGACACCTGCCCGCCCTCCAGAGGCCAAGGTTTGACGCTGAGGCTCGCTCGTCACGATGAGACTGAATCTCGGCACAGTAAAGATGAGGCTTGTCACAGTAAAGACGAGGCTCGTCACAGTAAGGACGAGGACGAAGCTCGTCACAGTAAAAAAAACCCTCGTCACAGTAAAAAGAATCCTCGCCACAGTAAAAAGATTTTTCGTCACAGTGCAACGAACTCGCGCCACAGTAAGAAGAACCCTCGCCACAGTTAAAAAAAATTATTGCCACAGCAAGAACGACTTTCGTCTCAGTAATAAAGATGCTCGCCACAGTAAAAACGAGACTCGTCACAGTGAGCACGATTCTCGTCACAGTAAAAAAACCTACCGCCACAGGCTCCGCCGCAACTTCCACAACTTGAGCACAACTTCCACAACTCCTGAGGAATAAAGACAGTGCAGCTTTTTCAGAGATGTTTGCTTTGGCCTTCCTAAGTAGTAGACAAAGTTCCACAACTAGAAGAAAAGACTTTCGAAGGACGCAGTCGAGTTGTGGTTTCGTTTTTCTGGTCTAGTTAGTAGCCTCGGCCTGCTGTGTCAAAAGCTAGATCTTCTCTCTGTAGATCATTCATGTGGCAGCGAAAGAGTTGAGGACTTTCATCTTTTCCAATTTGTAAAGCCGTTTGTAGTTATAATTCTAGTACTGCTACTGTTCTTGTTCGAGGTTGACCAGGTTGTTTTTCAAGAAAAGGAAAAGGTTTTATCACCAAGTTTATGATATGGGGGATAATGACGGGCCTAAGACATTCGGTGGGAAATATATCCCGCCTCATATGAGGAAGCGCGCCGTGGAACAGAAGCCTGAAGAACAAGACCAGTCTTCTTACAACGACAACCCTCCAAAACAAAACGACGGCAAAGATTACGGCGGAGGCAAGGAAACTTAAGGCAAAAACTTGGATTAGAAATTTTTTGTGGTCCATCGCGTTGGGTCTACTTCTATTCTATTATGCGCGTGCGCTTTATATTCAAGAGAAGAAAAGAGAAGGCCTTGCGCTTTCTGGCCGCTGGCTTGTCGTTTGGAATTCTTCACTCTCGTTTGAGAGTGCCGGCGGAGCGCGTTTTCTCAGCCCGCCCAGGCTCCTCGCAAGCCGTTCGCCGCCCCGCCCTTTTTGAGGTTTGTGCGTTGGGCAGCAGTCTCTTTCTGCTCCGCAGTCAGTCCTCTGCAGTCACCGCGCGGAGCCGCATTTTGGCCATCCTTCTGCGCGGCTGTTCGGCTCTTGGTCTTGTCCCTTCGGTCCCAGGTCTTCTCGCGTGGCACTGTAGTGAGGAGCGTCTTTTCGGTCGAGCGAGATAGTGCGCCCCGTTTCCTTCCTTTCGCGGCTGTTTCTAGTGTGACTCTCATGTGTATAGATATTAAGGAAGATAGTAGAACTAGGGCGGATGCCTATAGCATCAATCATCTGATTATAATGGTGGCTCGCAGTATTGTTCAACAGCTTCAAATGTTTTCTCCAAAAATTAGCAGTAACATTTCTTTATTCTTATTGTTTATGTTTGCCTGACTCTGACAGGTGCTTTCTCATCTTCTTCTAAGAAACTAGAGAGTACTACGGCAAAGATAAGGACTACGGCGGTGGTTCCTACGGTGGGAAGGATTCCTGGGATCGAAAGGGAGGTAATTTTTGCCGTTAAGGACGACCGCGAAATCCTTGCTCTTGTTCTTGATGAAGACGATCATCAATTTTGCCTATTCTTAGAAATGTTTATTGTTTTTCATTATCTCTATTGTGATATTGATACTGTCGCCCACGTTCTTTTGGTAGTTCGGCTTCCTCGTCGCGTGAAAAACAACCGGTGTGCAAATCACGAATCACGAAGAAAAATTTAGATCGTTCTTTTCATTCTATTCAGATGGGTATGGCTATCGTGCGGGCAATGGCAAAGGTGACGGTGGCTGGGGCAAGGGAGGCTATGGAAAGCCGCAACGCCTAGGAGGCGATGGCTATGGTGGATACGGTGGCGGGTAACAATTTTTTTGTAGATCTTCACGGCCCAGGCCCACATTCCTAATGTAATGACATGACGAGTCAACATGAAGAACTTACATCATAATCATCATTTTTCTATCCCCAACAACAATGTAAGTAAGCTTCTCTTTTACTTTTGGCTCGCCTTCGCCGACGAGCAAAGTAGGCTAATACTAATCCTGTTGATCATACTAGTTCACGTTCACAATTCTTATTCTGTTTATGACTTTTGTTTGTAAGGTGGAGTGGCAATGGTAGTCAGCAGGAACGGTACGGTGGTGGAGGCGATATTTCGTCCTACACACGCCGCGGGCATATGGACTCAGAGGATCGGGAACAAGAGCCGCGCAGCGGTGGAACAAATGTATCCTACTCGAAGCAGGATATTCGAAACCGAGGACCCGCGAATAACTTTAAGAGGTTTTTTTTTGACGGTCTAGGCTGCTCAATACGTAGATAGATAGCTAGATAGATCATACGACTTTACCCACTGCTTGTCATGTTCCATGACACGGCGCATGAACGTGTTAACTAGATTGCTTTTTTTATTGGTTCACCTTTACGAATAGGACAAGTTGAGCAAGAAGGACCTAAATATCCACTTCTAGGGCTGTAGTTTCCTCTAAAAAGAGTTTGCATTCGCATAGGTCCTTATATCACCATAGATTCGGATGGATAGTGCTACTGATTTAGTTCTTGTTGTTTTCAGTGTTTTTCTGAAGAACATCATGTAATCGTATCATGTATTCTCTTCACGAGATACTAGCACATACTAGTAGTAAATAGTAAGTTGTTTGGAAGGATTATAATCATGCTTTATTGTTGTGGATGTAGAAGGTCCTCTAAGTTAGCTGGCGGAGTAAAGAGCCAACGTGAGCCACAAAATTGGTTTGAGCGTCCTGATTGCCGTCAAAACTACCCCAAAATCGAAGAAGATGAAGCAGAAGTGTTCCCGAAAAGGACTCACAGAACTGGTAAGCTTCCCTGATTTATGGCAGGTGGTTGGTACAGTACATGGACATGGAGTACACAGAACTGGTAATCTTCTATCTTGATCTTTGGTACAGTACATGGTCATAGAAGAGATCTTATTGATTTAATAAATTGCACACGACAATGAAAAATGCAAATCACGTGTATGATTCTGATCAATACTAGTACAGTAAGGGAGTTAATAGCGTATAATCGGAGCATCAGGTCTAGCCCTTCGAGTTAACAAAAAACGGACGACTATCCGTAGAGCAAAACGTATATTGTATAGTCTAGTATAGATCATTATCTGAAAGCAGGACGTTTTTTATTCTTGTAGTTGTCTCATACTCTTCATAGAACAACCCGGCTGGTCACCGGGGTCCCATTGGGACAACATTACCGCGCGAAACGTCGAAAGATGACCTGCGCACTCCGGTACCCGTGGACGGGCCGGGGCTTGGCTCGTGGTTCTACGCTTACGGCCTGACGACGTGGATAGAGGGAGGCGGGCGCTGCACTCCGTCGCAGGGAACGCGCTCACGCTAGCGAACTGCGGCGTGTCGTTGCTGCCCTTTCCTGGCGTGCGGTGCCCATGTCTGGGCTTTCGGATTGTGGGCAAGAGACTTCAGCGCGAGCCTTCGGCTTCGCGCGTGCTGGCCTGTGTTGGCTTCGCGGCCCCCTCGGCTTCTCTCTCCCTGGCGCGGAGGGTCTCCACCGGTCTCCACCACACCACTGCCGGCCAGGGGTGGCGCCTTTTTGACGTGCTGCCTCTGCTGCGTGAGCGCCTCGGCGTCTAGAAGGTCGGGCGGGCGTCAGATTTCACTGCGTCGCTTTATTTGGTCTTGGTTTGCGCTACTTGGTGGGTTTTTTACGCTTGTACGGGACTGCGGGTTGCGGTCTGTGATGCATTGGCTTTTCGGAAACTAAACGAGCGAGCAGCGGCACTGTGCAGGAGTGCCGCCGCTCCCTCCTCGCGCACTTTGTGCAGGCCTGTGGCTGTCGTGGGGCTTGCGCTCCGAACTACGACGCAGCTCGCCGCGGGGGGGTCTGGTGCTTTGGGGCTGCCTTAGCGCGGCGCGCTGGCTTTCGACTAAATGCCCCTGATGCTGTTTCTCTAGCTGTTTCTACCGCTGCACCTGCTTGCCTTTCTTCGGTGTTGGTTTGAGGCTTCTTGCCTTTTTTTACCATGACGGCACCGGCAAACACACCCGGACCGCGGCGCCTCTTGTTAGGACTCTCTTGCATTTGCCTAGCGCGTCGCTGTGCTTCAGATTCCGCCTTTTGGCTGTCTGTTGTAGGTCTGTGGATAACCGTCTATCCTTCTCCTAATAATAATAATACTCATAGAACAAAGTAGATAGACCAAGAAAAGAGCATCCCAGGAGGAGCATGACGCAACACTGTTGTTTTGATTTTATTGTTGAACTGTCAGGTATCAACTTTGACGAGTATGACAAAATTCCTGTTGAGAGATCGGGTAATAATTGCGAAGCTGCAGTCGCAATTAACCGATTTTCTGAAGCTCGACTCCACGATGATTTGTACGAAAACGTCACTAGATGTGGGTACAGCTTCCTACTTCGTGGGCTAAATTTTGCGATGAATTGTGATTTCGCTTGATCTTACCACATGGCGTTGGGCTTTCCATTGCAGTTGGATAAAGAAAGCTCTTTCTTTCAGTTTTAGAGGCAAAAATAATTAAGCTTTATTCCACATCACGTACAACCGCAGGTATGATCGCCCAACGCCTATTCAGAAGCACAGTATTCCAATCGTTCGATCCGGGCGCGATGGTATGTGCTGCGCACAGACAGGCTCAGGAAAAACAGCAGCATTTCTGATTCCTGCCATTCAGTCACTTCTGGACAAGGGTCCTCCAGGAATTCCTGATATGCCCAACGCTAGAGGACTTTCCCGGTATTCACTTTGTTTACTTAAAAGAAGGCATTTTATCAAATTGCTTGCGTTTTTTCGATCACTGGGATTCATTTTTTCATCCTAGTAGAGGTGTGCACTGATGAATGTGTCCTTGATTTTCATGTTATAAATATGCAACTACAACTAGTAGAACGTAGTATTACGTTGTGAAGCAGCACTAGGCTTAATACGTAATGCAGACGTGCTTGAATCTTGTAAACAGGCCTGGGGGAGTATGTGCCGTGATTTGGTCAAAAATGAGAATCTTTCTCCTGTGATGAAATTTAACTTAGTGTCTCGCTTCCGATTGTGTTGGTTTTGGCACCGACCCGAGAGCTGGTCTCACAAATCTACGATGAGGCACGCAAGTTTTGCTTTCATACCGGTATTTTGGCGCAAGTCGTGTACGGGGGTGCGCCCTTGATGGAACAAAAACGAGAGGTCGGTCGGGGATGCGATATCCTTGTTTATGCTCGTCAGCTCGTTGTATCGTAGACGTAGTTCGGACTACTTAACCTCCCAATTGGTATACAGACCAATCCCCTGAGGCATCCTGACATGACATATTTAATGCAATCTTGCACTTTCACGTTCGACAATTTCATCGTAAATATCTGTCTTTGTTTCAGAAGTTTTTGGGCAGTGTTGAAGTGCGATAGATGACGTGACGCAAAAACGAAAACGATGAATGAACAACAAATATATACCCCTTGCACTTGCTGGGTACATCATCATCATTGTGTACGCTCTAACCTTTTGCTGCGCCGGGTCGCCTCACTCATATGGTCGAGTGCAACTGGATCAATCTGGGATATACAAGGTATAAGAATGGTTGTTAGCGGCACTGACGTGAACAGGTTTCACGTGTATTGGAAACCAAAACTTAAGATACGTTTTTCGTTAATGAAGTGCTTCTACTGCGACGCGAGCGCGACTCTTTCATCAGATTTGCTCTTAGAGCGGCATGTACGGAAAGATAGCAATGTTCAGACCTTTCTTCAAATGGATAGTTACTTGAGCTAGGCTTGTCATACCATTCCAAAACTCAACATTTCAGATACTTGGTTTTGGACGAGGCGGATAGAATGTTGGATATGGGTTTTGAGCCGCAAGTCCGACAGATTGTTGAACACACAAATATGGGTGAGTTTTATCATGGAAATCCTGAATTCGACCGACAAACAATGATGTTTTCAGCGACGTTCCAAGACGAAATCCAGATTATGGCCCGCGATTTTCTGTACTCTTCTTATAGGTTTTTAGATGTGCTTCTCATACGTTCCTCCCCTCAATCTCGCTTTGCTTCAATTTTTTCTGTAGGAACGTACAAAAGAATGCAACTGATCCACGGTCTTCAATACATCAAGGACAATCAGAAGTACTAATTTATTTTAGAAGTAGTCACTATGTGCTTTGTTTTGAGTTGTTGTTCTCAAAGTTACCACAAGTAGAGCATACTGCTATTTTAGAAGTAGAAGACAGACTAAGGCCCGAGAGGAAGGAATGAAATCGAGTTTTCTTGTTCGACTGGTGTAAAACTCCTGCATCCACAACTACATGTCAGGCGCGACTACATCTTCCTCAGCGTGGGACGTGTAGGTTCGACAAACGAATTTATTGAGCAGAAGGTGATGTATGCAGAGGAGAACGATAAAACTCTGCGTCTTAAGCGTTGCCTCAAGGACGCAGCGATAGGATGCGGCGGCGAAGGCCTCTGCCTTGTCTTCGTTGAAACCAAGAAGGGAGCTGACGTGTACAACTACTAGGACTTCCAATTTGTCAAATTAAACTCCTGTTGCTTTTGGACTGTGATATGCCAACTGCCAATCCCTGTGTGTAGTAGCTACTAGAAAATATTTCGACAACAAAATTCAGTGGAGTTTTCAAAAAATGTTGAAAAAGAGGCGGCCAGGCTTTTCTTGTTGTTCTTGGCATGATATGCTGCGTTATGGCCGGTGGTGTGGAGATTCAGCGTGGTAACCGGTCATCATCTATTACTATTCACTTTTATGTATACCCATACTTAGGAGTATCTTCAGACAAATACTTGTTTCTATCCTCTACCTTTTCTTCTATTACGAACTCAGGCTCGAAAAGGATTTGTGGAAGAATAATTTTGCAGTGACTGCGATTCACGGTAACCGAAATCAGCAGGAGCGAGAGGAAGCACTCCAAGCATTTAGATCAGGGCAAAACCCGATTCTGGTAGCAACGGATGTGGCTGCGCGCGGTCTTGATATTCCCAATGTCGCTCTTGTGATTAACTACGACATGCCAAAGAATATTGACGATTACGTCCATCGCATCGGCCGTACAGGTCGCGCCGGGCGACATGGAAAAGCAATCGCGTTCATCAACGACAAACAATGTACTTTAGTTTGTTTTCTTACAAACTTAGGATGTAATCTGATGAAATAAGTTTGCAAGGCCAAGAAGGGACTCCTAGTGCGGTTATTGTAGGTACTGAATGTAAGAAAAGGCGAAGGAATAGTTCTCTAGTTTGAATATTATAACATTTACGAGCAGTCCCAGTCCATCATCGCATTGAATCGTTTATATTAAAAAGATATGTCTCTGATCATTTCTGCCAGGTTCCCGGGATTTGTTGCGCAAATTGAATGATCTTTTGGTCGAAGCGAAGCAGGATCGCCCTGACTGGTTCGAGGAGATCGCTAGAGTCCATAACCAAGGTGGAAGACTTGATAAATATACGAGCGGCAAGCAAGCACGCGATTTGCGCCAACTTGACGGCACTTTTACTTATGTCGCCGACAAGATGTGTTTCCCTACTTTCAAAATAGATGAATTGTCTTTTTTCATGGATTTTTTGAAGGTGGACTGCTCAACGAACAGACATCTTGGCGAGACTTGATTTCAGTTTTTCCTCGAATCCTACTTCTATAATATGTTGGACCTACACTTTGAATTCGACGGCCGACATTGATTTTATCTATCGTCTGCCTGGTGTAATATTAGTAATTATTGAAATTGATGAATGTTGTTGTATTTTCGTTCGCGCTCTAAGACCGCAGCGGGGGGGCAAAGGAAAGCTCTACTTCTGGAGGACGCGATAATCGGGAACAAACAACTCGAGGTGGCGGCAGAGGCGGCGGTGGTTTCGAGTCTAAACTGGTCAGTGGCAGAGGTGGTGGAGCCAAGCAGCAGCCGAGCTTTGGCGTTAGTGGCGCGCAAGATGCTTGGTAAGAGAGTAACTAGGAGTGAGAAACTTTCTGGAATCGACGGCCGTTGGCGAATGTTGATTGGAGAGTCTTCGTGGCGCCGTCGTGGCTTGCTGCATGGTTAATGAGGGCCGTAGGAGTATTCCTTACCACCTCGGATACGGCAGACGTGTGATGACTCAGCACAGCATCGTCTTTCAGAAAGTTGTGCTTCCTTTTTTCCAACTAGAATGTTGTGTTATCAGCATCGCACGTCGTGGTTCTAATGTATACTTGACGGCTCGCTCCTTTGTTCGTATCCCAAGCCACGATAAGGTTCTACACATATTGAGGTACTTGTGCAGAAAACCGCCGCCTCTTCGTGTGTGGACGAGAAGCTGTAAAACATTTATCTTGTCATTCTACGTTTGTGTACAACGGGGTCTGCTTGGAGCTACTTCTGCAAAGCCACCTATTTCGTTTCACCAAGAGCACGCTTGCCACATGTGCTTACCATTATTTTGGTGGATGATCATCATGATGCTCAACATGCTGACATGTGTCCATCCCTACAGCGTGCACCTTTATTCATCGTGCATGTGCGATTACTGCACCAGTTTACTACTGTAGGGGTGCCAATGTTTGTTAGACACTAGCTTTTTATGACTGAATTACTTAATCACAATCGTTAATTAGTCTGAATGTAAATGTAATAGTATAATTCGACATGAACATCACTAAAAAGATTGAACCAACATGAATCCTTCCCTGCTGTATAAATAATTGTTGTTTTCACTACAGACGTGAGCGACGTACCACATACCTCTCACACACTTGTAATTGTAATATCACCTCTCGTCCTCGTCCTCGGGCTTGTTTCAGATGGTAGGAATTTTTCAGTGATCGTCTACGAGCGATCGGTGTACCAATGAGATCTTATTCATGAATCAACAAAGAATAAGAAGTCTTCTTCGACGAAAGTGAGCAGCTGAATATAGACGGAAAGGTGTCGCAGCTCGGAACTACAGCGAATCTAATTACAGCCTGAAGAAAACCTCATGATCATGGTTTTGCGCCTTTTCTTTCTTCCAACGAATTTTTGGATCACTATATTCAACAATTGACTACATCTTCGATAGAACCATTTTGATTGATGTTGAAATGAAAAAGCGGGACGAGGTGATGAGGGTGGAGTAGAGAGAGCGTCGAGAGACGATGAGGGTCGTGAGGTAGAGAGTGTACTGCGTTGGAAGGGAGACGGATTCCATTCTGGGTATAATAAAACGTCGGAGCATGCTCGTCCTCTCATCCTTCCTCCTCTTCGGCATTTAAAGTAGATGGAGCGCGGCAGTTGGAGAAACGATAGAAGGAGGTATAGTATCTGTTGTTTCATTGTCGACTTCTTTTTTATGCCGAACATGTAGAGCTGTATCTTCTATCTATGCTGAAGATGTCGAGCTATCTAAATGAGTTGTATCTTCTATAGTTTCATCTTCCGTCTAGGTGGTACCGCGCTTGATGGCCGCTGGGAGAAGTGGTAGGCTCTGCTCAGCGTTGCGGACACGACCAGGGTCGAGAACGCAAGGATCCCTGAGACGGCCTCAACGCATGTTAATGATACCAAATAATAGCTAGTGCCCTGTACTGTGATTCAAAGCGGGCGACAAAGGTTGGAGATGTTTTTCTTGCCGTGGACCATACGGGACGCGGCCAAGGAGGCGATCTTCAGGCAGGAGCCCGAAAGTAGCGCTGTTGCCGAAGTGGGCACTACCGCAAACTGCAGTCTTGACGCCACTGGTGTCTCTCCTGCACGCTTGTCCTTCACTAGTGCCGCTCCTAAGGACACGCGTTCACAACGACGCACGTCACGGAGTCGCCTCCATCAACGTCGATATGGGCAGCAGCCAGCAAGCAACCATCAACGTCAGGATCGTGCCAAGGATTCTCTCCTGTGCTGTGGCACGAAGGTTAGCACCAACAAGACGACGTCGAAGTTCGCGACCAAGATGAAGACGAGGATCGTTCGATCAGGGCTACAACTGGTTGTTACATTATGAAAGGAAAATCTATAGGTAAAACTAAGTATAATTTTCTTTTGATCATTACAATCACACTTTTCGACTTCTTGTTACAATTGGCACCAAATGAATTGATGATCATGAAGATCATGGATTTTGGTTCACATAGTGGGATGGTTGTGGACGACCTTTTTTTTTTGGCGTACCACTGCAACTGGGGACCACTCTTTGGAAGACCGCATACGGGAAAATGTATCCTGGGAGCTCCTCGTCTTGCGGAAGTACGAAAGCTGATGAAACAAGCTGAGGGATTGAGGCTCCCCTCTTATTTTACCTCTAGTAACTATGTTTTCAAGCTCTACCAGTACTAACTAGTTTGCCTTGGATAATTTTTGTAAGACCATTATTCGTCTTTTTCCATCCGATCAGTGATCCGCGATGTCGATCGGTGATCCGTGGATCGACATCGATCAGTGACCCGTGGACCGATGTCGGTCAGTGATCCGTGGATCGATCCGTGATCCGTGGATCGATCAAGGTTTGGCAGACCGATCAGGAGCCCACGGATCGACCAAGGACACACGGATCGACCAAGGGCACACGGATCGACCAAGGGCCCGCGGATCGATCAAGGGCACACGGACCGACCAAGGAGGCGCGCGCTATTTCGTGCTGCGTCGCGCTTGAAATTGAGCACAGAAATCTCGCCCACCCCCGAAGCTCTCGGCGTCACGCACTGGGCGTCACGTGTCGCGAACAGCTTTACGGCGTTCCGTAAGTCCCACGGCGGGACACTGGGGCCCGGCGGGGCAGCTATTCGCGCGCCTCCGCGCACCCCGCCGACGCCTGGTGGGGGAGTATGAAGTGCTGCACCCGCAGCGCTGGAACAAGTCCACCACTGGCGTGGCTGGTTGTGCTTGTTTCTTGCCTGCGGCTCCGCTCCTGGCGCGAGGGGCTCAGCGTGCGCCGATAGATTTTATTTCGGGACTGTGGGCTGCGGTCGGCGATGCGTTGGCTTTTCGGAGACAGCTGCGGCACCGTGCAGGGGCGCCGCCCTCCCTTCTCGCGCACTTAGTGCGGGCTTGTTGCCATCGTTGAGAATCCGCTCCGGACTACGATGCAGCCCGCCGCGGGGAGGTGTGGCGCTTGGGGCTTGCCGTTGCCTTGGCGCGCCGCGCCGCGCCGCGCCGCGCCGGCTTTCGACTATATGCCGCTGGTGATGTTTCGCTTGCTACTTTTGCCGTTGCGCCTGCCTACCCTTTTTCCGTGTTGGCCAGAACCCTTTTGCGTAGCCTCTGTCTCACCATGTTGACGGCACTCGCAAACGCACCCGGGCCGCGGCGCTTTTTGTTAGGCTTCTCTCGCTCCTTTGGCTTAGCGCGTCGCCGTGCTTCAGGCTCCGCCTGTGGGCCGTCTGTAGGTCTGTGGATAGCCGTCTATCCTTCTCGCAATAATAAGATTAATGCCAGCCGTAAATGATGAGCATGAGTTACAGAGAACGAGAACCGCATCGAAAGCGTCTGTTGTATATTGTCAATCAGTAGTCCCTGAATGTGAATTTTTGAATCTAACTTTCTGGTCTGTGCTGGAATATAATCTTCGTAACTATATTGCTGTATTTTATTTTTACTTATAAGATGACGCTGTTAGAGTTAATCTAGATACTTCACAAATACCGTTTGTTAGAGATGTCATAGTGACGACTCCTTATCCAGTAGCTTCTACTGATGTTATCAAGCAGGCCAGCTGTAAGAAAAGAAGCATCGTCTGCACTCATTCGTTGGCGAAGTGAAAAAGAGAACCAGATTATACGCTCTGCGAGATGTAGGATGTCCACGGGGAGCTCCAAAAGAGCGTTAGCATGATCACTGCCGTATGATTTGGGTAGACCCGGCATCGCCTTCTCAGAGGCAGATGCTGAGACATACCAGGTTGGAATTACAATTAGAAATACACCTCATAGAAATACGACCGTTGTCTGTAGCATCCATTGGACGATGTTAAAGATTACTCTGTATTTTACTACTGCAACAGATTCTCTTACTTTATTATCTGGTTTATCATTAAATAGTTGGGGTGAAGACGGAAGTAGAAAAATTAGACGAATCACGAGATAATTCAACAGCTGCTGAGGCAGAGACAAATTAGGAAGCGCACATGTGATCAGCCGGCAGCGTCAGTGGCAAATATTATATCATCATTGACTCACACTCATCGTTTTGCTTGCCAGATTCTTGGAGGAAACTCGATCATGAAGAAACGACTACACAACGCTGTGGGTGTACTACTGAAGTGCTAACTACGACGACTTCTGGAGACATGTTCACGCTCTTCAAGGGAAGGGGTGCTCCTTTGTCTATACTTGCATAATTCGGCCACTAGAGCCTCTTTTTCATGATGGACACCGGGAGCGACGGCACGCACAGAAATGTACTTCTGCAGGATCAACAGAAGTTGTAGTTACATATGCTCGTCCGAAAAGTTGCAGCTCCTTTACAATGTGGAGAGACGTGATGTGTGATCAACAGACAAGAAGGGTGGCTCTGCCTGATATTTATCGGTGGATCATGTTGAGCTCCTCTGTGTAAAAGAATTCTTGAGCCGCGAACAAGGACTGCAGGAGCTTCTGGCGATCGTGAGGCCCCCCCGAGGACGAGATAATCCCCGCTGTATCATCCTGAGGTTTTGTAGCTGACAAGAAGGACATGGTAGGGCTCCTCACGCAGCAGGCATTTAATTGGAGATATTCTTTTCCGTATCATGTGTGTAAAACGGTGAGGGCATTTATTCTTATCAACGATGACGCCAATAAAATCGCAAAAGTCCTCTTCATCCACCCTTTCTGGTGATGGACGAAAGGCGAGGCTATGAAGGCGAAGCCACACAGATGTTGTAGCCATGTAGCCAAGTACTTGGGTAGGAAATTGAACACGGTCGATTGTCCTGTTTGTCGTTGCGGCCTGGTCCCGGGAAGTCATAGAGACGAGGAAACTCGCACATGAAGTCGACGACCATCTCTGATATTACAGGTGCGCATCCGGTTCTGTAGGCTACGCGTAGTTGTGGACGGTGCGTCTTCCTCAACAAATAGCTGTGCACGATAATTGAACGCAAGAGTCTATTTGCTTTTTTCGCCTACCGAGATCTACGCGTAAGCGGCGATGTTGGTCTCTTATTCTGTGGCTAACTCGATGCGCTCTACAAGTGCTGGTCAAAACCATAGCTAGGGACGAGAGTGACAGTATTGCTGGTCAAGAACGGACGTGAGAAATACTGCCCCATTTCTCGTCGATTCGTAGTGGTGCTAGGTAGACGGCTTTGAACAAGATATTGCAACCAATGTCTTTCGCAGAGGCAGAAGACGAGCACTGAGAAACGCGGGGAGCAACAAAAGGTTTTGTAGCGGAATAGAGTTACGAGGAATTATAGAGTCACCATGCCAGTTTCTAGGTCTGGCGGGCCGCGCAGTGCGGTTCCGGGTGGATCTCTGAGTTTCGATTTGGACATCGTCGATCCGATTCCAGTGTTAACGAAGCTCCAAGATCTTCGACTCGAAAGCGATGGCAGCTTTGTTGCGATGGTAGACACCTGCGCTGAGAGTTTTGCGAAGATGCGCGATCTGCAATTACGAAGCCGGGTTGTATTAAAAGGTGGAAATCAACGGGAAAGGGGATGCATATGTACGCAGCTTCTACTACGAGTTTTACCGACTGAAGCTAAAAAACTCAAATGGAAACCGAAGCGCTGCACTAATAGTAATATGCGATCCATCTTTATAATCTATATTTTCTCTGGCTGCGCGTGCACTCGTTTTAACTAGGTGGTAGCTCTATGAAACTCAGTTTCGATAGTGCAGAGTCAAGTAATTACTTCTTACTCGATGCTCTATCCGCTAAATTGTGTGGAGCTCCAAACCAAGCTGTTGTTGACAAATGCACCACCAGAGGTGTGGCGGGAGGACTGGGATGCAGCTAAGTTACACATGTTGTCCTTGCACAACCTACTTTTTCACCCTGAGAACAGCTATCATTACGGCTTTCCCATGTCCATTTGCACGACCTTCGAATGACACATCCTTCGCTCTTCGATAAATAGGTGAACATGTCATCAATGCGGTCAATGCAGAAATTTAATATAGAACTATAACCAACTGGTACAAACACGAACAGGTATCTCTGTATAATAAGAAAGTATTATATCTCTCCCATAATTTTTTACATCTCTCCTAGTTAGGACGGTTCTACCACTATGATAAGAAAGTATTAAAGTGTGCTGGTAGTAGAAAATAAGCCTACAAGAGTATGGTACGGAGGTTCTTCTCATGTTTTTCTTTCTAGTTCAGCTTCACGTCGGCCCCCTTCCCGAACTCCTGTACAGTATGTCTGATATCGCTAATACGAAGCTGCCTTGACCACTTTAAACCGCTTGCGTAAGGAGCATCTGGAGAAGCATGAGCGGCATTGGGACTTTCTAATTCGGGAGTTCACTCGCTGGTCCGAGTGCCTTCTCAAACTGTCACACCGCTTCTACATTTAAGCCTGAAACAACAACATAGTTACAAGAAACATATGATTCACTTGAATGAAGATTTGTAGAATTTTGCTAGGTCATGGTGATAAGCGCAGCAGGAGCAGTACTAGCTGATGTTTCCCTGTTGTTCGCGGGTAAGTGCAAGACGATAGTTTTTCTAAGGCCGCGTCGAAGATGAGATTAATTCTCGCTCGAAGGAAATCCTTGAGCAGTATCGCAAGTTGCAGCGAGAGTACGACAAAACCTGCAGAATTCTGAACAACGCCAATTATGACACGTCCACGGTAATCATGACATCGTCACTGTTCGTGGCAGTAGAGCCAACGCGTGTCATCCTTCGTGTGTCTTCGAATAACCACCCAATCAGAGTGATCATCTTGCCTTTTTAAGTATGTATAGAAATCATTTGTGGCTCTGGGTTGTCCACAACGAACAAAAGCGAATTCTTTGTAGCACTTTTTCCGAAACTACTTTACGCAGTAGTTGCTTTGTGACAAACTACGCAACATCATCTAACGACCAGCACCTTACAGGAGGCCGCATTTTAGGATTGTCTAACCAACATAAAAGTAGAGGCTTTCTAAGCTAAGCAGGGGGTTGACCTCATCACGCAACTGAAATGGAACGAAGACGACGACCTCTTGCGGAAATGGCGACACGCATGCCTTTGCATCCAGAAGATTTATCGGGGAAACCAATCGCGCGACCTTGTTCATCGCATGAAAAAGTCTATACCTTTTCTCAGGTATTATACACAAATGGAGTACATTCGCTTTCGCATTGAATACGTCAATATTAGGACTAAGCCCAATTATAATCTGTTACTTTACTTGTAGTTGTACCTGAACTTATAGCATGGTCGACGCGTCTTCTACTTGTAACGTCCATTTTGAACGTTTATTGGCACCTTGGGGGTCTTGATATTCAGAATTCCACTTTCTCGTCAATCCAAGGTATTATGTGCGCAAGTATCTAATAAGACTGCGGCACAAGATGATGGTACGAGAGAAATGCGTGCCGCTCTTGACCAAAGTTCAGGCTCATTTTCGTCGCCATCTTGCCAAAAAGATTGTTGCGGCACGCATGCTAGCGTTGTGCCAGCCTATCGCAGAGGCTTTCAACCTTACGGGCTACATAGATGCAGTGCACTTTTCGGAGAATTTTCTCACGCTCTAACGTCATTTTGCAAGGATGTTGATCAGAGTTGAGGCATTTTTGATGGTAGCTGGAGCTGCAGACAGTGATTATAGATGCAGTTCGAACTGAAGAAATCAGTTTGACTGATGTGTAGCAGGCTAGAGCTTGCTACAGTAAGGTTTCGGGTCTTTCCTTAGTAACTGCGATGTAACTGATATTGTTGTGCTTGTCGCTAAGGATTCACTTGTCCGTCGCTTCTACTACGACAGCTGCTGGTTTGAAAATACAGTCCTGCTAGGATGGGGGCAGAGTGCGTTGGTATTTGCAGTCTTCGACTACATGTCACGTTTAATAGTGATTGCACATATTTTGAATTTCCTTCCTGTGTCTGTCAGCATAGCAACCGGCAAAAACTCAACAGACGATGCAGCGTTTATATCGTGGATGGAAGGGGAGGAAGCGTGCGCGGCGTGCGGCCGACCGGCGACAGAAGGCTGAAATCGAACGGGCGCGCAAGAATCGGCTGGCAGCTGCAGAGCGGGAAGCTGAAGACTTGAAGGAACGCATGCGACAAGAGGATTACGGCTTTTTAGCACAGACACGGATCGATTTTTTTGAAGCTGCTGCTCCATGTTGTTCGTTCCAATATCTTTTTTCTGCCTGCTCCCTCAAGAAGATGTTCCAAAAGATGCCTTTTTTTGTTCGCTCTAACACGTGCTAGCGCGGCGGAAGGCTGAGGCTGAATTTGCATTGCAAAAGAAACAGCGGGCAGAGGCCCGCGCGACGGCAGAGAAGGCAGAGCAGGAGAGATTGGCGATGTTACGGTAGATGACGTGTCATTTTCCCAGGAGTGTTAGATAATGTCTGACTCCTTCGTCATCATCTCCTGATATGAGTTTTTATTCATCTTCGTCAGAGCTAGCAGTAATAGAAATGCTGAAGCACCTTTAGTACATGCACAAGATTGAAGCTGGATGAACAATAGCAATTGTAGGAGGACCTGCTGCCTCTACTTGACCGGCAGTATAACGCCAGGAAGATTCTCGTTTGAATTGAACGTAGAATAGATTAAGGCAGCATCAAACATCAAGACGCGGATTTTGCTTTAAGACCAGAGGAGCATTTGCGTCAGGAGCGCAGGCGCGAGGAAATGCTGGCTCGGAAGAAGGCGGAGGCGGACGCCAAAGCCGCCAAAAAACGTGTTCTGGAGGAGCGCCGGGAGCAAATGCGTAAGCGCATCGCGGAAGAACAGAAGATCTTCGATGAGCGCGAGAGGAATAGAAAATCGTGGGCAAAAGAAGCGCTGCAGGAGCAGCGTAAGCTCTTCATGGAGAAATTGGTGGCCGACCGGCAAGCGCGAGAGGCTGCAGTCGCAGCGGAAGCCGAAGCTCGAAGGCAGCGTGAAGACGAACGCCGTCTAAAAATCGAATGGATGAACCGGCCCTGGAAATTACGGATCCTTTCTTATTTATTATAGTAGTAGCCATAGGCTTCATCGCAAGAATAACCTCGAGTACTGATGATTTAATCATCATTTCAGTTCTCGAGCACATTTTTTTCGACAATGTTGATTCTTTCTGCGAAGCCATCTCCTATAACTACAGATGTTGTACATGCTCTTGTATGGTTGCGGAAATTAAACGTTTAAGTTCTGCTCTAATACACGGCGACGACGCGGAGGTGGCTGCATTTCGGGATTGGTTCTTGCAGCGGTTCGGCGGCGAGGACAAGTGGAAGGATGACGGGGACGCGGAGGAAGCAGTCGCAGCATCACCGACGTCACCTGCACTCGCTGCAACTGGAGTCGCGGCTCCGCAGAAAATGTCGCTTCAACTGCAGCAGTTTCGTGTATCGCGCGCATTTGCTTTCCTAGATCGCCAGTTGGAGGACGTCTTGCCTATACCGGGATTCACCCCAAAGCTGTTCACGGAATTGCTTTGTATCACGCTGCGGTATTGTCTCGACGCGCGTGCCAACGCTCTGTTTACGAACCGTGTGAGTGTGTAGCCTATATGACCTGGTAGGAGTAAAGCAGGTAACTACCCTAATATTAACGCTGCGCAACGTGGCTATGAGACAGACTAATATTTATATTTATAAGTAGACATCACGCACCATAGCCATAGTTCTGAAGCATGATGCAAGCACTCCTTTGCGCGCATTGGCAACTGTCTTTGGAGATGAACAAGAATCGTTTCTAACTGTACGTGAAGGCAAGTAGCGACCGCAGCTTTTGAAGTTGCTTAGTAACGTCGTGGCAGCGGACAAGAGCCGTCGCTACTCTTGGTCATACTTCATAGTCTCTCATTCGGTCATCTTGCTTTTCTATTTAGAAGGTACAGGATGGCTGAACGGCCTCGATAACGTTAGTCAAGACGTAGCCAGAGGCATCATGACATGACATGAAAAATAGATACATCGCTAACGCCTACCAAATCCTGGATCGTGCACATGGGAGCTCGGGTCTTCTCTCGTCAGACGTGGTGCTTGGTGAGCCTCGGCCGAGTCCGCGCATGGTAGGGGACATTCAGCTGAAGCGGACGTCCGCGATCAATATTGCGCTCATAGAACTGGCGAAGCGTTCGCCAGTTGTGCTCTTTCCTGGCGATAATTGTGGACCGAATCCACCTCCCGTTTGCTTCCGGTCAGGCGCGGAGAACCCGGATGTTTTCTTTACGACTGCGGTTTGGCTTGTCCCAAATTTCGCTCGCTTTATCTCCGAGAAAAAGACTGACTATAAAACGGCCAGTAGCGCGACCAGCGGGACCGGAGGAGCGGCGCGCCGCTCGGGCAAGCGCCTGTCGCCGTTTCTGGAAGATCCGAATGCAAACGCCGTTGCCGGTGTGCTGATCCGCAAAGACCGAAGCGAAATCAAGAAGCGACGTGCCAGGTTTCGCGCTACGAAGGATGCGGGGTCGCCGCTGGAAGAAGGCGCTGCCGCGGAACTCGAATATGCGGCAAGCCCATCCGCTGCCGTGAACGCTGAGGCCGCCGACGAGAGAGACGACGGAAAAATACTAGGCGACTCCGATTCCGATCTTGATTCGTCGCCCACGCGGGAGAAGAAAAAGACAGCTGCAGAAGCGAGGAAGCAAGCTGCTACCGACAAGAAGAACAAAGGGAGTGACTTGGACACGAGTCCTGGCAGTCCCGCGGCAGCGTCCGCGCAGAAGTGCGGCCGTTCGTCAAACAGATCCCCCCTAGCAACTCAACGATCGCCACTTGTCACGCAGCGGTCACCCCGGTCTCCCGACTCGCGGGGTTCGTCCCTCTCCGAGGACTCTGATCTCTTAACAGATCTTAACGACGTCGCGGGTTTCGGGACAAGCGGGGACAACCAGCAGTCTTCCCGTCAGAAGGCACAGGAAATCACGCTAAGGTGCCGCGCCTTTGAATTTGACGGTACGCTAGTAGAACTCGAGCTGCGGGTATCGAACCCACGCAGAACTCGCAAGCGATTGCTTTCTATGTTTCTGCGCTCTAAGCGTGGTGTGCATCTCCGTGTGGTTTTCTTTGTGGGCGACTCCATTGGGCTGCCGCGGGACCTCCTATTTCAGCACAGCGGCGATGTCTTGGGCGAGCGTCGATTTCTAGCGGACTACAACGACGAGTACTCGCACAGACTCGACGAGGCAGGCTGGGAGGCATTCACTTAAGACCTACTTACGAAACATTCGATTTTTTCGAATGCTGCAGTTGCTGTCACTAGGTCGTGAGGCGACATTTTTCTCCATCCTTGTTTATACTCAAGAATGTATGATGAACATGAAGACGGCCGTCTGAAATGAATGTCGAGAAGATCATTTTCACCGTGTGAGGAACTTGCATTATTTTATCCAGAAGTCATATGAAAAGCCAAACTGCCTTGGGATACAATTCCCAAACCCAAAAAAGCCAGAACTTTCTAGCTTTTTTGGCTTTTCGGTGTCTAAGTCGAAAGCGTGCGAAATGGCAAAAAAGATGGCAAGCCCAGCTTTTTCGCCGGCTTTTTCTGTTTTTTCGTCGGATTGTGTCCCACAAAACAAAAAAAGGCCGCGAAATGCCAGAAAAAAGCCAAAAAAGCACGACTTTTCTGGCTTTTTTGGGTTTTGGCATGAATTTAATTCAAACGCCAAGGCATGAAAAACGCCCGAAAATCCAAAAAAAATGCAAAAAAAGCCAGAAAGTTCTGGCTTTTTTGGGTTTGGGAATTGTATCCAGAGGCAGTTTGTCTTTTCATCAGAAGGCATGTGAAGCGTGATATCTTCTAAGGCGGCAACGATCCGGCTGGCCTGCTGGCGGCCGAGGAGGCTGCAGTGCTGGCTGCAGCTGCGGCCGATAGACAGGCAGTAGGAGGAGCAGCTGCAGGGGTGGTTGAATCCACCCAAGTAACGTCACAAACGGTTGACCTCACGACAGGCGTAGTTTTGTTGCAGGATCTGAAGCAACAGCCTGATCCAGTGGAAGTATTCGAGCACCCTCAAGACCGCGGAAAGATTGTCGTAAAATGGACGCCCGTGGTCAAGCTTTCCTTTCTGCTGCAATACTATCCTCGCGGATGGGGTCTCAGATCGCCTACCTTCAAGATTGGGCGGGATGGCCCGTTTCACCTTGAATTTTGGCCCAATGGAAGCTACGGCACAACGAAAAGTGGTTTGTGCAGCATCTGCTTGCACACTCCACGAATGAAGAACGCCCTGTGCATGGTACAATTTTGGACTCCGGACCTCGACTGCTTTGCATCACAGAGCGACCAGGAGGAGCAACAGAACCTAACATATGCCTTTACACGATAGCAGATCAGTGTTTCATTCATAAGTTTGATTTTAGAGATCCATCCGTCTATGCACATAAAAAAACGCTTTCTTTTAGTCGAAAAACTTGTTGATTGGAACTATTTTATTTTCCACCGAAGCACTGGGACTGGCCACTGGGTTGTGCATGTGCTTGTGCTCTAAGGCATCATGAACGGCGGTGTGTCGAACGCCAAGCGCATCTTGACAAAAGAGCGGGAATACCGCTTAGATAACGTCGTTGCTCCAAGCGGAGGCATCTTACCAAGTGGTGCCGCGTCATCGGCTGCTCACCAGGGGGCCCAGCATAGTTACAGACCACAGGAACGCGTTGGCGGCAGCCCAACGAGCGGCGAAGCAACAAATCTTGGCGGAGGCACTTATGGGAGCGAAAATGTCTGCATGCTTCACGAATTTTGCCAAGCACAAGATACAACACTCGAAGCCGACACACATGGAAACCGAACTGTTGTTTTAGGATGCATCTTCCGTCGTATTTTTAACGAAGATCGCAAGGACAGATTGAAAAGTCTCGCGGTGGGGCTCGACGTTGGCAAGATCGCTTTCAACAACTTCTAAATGCAAGAAATAATCTCGTTATTTAAAGTTACGAAGTTGTAAATCCATCGGGATCGCATTTGCCATTATTTGAACCTAGTATCTTCCGACTCGTGGAGTTCTTGTTGTAGCTACTGCAATTGATGTGAAAGGATCATCAAGGACTGCGTTTACTATGAAACTCAAATTATGCCTGCTAAAGGTTCTTACACCAAATTAAAAGAAGAATTAGAAGATTCTACGATATTATTCACTATTCATATTCATTGCTATCCATCGGATTTGAACACTCGTTTCCCCAGAAAGAATTAGAATACGATGTACATCGATTTCGATTCCATCCCGTCCCGCTCTTGTGCGTGGACGTGGTGGGAGGTTAAGCTTAGAACTAGCACACACCGTATCAAGGACGCGAGACGTGTCAATATCGAGAGACTGCACCTGTGGGGAGAAGATCGATAAAATCTTGCTCGGCACCAGATAACTTTATTGTTCTGTTTTCGTCATCGTCGGTTGTCGGAATGGTCGGCACACGGGATCCGTTGGGGGTCGGTGGTCGCGCCGCAGCTGCGAAGTCGGGTTACTAGTAAATTTCGCAGCAGTTTGTTTTTATTTGGTTTATCTGAGAGATCGGCAATCCATCAGATGTGGCCGGCCAGGATGAGAGAGGGAGAGAGAGTGGGCTCGGTTTGAGTCCGTTCTGCGTCGTCGCTTGTTGACCCAGATGTTTCGACGATTTAGATTCTGACTCTCTTGTCCAGGCAGGAAGATGCTACTCGCTTTTCTTTCAATCACGTTGATTTGAGTCGGTGCTTTCATTCATTCATCTATCCATCTAATGACTGACACTCACATAAAAAATTCATTTGAATGTAGACGATCGTATCTAGGAAACGTTGTGATATTATAATGTTTATATATCAAGTTGAGAAAATATATATCGAATTGGTTTTTCTTCATACATATTTTCTTTGAGTTAAGCACATGGATGGACGTTCTCGAAGAAGCACCCTGTAACTGAAGTATGCCGGAAGTTGCGGGAGGAGCGTCCGACGCAGCAACGGGGAGCGGGGCAGGAAACAAACGTACAGGTGGCGCTTCAGGCTCTGAAAATCCTCCAGCAAAAAAAGGTAAGCGGGCGTCACCCTCAGACGACCTCAGCTTCGACTTTACAAGCAGTGTAGCCAACGATCTGCTCGAGCAGCCGGCTCGAGGTCGCCCGAGGTCTGCGCCGCGGACGAGCAACAGCACGGTATCGAGTAAGGCAAGCAATAAGCAAACTGATGGGGCTTTTGGAGCAAACAGCAAGTTAGGAGGTGGAACATTTGCTGGAAGTAAAGCTACTGCGAACGCTTCGGCTAAAAGTAACATTGCGACGCATAAGTCAAAAAATACGGGTGGAGCAGATGGGGGTGTTGGGAATAAGGGCACAACAACAATTACTACAGGCGCTGGAGGAAATGCGTCGTACCCTCGGAGCAATAACGCGGGTGCGTCGTCCATTCCAACGCGAACTGGAACCGCAGGAGGCGCAGGACCACGCTCTGGCAAGGCAGCTACAACAGGACCAGCGACGACTTTTGGCCGCGTAGGTCACAGTTCAACGTGGGCTCCTCCGTCGGCTTCAACATCTGCCGCCCGGGCGGCGCCAGTGTCCAAGCGTGTCGGTCGGCCAGCTACGCAAGCCAGCATGCTCAGCAAACCACGCTCTACTTCAGCTCCTAGTCCTCGAGGTCGCGAAGCTGCTGCTTAAGGCTTCCTTTCCAAAATGATTTCGGGGGGTGCGTGAAATGTTTAGCCCACGCCTGGGTCTGATCAGTGTCTGACAACTCTTCGGTCTTCCAGTAACTTACATCGTCCAGGATGTCGATGAGGTTTCAACTGCAATGTATTGATTCTTCATGTGTAGATCGTGCTGTAGTACGTTAACGTTTATAGTATTATGTTCTTCTTAGGAATCTGTACCTGAATCTGGTTCGTCTGTTGTAGAAGTCTGACTTATTGCCTCTAAGGCCTCTCGAATCTCGCAAACAACAGCGATCGCAGAAACAATGGGACGACACTCACCAATCGGCCAACAGCGAATATTACAAGCAGCAGAACAGCAGGCGGCAGTAAGAATAAGCCCGTGACATCATTGGCGTCCCGCAGTCGCGCGACCGCGGTGACCAAGACTGGCGGGAACCAGTCGCCTCGGGGCAAGGCCCCGGGTGCTGCAAGCAGCGGAAGCAAGTTGAATATCTCTTCAAACTTGTTAGCAGTACCAAAAGATAAGACCTCCAACATTATTCGTCAATATCATTATCAACCCAGTTTACCTGACGCAGTCGTGTAATCTTGCTATGTGAATGCGTACGACATGATTTAGTAGAAGTCGACGGTTTTTGATGACGAAGTAGAACAAATATACGGACAGTCTTAGATAACGCGCAACGTGGGCACACGAATGAACCTGCAGTGGTATGGACTATCATAGCTCCTTAAGCTCTAAGAAATCCGGAACGGGCATCTTTGGCCCCGGATCTAGAGGCGGTTCAAGAGCCGGGTCAAGGGAGAACTCCCCCGCCGCCTCACCCAAAGCTGGCGCAAAAACCAAGGATTCGGGAGCGGAGTATGTTTTTCCTTTAGAGTTATTGGAAATTCTCATTATCAAATAGGAATTTACCGAAGCGGATGAGCATATCTATCAAGTTGATTCATTATATTCTCTTTCTCTGCAGCATGGAATATTCGAATTACAGCACTCGTCGTGATACCACTTCACCATGCAATTATTAAACATTTCGTTTTTTTTATGCAATTGCAAACACCAGGTTAGCGAGGGAGCGCAGTCCCAGACGGGCTTGGTCGATGATGGATGGTGCAGGTCTTCCGAAGTTGGATTTAAGTATGGATTTGGATATGGCGCTAGGATTTCACTCGATGAAGGGAAAGCGTGACGCGAATGAAGATGCACACATACAAATCGACAGTTTCTCAGAGACGAGCTGGGAGCACCTAGGACTGAAAGCGACGAAGGACCAGCCAATTCGGATGTATGGAATTTTCGATGGACACGGCGGCTCACATTGTGCAAAATTCATCGCCAAGAATCTCCCCGACAAGCTCCGGGAAATGTTCAACACCATGAACAAGAGGAGCACCAACTCGAATTTCACCCAAGACCAGAAATGCCAGATGGCAATTATTTTCGCATTCGAGCAGTTGGATGTGGATTACATCAGCAACCACCTGGGCAGCGATGCCGGTTGCACAGCAGTTGTTTGCTTGATAGACACGCTCCAGAAAAAAATCCACTGCTCGAACATCGGGGACTCGCGGGCCATAATTTTAAGAAATTGGCCATCTGGTTGAATCAATTTCAGTGTAGAACTAGAGGTTTTATTTAGTTTAGTGCCTAAGCGTAAGCCAATTTGATGGTGGAAGGTACGCCTAACAAGGATTTTGACTTTCGTGGTGTATCTTCTTCTTATACTACGTTTTTCTACCAGACGTTGACAAAAGTAGTTCTTGTAGTTTTTTGTTTTTGCGTGTGCTGTGCGTAAAGCAAGCATCATGGTACAACACGTGAATGGAAATTTGAGCGAGCTAGACAACATTAGAGCAAGATTATGATCATGCATGTCTGTGTAGCGTTCATGCAGTGGGCGACGAGCGAATGCGCTAGCGCTGAGCCGGGATCAGGACCCAGATAATGAGATCGAGATGGCAAGGGTCCATGGAGCCGGCGGCAAGGTCGATAAGGAGGGCTACATCAATGACGCTGTGAACATGACGCGCTGCCTCGGCGATAACCATGGAAAGTTCAAATGGACCGTGAAGGAGAAAGACGGATGGTTTTCGCGGTCATACGCGTTAGCTACTGCGCCAGAGGTGAAGATGATCCAGCTCACATCAACCCATCAATTTCTCATATTAGGCCAGAAACTCGCAGCTACTTAGGTGCATGCATAGGTAAATGCCAAAAACTATCCTAGTAAGGTCCAGAATTCAACGCTGGTCTTATTTGGTTACACTCTTACAGAAGTTGCCGAAATGAGCGAATAGAAGCCGGTCTCTATGATTATGATCTACTAGCTTTGAATTTACTAGTGAGCAGTATGAAGGGTAATCTCGCAAATCGCCGCTCGTTTCGTCTAACCTCTCTTTGCTGCGACGGGCTCTTCGAAGCTGGCTGCTTCACCACGACGACCATTTGCAATGAAGCGCGTCAAAAATTGGTAGAAGGAAAAACCTGCCAACAAACGGCGAAAGAGCTTTGTCAGCGGGCCCTCGATATGGGCTCTCATTACGGCATAAAGAAATCAATGTATCCCATTCTAGACTAGGGTCTATGTGCAAATCTGAACCTGACTAGTTGCCAGCTGCAGGCCCAAAATAGAATGAGTAGACAATGCAACCTAATAAATAGGTTCCAACCTTCCTCTTCGAGTTTTATTGCTACCTAAGATTCTATCACTATTTGAGTAAAGAAGGGACGCGCCTGTCTGGGATGCTTTGTCTTTCTACAACCGCCCTAATCTCCGGACAACGTCTCGGTGATGCTGATCCTCTTCGAATCATCCTGAACGAAGATGTTGCTCTGGCACTAGTAGTAGTAGCTCTAGTTTGCACAACTACGAGTAAGTGGTGTTTACGTAGACGTGCAAGATTGCACGAATCACGAGAAGTACGCAGCTACCCCAAGGCTTGTACCTCAGACGTCTAGGTACAATTTACATTGAGGAAACGAGTGATGATCTTAGTTTGTGATTTTGTCCCCTTGCAGCTCCACACGCCGCTGTCAGTGGGTGACGGAAATATGTGTATTGCTTTTGTGGGAGAACTTCAAGGGCTTACTTTTGCTATAGATAGTGAAGTGGAAAAAAGTGTGTTGGCACTTTTCAAGAATAATTCGTTGATGCGCTAATCAAAGCCGTGTAGTATTGTAATAAGATAAGCATCCAACTTAGACGCATTCGGCATTTTTCGCGGGCGTATGTCTCGTAGTTCAATGCTGTACGTAGTTTCAGTTTACTAGTCTTCAACAATTACAGAAACACAAAGAACTCAGTCTTATTTGTCGACGTGGAGGAAGCCGGAAGGAATACAAGCTCATCATGTCAACTACGTTAACGGACGGCAGTATGATGCATGGCAGGTCGTTGCCTATTCTCCAATTCGTCATCTCCTGCTGTGAATCCGGCCATGGCGCTTGAACATGCGGCATTCATATTACCTTTAAGTGATTGTTCTCGTTCTGCATTGCCCTTCCGCAGTTCGTCCATTATCACAAGGAGATGCCCATGTCCGATGCTGCACGTGCGTGCTACTCCTAACGCCTGCAGCTCTTGTCGGATCCTAATCAATATCGATCGGAGAGTGCAAAGACCATCTTACTTTAAAATCTTCAAGCCACGAAAACGAAGTCCGGACATTCTTGAGACGGAACATTTTGTCGGTCAAGGCATCAGAAGACTCAAGGTGAATATTCTTCGGGGGGATAAATTCACTCGGAGACCCTTTCTGTCACATTCAGAATCGATTCGGTCTAAGTCTGGGGTCTTCTAAGTCTTTTCGGTACAATCGATCACAACGTATCTGTCAGAGCCGAGTCTTCGTCCTTTAGTCTAGTGGGTGGTTGCCAAGTCCTCGACCCATTGTACCTAATCGCAATTCAACTGCTCAAATCTTTTCTCCTGTGCATTCGCACACCAACTTTCTTCAGACTCTTTAAACGAAGACCATTTGTTTCTGTGTGTAACTGAGGATGCGAGTTTCTTGATCATTTTGAGATATTAAGCAACGACACAAGAACTAGAACTCAGCAATTCTAAAAGCAGGAAGGTCTTTATTAGCACAAATTCTTGGCGACAATGTCGATTTTGTCACTGTCCAGTTGGTGTTGGACGAGTCTTTCTGGTCTTATCTCAGACCTGATTCGTGGAGATGGACCATTGGATTGGAGCGCGGCTCAACCACAGCAGAGGCATATCAGAGTGGCGATACAACAGACCCTGTATGGTTGCTTAGCTTCGCAGCAGCATTTTGTAGAAACTTCTACTCCTGGCGCAAAAGGCAGGCCCAGACGGTCGGCGTTTATCAGTACCAGTTCCCCGTTGACGCCTGATGTTCTGCGAGAGACCGTTGGGTTGCGCCGTCGACCACGCTGCGGCACCTGTGTACATGGAAGAAAAGTATTCCCCGCTTCGTTCACGACGCCGTCACAGGCTGCTCCTGGCGCTGAAGTGAAGAGAGACAGAAGCAGTGTGGAAATGTTCAACTCTGAACGTGGTCGACGTACCAACACGGTATTTTCGAACGGCAGTGACGAGAACAGTGGAGAAGCTGAAAAGTCCGCGTCGAAGCCGTCGCAGATGTCGGCAGCGGAGAAGCGTCACTCGTACGACACCGGTGTCTTCTTCGATGATCGCGAGGGCATCGGGAGCCCTCGCAAACCAGTTCGAAGTAGCAAGTACCAAACAAAAGAGAAAATAGACGAGGTCTTTGAGCAGGAGCTGCGACTCCTAACTGGAAAAACAGAGGAACCCTTCCGCAGCTTTTCTCCAGAGGATTACAGGCGGCAAGACCTACGCGGATCTTTAGATCGCGCTCACGCACGCGCTTTTCTTCCGTTACCGGACCCTGAAGGGCTTCTGCAAACTGAACGTGAATTGCAGAGGGAGTACGCGCGCGTGTTGGCTAGCGAAGATCCCGTGACAATACTTTCTACCGACAACAACAATTTAAAACGCATGAACTGGGAACGGATGACAGACACATCGGCTGGCGGCGGTGAAAGATACGTGGTTAGAACATTATCATTTTATTCTATACTATAGATACTAGCCTCCAGCCCCACAAGCTTCGCCCGGCTCCAAGTTTAGCACTTCCTCGCCCACGGGCTACATCTAGAGGCAGCCCGCGGGCTGGGTCGTGCACCTCGATGAACTGACTACGGCGAGACTGCTGGCACTCACATGCTCCTTAGCGACGTCGATCCCTGGGAAGATAAGCGGGCTGCTTTCGGTTTTATTGGACTGCCGGGGGGGGTCGCGCAAATTCCCCACGCCAGTCCAACAAAATATCTGGAAGAGAACCACCACAAATGCAGATCAGAAAAAACGCCAGGCCCAACGCGTATAGCCGGCCCGCGGTGGGAGGCAAGAGGGAAGGCAGGGGGACCCTGACGGGCCAAGAAATAGCAACGCATGGCCGCGCTGGCTGGGTCTTTCTACGTGCAACTGTTGCGGCTCTCTCTTTCGTCGGTCAGAGAGGCGCCGCCTGCCGGAGGGATGTCAACCTCTCGGGTGGCCGAGGTCTTTCGTCAGACCGACGCCTTTCGTCAGACCGACGTCTTTCGTCAGACCGACGCCCTTTGTCAGGCCGTCTTCCTTTCTGCTATCGTGAAGCCGGCGCCTTTCGTCTGGCTGACGTCTTTCGTCAGGCTGATGGCGTTTCGTGTCATCGGTCAGGTGTCTCTTGTTAGTCTTCTTTCGTCAGACTTTTATCCCCAACTTGCGCCCCTACCCCGTCGAGAATTTTTCTGACTTTTGTTCTGGAAAGAAGTTGTTTGGTTGGGAGCCTTCTTTTTTTTTAACTTGCAGATTGGCTCAGTGGGCAAGTCCTTTCACTCCGCTCCGGAGGGTCTCTGGTTCGAATCTTGGAAGGGACTCGACTGGCAGGGGGGCGGCCATCAGGCCGGTCGCCGCCCCACACCCAGGGGGGAAAAGCGTGCGGGCCGCGCTGCGCCAGACAGTGCGGGGAGATGAGACCCCGGGGAGCCCTCTGAGCAGCTGACCACGGCACCGCGCACACGCGGCCCATCGTGTGGCTCAAAAGCTTGGCCATAAATGGACGGGCGGCACTCGTCTGCCGAGTAGCCGGATCGGGTGACGCGTAAACACAGGGGGCGCCACCTGGGCAAATTCGCAAGGCCTCAGGGCCAGGGGCTGGCCGCGTGTGCTCGGAGGGGAACCCTCGCCCTCCGCACCCGAAGCGCCAGCGAGCAGGTCGGGGCCAGGCGACCGCCCTCCCCAGATCGGGGCGGTTCCTCTCTCTCTCTCTCTTCTCGTAAGTTTGGTCTCCGCGAGAAAACGGTCGGAGACTATCGGAGCTGGAGGGGAAGGGGCCGGAGACTCTAGGCAAGGACCTCGAGGAAGATGCGGGCGGACTCTTAATTATCATACTAATTAGCTACCACTCTCAAACTCACTCTCGATGGATCTCGACTTCATCAACTACAGTGTAGCGTTCGGTGACTTCATAAACATGATTTTTATCTTTTCATCGCTTTTGCCTTCCCGTTCCATGCTTGTTTGGAGATAGAAGAGACTGCCTTTGCGAGTTTCATCCTCCTAGCACTAATCTCCTGACGAAAGTTTAAAGCGGGACAGAGCCCGCTGCAGTTATTTCGAGTTGAGTCACCGATGGGATCCACAATTCTTGCATGGAGACACGCGCGTGTGGAGCAAGGTGCAGGATGCGTACAAGGTGTTGTACCCAGAGGATGCCAGTCCGATTACTGGAGACGTGGCGCTAGATCGTGAAGAGGACTATCCTGATGACTGTCCTGCGTCGAAACACAAGGACGCGAAGGGGGGCAATGCAGACACCGCGTATCCTGAAGCTGACTGGGCCGATGCGCGGGGACTGCCTCCACGAGGCTACGTTCCGCCGGAATTGCTCGCGGATCTTGAGCGGGCAGGATCACGCATTCTGTCAGATTTGAAGGGGCTAGAACACGAAACTGGGGAGGCGCTCAGCCGTGCAAAGGAGGCATTCTCGATGCATCGAAATACTGTAAAGTCCGGTTTTCGGGGCTACATGTCAAGGATGGAGCCAGAGTCGGTCGCTGGAGAGAGCGATGCTAACGGTGGTCCTGGAGGCTTTCGATTCACCACGGAGGACATCAAACAAAACCCATTCGCTTTCCCATTTGCAGAATTTAACAACAGCGGGGTGCCCTTCTTTCGCAAGCGGGAGAAAACAAAAATTGGGGATTCCGGTCTAGCGCTCGGCTGATGCGAGAGACGTAGAGGCGTCGATTTTTTTGCTGACCTTGATAGGCGGAGGATTGGGACATCTACTACGCGGGCGCTTGGTTGATGTTCTACTTCGTTCAACAACGAATTCGAACTTCTTCATGTGTACTAGTGTCTCGGCTATCTCTGCAGCTGATATTGTGAGATGCTTGCAGTGAAAAAATACATAGAGGTTCAGTTGCCCAGCAAAAAAATGTCGTTTCATGTTTAATAATTATTAATAGTTATCGGGACAACGACAACTACATTGCTGAAAACAGCGGATTGACTGAAGCATAATGAGAAATTTCCTCCTTGTTTTGCCGCTTGATCAAAACTATGTCGGATGGGAGCTTCGAAAGGTAAAGATGTAATTCCCTCAAATAGACTCGGATATTCAAGAGGACCTGCTAATCGACGTAATCATGTCGAAGAATGCCGACGGTTGCATCTGCATGACATCATTCTTGTAGTATTTTTCACGCTCCGCGCCGGCACCGCTGTTGCCCGTCGGTAAGTGTAAGTTAGATCAGTCTTCGTGCTAAGGGATCCCCTTCCACCCCACGAAGGGAAAATTGGCAGTGATCGCCCATAAACAATCCGGATCATCTAACACAATAGGGAACACTGACAATTGGGTATGTGGATTTGTTGATATTGCATTCTGATAAGGCCGATATATTTTCCATGAGCCAGCGTGGTAGGTAGCAAGCAATCAACATCAATGAAACACAATTACAAGTAGTTCTAGAAATCTATTAGCGAGACAGACCACTGATGTGCCACCTTCCATCTGCATCTGGATGTGAGTTTGCTTGTTGGGAAATGGGAACTTCCACAACATCAACTACAACTCGATCTACTCCCTGTTCATGTTGCATTTCTTTGCCCATTTATGATGTGCAGTTGGACGTCCTTGATGCTTTCTATATTTCTTGGCTAATAAGAACAGGTTTATGTGGAAGCGTAGCCGTCTTTTCCCTAACATGTTGGAGTTTATCCGTATGGAACGCAAGAGGGGTGACTATCAAAACCCACTAGAACAACCACCGAAGATGCTTGTATTAATCCTGGATCTCGAAGTGGCGGGGCGCATCCGCGATGAGAATATTGACGACGAGGACAGCCCCGGAAAGTTCGCTGCGTGTGTCTGCTACTATGTGGCTGCTGTTGGCGGACGCTACGCTCGTTCTTTCGGAGATCAAACATGGCGTGAGGGAACCGAGGTTGTGGAGAATGAACACGAAGACTGTATTGCTTCTACTCACACGGATTTCGATGACGACGATGGATGCTCGAGCTTTGGATCATCTTATGCAGAGATACCTGGCCGCAATCGCGGAGGAAATGCATACCCATCAGTCGTGCTCTACTTCACACAGGCACGCATGTACTACAGAAGCGCAAGGCACTTCGTGGCGGAGCAACCACTTGTCCTCCTCCAGGAGCTTTTCGGGTTGTGCTGCCAATGCGATTATCCCTTTGCGCCCTACGCTCTTAGAGTATAATGTAATCGATCAGGTCGAGAAGATCGCCACTTCATGCAGCGTCGGACAAACGGAGAGACTTGACGCTAAATCTATGGCTGCGAGTTTGAGAGATGGCACTTCCTTGGGGGAAGCAGCGGTCGAGACATGTCGACTACTGAAGATGTTTTCCTTTTCGGAGTGAATATCTGCGAGCAATCTTTCCCCCTATTTTTCCCTTTTGGTAGCAGCGATCCTCGATACCGACTGCGCTCCAGCCATTTGCTTGCCATTGGTGCAGTGGTTGCTGAGTCGGCCAGCAGACTTCCAGTACGTTCACAGCGACGGACGTTGTACACACCAGGGTACTAATAGTGTAGATAATGATGATCCAAGCGGCAGCTCACATTACAAGAAACGAAGTGTCGCTGACGACGCTGACTCTGTTTTCTTCGACGAAGATGAGGATTTCTCGCTTTTGCATATTCTCGCTTTCCGGTACGACGATGCGGCTCTGCAGCAAACAAGAAGCTTTTCTTCGGGGTGAGGCATTTGCCGCAGATCGGCTGCACAAGCGCCGCTAGACAGCACACCCACGCAGCAGAATGTTAACGGGTACGAACAGGCACATCTTGATGGGTTTGAAAATAATAGCAGCCCCGCAACACTGTTGCGTGAAACGCAACCACTGACTCCAGATAGTCAAGCGAGTACCCGTGCGAGCGGCGATGATGGTGACAGCGAGAGCAATAATCATGATGAACGTACTAGTAACTCGAACTCCGATATTAAGAACGGTACGGACCACAAATAAGGCGACTACCATGTCGGCGAAGGCGACGCTGTTGCATCGACGACGCAGGTCGTGGAAGAGCGGATGAGCCGTTCAGAAACTGTGGTAGTGCACAAAACAGATGAATACGGCGGCCCAGCTGATGTTCTCCAGCTACTTCTTCAGCAGGCAGGATGCGAAGGCTTTGATCAACATGCCAGTGATGAGCAACCTTGTAAAGACGATACAATTCGAAGGCAGCAAAAGCTAGATATTGACGTGCAGGGCCGTCGTTTGGGTAGAACCCCATCGCACTGCGCAATTCTTGAGGGAAACCCAGCGCAGGGCAAGCTTTTACTCGATGCAGGTGCACGCATTGACATTCCGGACCATGCGGGGTTCACGGCCGTGCACTATCTCGCAGCATCGATCTATGCGAGCATGGCTGTACCAAAAGCAGTTGATACTGCAGAGCAAGACGAGGACGTCGATGGAGTGCAGCGTCGAGAGTCTGTTGGCAAGCCCTTACAGCCAGTCAGTCTTTCTGAACTCGCCAAGGAGGAAGGAGTTTATATTTCTGAGGAAATGGTTGTTGACCGCTGGACTTCTTTTGGTATCTTATAAGAAAGTTATCCCAATATCGAGCTTTCAAAACCGATTAACCAAAAAGAAAACCACAGGGCTCTTGCGAGATATTGGGAATTTCTTCTGGAGGTCAACGTGTACGACAAGAAGAGCACGAGATCACATACCACTTGGGTTTACAACTTGCAATATATATTTCTGAGGAAAATGCAGTATGCTCAATTTCTCGAGTCGGGTAGCGCGCACGCTTTGCTCCGGGACCTGCTTTGAATGGAGGAAAGAGACATCAAACGATCCAAAGCATCCTCGACAAGATCGGCTCTCCCGCTGTCCGAAGGCTTCGGGGTACCTCAGCTCTCCTCGTTATCGCAGCGCGTGTACCCGCTTGGCTATGCTTCGGGGCGCTGCGCGCGGGTCATTCTTTTGGCGGATTTTGCACCAGAAGAAGCCTCATCCATCTTGTCTGACTCGCTGCGCATTTTGTATGACGTGGAGGTGCCGTCGGCATTTGCGCGCCTCGACGAGTACGGATATCAATACGGCTCTGAGCACCATTCAGATGTTCTCCGAAACGAGCTCAGTCCTGTGCACAAGAACGTGGAAAGCATTTCCAGCTCGTGTTCACTGTTAAACGGCGATCCCGGCACACCTCGGTTTCACAAAGTTCTTGCCTGACGCCCCAATCGATCGCATTTACGGAGGGGCGAGTTACTCTCGACAATGATGGCCTTTCTCGGCAAATGGAACCTCGATCCGCTGTTAGCTGTCGGAGCGGGACGCACAACGAGCAAATGCGAGGTACGTTGTCGGAGAGGCGAAAAGCCGTCCTCCATGTTGTGGACGACCTTGCAAAAAACTTCTTGATATTAATATTTCGTGTGGCGGACCGAAGGCTGGTGATCCACGCCGTGAGCGCGCTGTTATAGTCTCCGCGCTCATTCTCGAGGACCTCGCAAACCACTACTACTTTCACACAGTCGACGACGAAGGCAAGAACAAGCACGTGGCGCAAGCGCTTGATTGTTTGGAAAGAGGCCTGTCGATATTGAGACAGCATAATTGCGATCGTTTAAAAGGCGGCACGAGCATCGTTTCTCCACTGGAGGAGCTTGTTTCCCACATCGCCTTAACAGAACAGGCAGCGAATCCCCGCTTAGCCCAACGGGCTGAAAAGCTTCTCTCACGAAAGGGAATTTGACTTCTGTTGGACGCTCGGAAAAGTGTGCGAGCGTCGCTGTCTCTGGCTGTGGAAAGGCAGGAATACAATGCCTGTAGGACCGACAGGAAGTAGACAGTAGAGCTTGATGGTCAAAGGCCATGGGCTTCCGACGCGCATTCCGATGGTCTTCATGAAGATTTGGATGCACATTTTCTCGCATTCAGTCAGGCGCACAAAGCCCAGCCGGAAATTCTGACGAGATCCAGCGCAATCGTCCTCTCGGAAGGCCTACTCGAGAAAGACGACGCGAATCGCCTCGCAGCTGCGCGAGACGCGCTGACGCAGCATAAGCCGCAAGGACGACATGAGGCAGCGCTGATGCGAGAGGCGCGTGACGCGTCGCGCAGCCCTCAGCTGCGCTTAGAAACGATCTCAGACCTCCACCTCCTCGCAGCGCGTTATGAAAATACGATGCCTATTGACTCTGATGGGGGGATGCGAGAGCTCTTTCTGGCAAGAATCGAAATACTGCTAGAATTTGAGCGCGAAGTAACGCACTTGGTAGAAGCACTCTCCAAAGAAGCTGCAGAGCGTGAAGCAGACCGGAATGCCATGGAGCAGGTCAACCTCGCAAATACAATGAAGAAGCATCGACAACAAAATGTGGAAAAACGAGAGAAAAAGCATGCTGAGCAGCGGTCGAAAGCTGAACAAAGCAGCACTGGGGTAATCGACACGATGGAGGAACGCGAGTGGCTGAAGAGAAAGAAATCCGAGTTCCACTGCGCACTTCGCAATGCTGTCGTTGAGTTCTACTACGTTTTTTTCTCACGCCTGTTTGACGATGGGCTGTGTGAACTAGCAGAAAATGAAGGCGATTCTTCCAGAAAACAGATGGCGCCATCGGATTTCATGAAAAAGATGAACAACCTATCCACAGGCAACAAAATTTTTGCGGACGCTACAAGGGAATGAGCGGCATTTCATGAAAAATTTCCCGCTTTTACTGGTGGCCTCCTACAGCGGGGAACCAGGAGTAGCAAGACTGATACTGCAGGAAGAGAGGCAGGCTTGTCAGAATCTACGACAGAAGAGAAGACACAAAATGAATGCGCCATGCTCAGGAATAATGACGGCGCGCTACCTCGCGCGCAAAAATCATCCAAATACGGAGATGATACGAGATGCTCTTGTTCTCAATTTTTGTACTGCGTCACGGTCCTACTGGTCGGAGACTGCTGTCCAGGCTCGGTATTGACAGATCTCGCATGGTCAAATTTTATTCAATGGCATTCCCGTTATAATCCTAATCGTCAGATGAAGCAGATGAAGGAAAGAAAAATTTGCGCGCCGCACGCTTCGCGACGACGCAATGTTCGGGATGGTGCGTACCGAGGACTGGTAGGAATGTGCCAAGCGCTTGGCGTCCAATTGGAAGAGGTGAACGAAAACTCTTTAGGGCACTTCGCGATTCGCGAAGGAACACATGCCGCAGTAGTATATGCGTGGCGCACTTTGATTTTTTTCATTACCTGCAGCGCGACCGTGGGTTAAATCGGGTTGCGGTGATTCTTCTCTGCGAGCTGATCGCGCAGATCATGCTCGATAATAACGCTCAGCTCTTCTCGGACGAGGACGGAGCTGACGAGGAAGTTGAAAGTGACAGCATGAAACCTCCTGTATCTTCTACTCGAAGTCCTGTAGAGATCGCGCGCGATCTCCTCGCATGCCCGTCTTCTAAACGGCACTTGACGGATTCCGGCCTGATCCGACTGGTGCACGCACTCTTCACATTGGGTGTGGACGTTCTGCGCGCGGCAGTTCGGCGACTTTGAATCTCCTGTGACGTAATTCGGTGGCTCGGAAACGGTGGCTCGGTGTTTGAAAATGAAAAATTTGCAACCAGTAGGTTTCGTCGGGAAGAGCTTATATTTATAAATATAATAATTGCTACCTTCCTGCGGTGTTGTTTGATTATCGTCTTCCAAATTTATTGGCGGGTCCTAGCATCCTCTTGTCGGCGTTTGGACAACCGCGAACTACAACAAGAAGGCTAATTATAAGCAGGGCTGCACAAGCGGTCGTGCGGTGCCCCGGCACAATGTATTAATACATGCGGAGAGAAGGAGGACCACAAACACAAGCACGACTGCTGGTGCGGTCGTCAGAGAGTCGCCGAAGAAGGGAAACACGATGAAGAATGATTATGCCACAAAACGTGGCGCAACAGCAGTCACAACTTCCACTGTATCGTCATCATTCTCATTTTCTAAGACCCGGGACACTCACGGTGGCCGTGGCGCAGCTTCCCGTGGGTCGACTTCGCCATCGTCCGCAAGTCCGGCAGCCGGTTCTCAGAAAACTGGTACGGCTCAGACACCGGGAAATCGCAACGCAGAAATGGGCAAGGGTAAGAACGCAACCCACAATGCGCGCGATGAAGAGTCACGCGAGATTCTGTAATCAAGCGCACACGACAACAATAAAAATGGGGATTGCCACTGGCACACGCAGGCGATGCGGTCCAAAACGGGGAGAGCTGACCAACGCCGACTGCATTACTCAAGTGCTGCCTTTCGGGATCATAAAGGCGCAGCGGCTAAAAGAAGAGTAGACGCCGGAATTCGCACGTGGGAATCAATCCAGGCGCGCGCGCGCCGGAGGCACCAGGGCGTGTGGCACATCCCACGTGCAGTGACACAAAAGCATGACAATCCAAATGGGCCCAATAAGCCTGATGGCGAAGATTCAGAATCTGAGGACGACGAGGAAATGTATTATTCCTGCGACACGCACATTGGTGTGCACCATGTCGGCGACTCTTACTAAGCTGCTTTAGGCCCAGAGTATGCAGGGGAGAGCCCACTCTTCGAACAGTACCGCTCCGCGCTGCGAAAAGGGTGTTGCTCGAAAGAGCAGAAGGCGATAGGCGTAAAGTTTATCGAGCGCATTCCGGAGTTGAAAATCAACAGCGAACGTCGTTTGTGGACAGATACCGCGTACCTGGATCCAGAGTCTGGAAAATATTTGCTGCTTTTTTCGCGTGAGGAGAGTCACGCACACGCTGGGATCCGCCGCATCGTAGCAGCAGCGAGTTGCAGTCGTGATTGCGCATTAGGGCCACAGCCCACAGCATCCGGCAGCTGTAGGGTGAGACGTTGCGTCGACTGCCCGCGTCCTGATCTGCGCGGGTGCGTGGGCCGCCAGGGTTGGATCTCGGCGGCGGATCATGTGTTCGAAAAATCCCTACGGAGTGAATGCCGGTTGCAACAGGAGCTGCAGGCTTTTAGAGACGAAACGTGCGAAAAATTGGAACATAATCCCTGCCGCATGATGTAATTATCCGCCATAGTTATCATGCTTAACCAAAAGAACGAGGAGGTGCTCCTACAACAAGTGGACAGTGCCACGATGAAAAAAGGAGTTTTAAGAGTTACAGCTGCCTCATACAAGGGCACACTCATTTTGCAGTTGCTAGTACAGAAGAAGGAAATCGAACTTGAGAACAGCGCATATGATAATCTGAAAAACCGAAGATTCTGGTTCTAGTAGGCACCAGTTTCAACCAGTACATCTAATTTTGAGTCATCAGAGTCACATTTTTATCAATACCCTACGTCTATTCATGAAAATGTTCTGACACACGAACGGAATGTCTCGACTAAAAATGAGCAAGATTTGAACAACTGAGAAAGTACTTAATCGTAACCAACAACAACACGCCACATTATCCCACTTCGCACTTGATTTCGATATAGAAGTTGTACGTGCTACAAGTACGGATATCCCTCTCTCGTTGATTCAATTCATATTTTCTGGATGCGGGTTCGGATGTGTATGTCCATTACGTCTACACCGAGTGCTGCACTTGCTGTTTTTCTATGCTTCTACAGAATCTGGCGAAAAGAGAAGCATATTAACTCACAACTGGGAAAACCTTCACATATGACGACTTTTTGTGCTACAGCTTCGAGTAGACGTGTGAGAATTTGTGTCAGAGTCAACCTACTTCAACTAGAAGAAGATATTGATACTGAAATTAATTTCCAACTTGTAATAGTAATATTATGTCCCTCAGTAACCCTATTACTAGGACATTTTGGTGATGATGGACTCGTGCATATCAATCATGAAGCTGAGAGCGCCACAGGGCGGGCGCCTCGTCAGGGATCCCGCACTTACCAAGCGATATATTTGGCGACATCGCCAGCCGCATGGTTTCGCCTCTTGACGACGTTATCTTTTCTGCGGATTATTATGCGCGGCTAACATCGCAAACCCTGGCCAAAGAGATCTTGCCTACGTTGGAGAACATGCTAAACCACCTCGCTGGTTTTGTGACCGCAAAGGGTGCCTTTTTCGACACTTCTCCCTCTACATACTGGTGGGCTGCGAGTCTCGTTTCTTTTGTATATTTTTTTCGCCAATCCGAAACCTCCAAATGAATCGATGACGGCTGCCCCCGCATCCCTATCGGGACTGCGAGACGGCGGTCGTTTCGCTCTGAATGCACCTAGGAATGACTACTCATTTTCCCAGCATCGGATTTAAAAAAACAGTGAAGGCGAACGGACAGGCCTTTGCTTTGAAGCGATGCGCCAAAGAAGATGATGTCTGTGCCACTGACTTTATGTTTGTTCAGCATTTCGTTTTCCGCGTTGTAGTCAGTGTACTTCTTATAGTCGGAACCTTGACCTTTGAATTTGTTATTTTTCCAGGTAAACCTAAACACTATGCGGCAGCGTTTAAGGTGACGTCCGTGAACCCGGCCCGAATGAACGATTTTCTGGCGCAGAAGGGACTCCTGCGGACAACGCCAATCGGTACGATTCTGATTTGGATTGTTGGCGACCTTCGCTTCCATTTGCCTGCAGCCTCTGGGAGCAAGGAGCAAGAAGAGTTTTCGCTCAGGAAGCAAACATGGCCGCATCCACTGGAGGAAATGATTTTTTCGAGCGATGAATGGGCGACACTGCAGCAAGCCGACAAGGCGCACGGAATCCCCTATCACGAGCACGCGGGAACTCAGGTGTCCTCGGCTCAGATCTTCAAGTTAGTCAAGGCATTTTTTGGTGATGTCCACGGCTTGCAGGTACGCCCTGCTACTACCCCCGCGCCGAACCCACGAGGACTCGGCTTTAGCATGTCTCGGGACTAGGCAATACCACGGGTGCGCATGTCGAACGAGAAGACTTGCGATAATCTCAATGATGATAGTAATCGGTATTCTTGTCTTTTAAAGATATGAGAGTAGTTGCTTGTCTCCTGTAGTTCTGATTTCTTCATTTACGATTACTTCTTTAACGAAATGAAGTTGACAAAGACAGACTCAGAGACACACTGGGGGTGTCAAGAATTCGTAGTCGTACGCTTTTGATTATTGAGCTGTTTCTTACTAATGTCCATCTTTGGCAGTTCAGCTTCAGAGAAGGCAATGCAATCACCAGCGGAGAACGTTTTGAGCCACGTCCCGGATGACTGGATTTGAGACTTGAAGGATTAGCCAGGCGATACAGAAGCAGTTTTCATCACAACACAAAGAAATCGATGTAATTTACGCATCTTCTGAAAGATTTCATGGAAAAGATGAAGGGCTATGCCTTCGTAAAAGAAGCGAACAACGTCAGAAACAAATTAGCTGCAACATCATCCGCTGAAGAAAAAACAAAGCAATTTGTTTGGTGAAGAGGAAAAATTCCTGAGAGAGAGAGTGACGTAGCTGTAGGTAGTATATTCTTCAACGAGGCTCAATCTTCTTCTTTCTTGACTGAGCATTTCTGGGTCAGAGGAGCGTCCATAGTTTTCGGAGGCGGTACTCCTACTTTGCCTTCCCTATGTGAAAATAAATAGAAAAATAGTAGAAAAACAAGAATGGGCCACATTTAGTGTCTGAAAATGGCGAGTAATGTTGAAAGCGGCAAGAGAAGACAACCGCCTCGTGACGCTGAACCGATGACGCGAGCAAAAGACAGCGGGGCTGGTGCGCAGGTGTCCCGCACTAGGACCAACGACAACGACGACATTCGGCTAGAGGTGTCACCAGGCCAAGATATCGCACTTGCCGACAATGCGGCAACAGGACCCGGCCAGAAGAAATCTAGAGCCGACGACATGACGATACGCGTACTTGAAAGCACCGACATATTGAGATCAGGCGAAGGTGCGTGCGAGAGAAGACCGGTGGCAGCTTGCTCGACGTCCTCTCAAGGACGAGTGCCCGACGACCACGGGAATGACCCTGTTTCCGATAATGCTGATGATATCAGCGCAAAATTAATGCTGGCAGAGCTTCGGAACACAGCGGCTCAACTGAAGGACAAGGCAACACGTGTCGATAGGGTCCTCGAGCACGTACAGCTTGCAAAGCGGCAGTACGAAAGTATATCGTCTATAGCGAAAAGATACATCTAATCTTTGAATTTGCTCTAGCTGATGCTGTCATCGATGTGAATTTTCATGTTTTACGCAAATTAGCATCTATTAAAGCCACATACAGCATGCTTATTTTCTTCAGCACTAAGCATCTGGGAAACTTATTTCGTTGATGTTGACAGCCGGAGAGAATCAGTTGTCCTAGGTCTTGTTCGTTTCATTACATCGTCTTCATCGATCGGGTCCTTTTTATATTGACTGTGCCTTGGTGTTGGTGTAATCGCCCTCTCACTCATCCCTTCTGGTTTTGAGGTAGTATCGACAGGCGTGAGGCGGAACTGAAATTGGAAATTGAAGCGATAGTCCGCGAAGAAAAGGCAGCCGTTCTGGAGCGCGAGAAGAGTATTGTGCTTCCGCTTTGGCCGCGAAAGTCGCGATACCAGGCGGCGCTGTCGGAAATTTCGAAGCTCTTAAATGCTGTTGATACAGAGCGGGAGTCTGACGAGGTAGAGGTACGCTTTTCTACGACTGCCTTTTCTGAAGACGAGGCGGCTACTATGTTGCAGACAGTCGCGCCACTGCTGGATGACAACGACAATGATATGGAGAGCAGCGTTCTCTTACGGATGGTCATGTTAGTGCCTCTCGTGACAACTACGACTACAACAGGAGCACACACACGACTTTATCACGCATTTTCTTTAGCTATGATAGACTATGGCACTTACCATTTTGTGACTATGTATACTCGTTGTCATGGTGATGTTCGTAGATTCACATGTCTAGTCGATGGTGCATGTAGCTCATCCTGCAACGCAAAAAGTGAGTATTTTATAGCTCCAATTCTTGCGTTAATTGGTGCCGGGAACCCTGATGATTCGAACTTTCCAACTGAAATCTTGCGGGACCTCCTTGGCCCTTGGGACGCGGTTCCTTCTTGGCGTGTAGTGAGAGCGCCGCCTGAGCGGGAGGTCGTGGCAACGCAGAAAACAGGGTCTGCGCCTGGCAAAGCGAGGTATGCACGTCCTGTCAGCTCGAAAGCGCGCAAACACAAGCGGGACCCTGATCCGGCTGCTTCGAACTGGGTGTACCACGACCACCTCTCGGAATCCGAAGACATTGACTCTGCCTTGACGTTGCCCGTTGGAGATGTTGTTGCAGGGTTGCAGAAGGGCTCAATCAGTACTGTTTGTGCAACAAGCACAAGAATTCCGAAGCCGGTAGGACACCAGATTGCCATTGGCGGTGAAAGTGGAAGGTGGAGCCAAAGTCAACAAAGAAACTGGACTGCGGCGGGGGAGATTGGGGCTGGTCAAAAAACAAAACTTACATCCTCCAATAGCGACCCGAATGTTGCGAGCACGGCCCTTCTTGCAAGCGACGGAGCGACTGCGTCATCGCCTTCTGCTGAAGAAGGCGGAGATCCATCTGCGACGCACTTGACAGGTCTACCAAGCGCAGCTTCGACTAGCGTGACACAGAGTGGGGCGGATACGAGACTGAAGCAAGAAGTTGTAGCTTCCACGAGACGAGGGGCGTCTGCGAGTGCTCAGGGTTCCTCCGTATCGAGTGGCACAACGCACAAGAAATCTATATTGCAGAAGCCGTACTACAGTGTTTGCCTCATACAAGGCAGTGCCGGGGTGCTTCACACGGGGACGGAGACGACGCAGCATGGAGGTCACTCTCCCCACCACACGCGCAACAACATGCAGCATCACAAAAAATCCCACCAGCAAATACACGGTGGCGGCCAAAAAAGCCTTCCCACACGAGATGGAAGTGGGACGAACGCAGGCACAGCAATAAAAAGTGCCAGACCACAAAGCTCTAAAGCGCGAAAGCACAAGCGCGTTTTACTGCACCCAGAAGAGGACCAGTTCGTTTTCTACGATGACCAACCGAGTTTGCTGAGCGACAGCGACGACGAAGACAACATTCGCAGGTTCATTGGGCGCAATCTCATGCCGCTTCAGAATTTGGATCAGGTCGAAGCGCAGTCCTCGAGGTGCAACTCCACTGGAGGGAACAATGCACCTACAAATGCAGATGAATTGAAAGCCGTTGACGTCACATCCACGCGCCTCCAAGGAGGAGCGTCGTCATCCTCTGCTCCTCGTCCGACCCAGACAGGCCAACGTCGTGAGGCAGAACAGGGCTGGCGCGTAGCCAAAAAGGATGTTGCTGCGTCTTTACATACCGCTGATAATCTGCAAAATGATGTTGAACATGATGCTAGAAGCACACCCTCTTCGGGTGAGGACGTGGAGATAGACGACGGCATCTACGAAGATACAACAACCGAAGACGAGCCCGACTTTTGGGTGAAAGGCGGTTCAAACGTTCCACTGCGTGCACCGCCAAGCGAGGACGATGAAGACGGCCTTGAGCACACGAATAGAGGAACATCAGGAAGAACGGTTGCCAGCCGTGCTAGACGATGGCCTTCGGCGCGGGCAGCGAAGTGTGCTACCGCTGAGCAAGGACATCCGGACCAACCTCAGCTGATGCGCCGACGTGTACGAAACGAAACAACGCGAAATGACAGCAAAACCTCATCTCTCATAAGTGCGTTGGTGGACTCGCAGCAGATCGCTCAGAATCAAGTGCAACCGCGGGTTGCGGGCAGTGCGGTCGCGAGCACGTCGGGAAGCTTCGTTTCAGCGTCAGCCTCAGCAGCGCCAAAAACCCCGGGGCCGCCGCTCGCAGGATCGGTAAGCTTTCAACCGCAATCCCGGGCGGCACATGACACGTTCACTACGCATAGCGGAAATAGATACGACAACGATGCAGACTCTCATTTGCCTGCAGCAGCAGAATGGCGAAAAAGCGAACGGGAACCTGGCGCTGGGGCCGGTGGGGGCGACGATGAAGTCGGACCTTCTTCAGTCCGACCTGTTGCCTCATCGCAAGCAAGAGGTATAAACGCTGGAACGGTGGGCACCCTTCGCGGAGGCGCACAACAAAAATACGGATCGACGAAAGGCTGGCGTAAACATAACGATGATGATGGCGGCGGCGGCGGGGGTGGCACCAGGAGGCTGAACGCCTCTGCGCCACAGCCAAGGGGCACCGCAAGCGTAAGCACGACGTACGGGTATACTCGTACTGCTGCGAGAATTCACACGCGTCGCGGAAACGACAAGGACAACGACATCTCAGCAGATTCAGTTTCCGCGGAATTAAGCAAAGAGCGACCTGGCGGGACACAAGGACAGTCCGTGGCGGCAGAGGAGCGTGATTATCTCCGCGCTGGCATCGAGGATATGATTGCGCGACTGAAACGGGATGACGAAGCACTGCGGCGAGAAATGAATATGCTATCTTGTCGATACGCATTGCCGAAAGGAGAGCCTCTGTCACAGCAGCATAGTTTAGAGGAGGAAAACGGCAGTTGTGTCAATTTGCGTGACTATTCTCGGAACGAAACGGCAGGTACTTATGTTTATATTACTATTACTCAACACGGTGTCAATTTTAGCGACAGCAGACAGGAACTGTGGTTGCTAGTTAGATACTAACTTAAAGAATCGACACTCAGGCTCTCCTTTGAGCGTGCCTTTGTATTGAGTGGTCGCAGAAGTAGATCTCAGATGCTACATAAGAGGTTCCATGACATGACACGACGGCTTGACATCGAGAAGGGGCTTCAGCCTGTTGTAGTTGTGAGCGTCAGTGTTTTGAGTTTGACATTAAGATATGCAAAATGATCTTCGTTTCTATCTATCTGTATCTGACCATTATGATTCATCCGAAGCTTTGTTGGTTTGCAACGACTTCGCGGATAGATTACCATTACGTCAATTGACTTAATTTTTTTCAGGAGGCAGTGGCAGTGCGTCTTCATCCTCGTTATCTGTGTTGCAGGAACGCCGCCAACAGGAGCTTGATGAAGATGAAAACCTAGCGCCACCTTCGACTGAGGAAGACGACTGCGCGATTTATGAGGACAACGAAGGCATCTCAGAGTCAGATGGGGATGCAAAAATCCGGGATCATCTTGAGGAATACTATGCACGTCATCCAAGCAAGCGGCGACCTAATCCTTCCGCAAGGGTCAGGCGCAGCGCTCCACTGAAGACATCATCGTCGTCATCCAGCTCTAGTCGAGCTCGAGCAGAGTTTGAGGAAGCTGCTCATGTTGTACCGACGGCGTCGCGCCAGGACTGCGAGGCCCTACCACATCGGACAAGGGGAGCGTCACCGCCGCCTGCGGATACCGATGCCCGTCGGCCTGTGGCGCATCATGAATTCTTTTCGGGTGCTTCCGAGCGCTTCGGCGCGAGTAGCAGCTCGAGCTCGACAGCTGCGTCTAAAGAGCGCTTAGTGCCCGCAGTTGCAGCTGAATCTCGTGTACCGGGATCAACAAGAGCAAACGAACATCATCAGAGGAGAGGAGATCTTCAGGACGCTGCTGTACGAGGTGGTCGTTCCGAGCCTTTCTATATCCCAACGCCTTTTGACGATAACAAAGGAGGTGGATTGCCCGCGGGTGTGGACATGACGAATTGCCATAATTCCAGAATTCCATCGCCCCGTCGTGTGGTGGCAGGTTCTACTTCTACAACTTCCCCTACCCGTTTAGCTGCCTTTGAAGCGTCTTTCGTCAGCTTGTCTAAGAAGATGGAATACAGCAACGACGGGAGGAGCTTATCTGACACGAAAGAGTATCGATGCTTCGTGCCCAAAGAGTACGAAGGGCCGCACCCAAACTGCCTCCGTGTGTCAGTCGCCAAAGAGAAGGCGTGCGTAACGGATCTTGTCCGAGAAATACGGCCTCAACTGAGTAATGGACCCCTCGCGGCGAAAAAGGTATTCACCTGGAAGTTTCTCTGAAAGTCAATGTTGATTTTGGCTGCAGTTCATGATCATGGTGATCAAGGGTCTCCTGCATAAACAGGATCTGCAAGTCATTCTGTCTCATGAAGAATAACTGGCGGCTATTCATTGATGCTGCAGTAACCTCTACGACGAACTTAGAACAAGAACTGGACAGTATCATACAGCCTCGTATCGTACTCTTTCCATTTTTATTGGTCGTCTCAAACACAAACTCAATTAATACTTTTCGTTCAACATCACATTCACAACTTATACTTCGACCACAACTCCAAAAATCCAGCTAACGCTGTGTCTGCGAACGCACGAATCCGGGACGCCAATATGGCTGTGCGACACAGAAGTTATTGACCAAGTTCTGGCCGACTGGAAAGCTGTCAGTGACGGAGGACCAGACTGGCCAAGACTCTATGTGCAAGTGATGTAAAGGCCAAAGGAGATCTCGCAAGAAGCGCAACTACAAGTACAACTGATGTGGACATCTTATTGTCTTCGTTTTTTCTACAACAGGTACCTACAGGGCGGGGTCGGGATTCTCGAAGTTTTCCATTTACGTCACTATTTACGTACAAAAAGACGAACGAAGCGAAAGCGAACAGAGTCCAGGACAGTCATTTTTTGTTTGATCGGCTCCTGAATGAATGTACTTATATATAATATCACTCAGAGAATCGTGTAGTAGCTTGGTGCCTGTGTAAGTAAATGTATATCCAGTATCTGTTGGCATCGAGTCGGATCCAGCATATGCAAGAGCTGCCTGAGGGATACCGAGGGTCACTTTGTGCAAATGGAGCAGACAGAGAGGTGAAACTGAAAGTTGCGGAGGAAAAAGAGTGAAAGAGAAGTAACAGCATCAAAATTTTTCGTTTCTGACCTGCTTTGTCGGTCTGAAATGCAAACGCGGCTTATTTGGAGTGTCATGGAGTGGAATGATCCGTGAAAATTTGTGAGACCCGACTACATGTATGGAGTGGTCCAGGGTGGGATAGCGGTCCAGAGTAGAAAGTGGGCCAGAGTGGAAAGCCGAGAGCAGAGGGGGGGATGGGCGGCAGACGAGGCGATCAAGAACGGCGGACGAAGGAGAAAAGGGGACGAGGGGGAAGAGCAGGGGAGGGGATGAAAGACGGGAGAGGCAGGGGAGATGAGAACAAGAAGAGGGCGCTAGAAGCGAAAGGGCCCGAGGGATGGGAGGGTGGAGGAACCAAGAAAAGGTCGAGCGCGGACAAAACTAAACGCGAGAAAGAAGCCAATAGGCAAGCAAAGACGGCAGAGACACGCAAGCGGCACGCTGCTTGCAGATGTCAAGACGATAATCCACCTGCGCCCCGCTACCCTTGCAAAAATTTGGGGGGAGGGGGGGCGATCTCATGGACGCGGCAAGGCTCTCCTGGCCGGCAGAGTCGACCAAGGGAAGTCCTGAAGCGGCCGCGCCCTTATGTTGAGTATGACAACGAAGAGCAGAGGCCCGCTCCCTCACTCGGAGATCGACAGCGCGCGGCCGTTCGCGATGGTTGGAATGCCACACGCAGCGAAGCCACCGCCGAGCGACTGGCAAACCTCAAGCGCGGGCACTTCCTCCATTGTTTGCTTGGGGCGCGTCTTCATTGCTGGCGCTTGGATCTTGGTGGAAGAGCGAGCGAGACAGCAAGACCACACGGCGCAACAACTTGCGCCAGCGGCTGCAGACCAGCGGCGCCGGGCGGTGCTCGTCTTTGTCTCCTTGTCGCCCCGGGCTGCTCGCCCCCTGTCAGGGATGGGAGCTGCGCTGAGTCCCCCGAAGGCACTCAGTCGCCTGGAAATATGGGCGCCCAGTCGCTTCCTTTGGCACTGCCGCCCCGACTTCAAGGCCCAACCGTGGCAAGCTTGCTAGAGTTAGTATCAAGGTGCTTAAACAAAAGGCCTCCCCAAGCTTGCCGCTTTTCTCTCGAGAGCGTTGCTTGTCTCCTGTCTATCACAAAGTAGGCGCATAACATTCGCAACCTTTGGCATAACTAGCGCGGCCGCGACTTGGTTCAGGGTGGGAGAATTCCCCCCCTGGACCGGTTTGGGGCGGAATAAAATACAATAGCAAAACCCTGGGCCAGGATGTGACTGGAGCGAAAACAAGTTAAAAAGCTGCGAGCGTTCCACCCTGAACCAGAGCGAGTCTCAGCCTGAACCAGCTCCACCCTGGGCCGCTGCATGTATATGAGAGCAGAGTAGTACAGAGTAGCACGCACACGAGTGACGTTTTCAAATTTTAGTGCCTGTACTTCTCGAAGATAGATGAAAAGGTGAATGATCAAGTTACAAATGCAAGTAGGAGGATCTTTGGCTGCTCTCCTTAATACCGGAAATAAGGAAGTAAAGTCTGAAGCGATGATTCTGTGTCTCGATACTTGCAGGAGCGGAGGCGCAGCCACCGAGTGCTGAGCCGCCCATCAAGTTGGTGGTGGATGCGTATGCAGCGGCCGCGTAGACAGGATCAACTGCAGCTCTGCTAACTGCTAACGCTCAGACAGGATCTTGATCTGCTAACTCCAGTTCCAGCTGATCTCCACTTCCAGCTGCTCCTCTCGATACTGGCGGAGGCGCTTACGGAGCTATTCGGCTCTACGATTGGAGAGGGTACAGCGAAGATCGACGCGTTGGGAGAACGAGGACGTAAGACGGCAAACGCAAACTGTGCTCGTGCACTAGGTTGAGTCATCTAGTACTCACCACCTACAATTCCAATCTGATACTCCACTTGTCCGTCTGTTTCCGGAGCACAGCGACGGCGGGGTCCTTTGACATTTGAACGCCCTCGCCGCTCAGATTACAGCATTGGAGCAAAATGCAGAAGCAACAGGTAGAGAACAGCTATGCGCTGGCTCCGGAATACCGGATGAAATTCCGGACTGCTGCTGTCAAGGAGATACTGAAGGAAATACTTGTTATGGCGTTTTAAACTTTATCATCAAAAAATACACGAATCATGCTATTTGGTTACTCGTGCACAGCATCGCTCATTGGACATAGGCATAGACGTAGATGAGGTAGACACTGCATGGCAGAAGATTGACATCCGCAGCCTCATCGCTTTCGTTGCAATCAGAACAACTGAACTTCTAACGCAGCGCAGAAGCTTGAAGGAGTTTCGTATCACGCCGAAGGCAGCAATGCTCTCGCGAAGCAGGTAATGTTCAATAAATGCTACTTTGGTAGAGTAGATCGTTGTAATTGTAACAAGAAGATATTACATATTAACTCCTCCTACTCCTACTCAAGAACCGACTCCAGCCGATACTATAGCCACACAGAGATCATTCTTCTCCTTCTTTCTCTTCAGGTAGCAGATGAGATGAAAGAACGGCTTCGGGACGAACAACAAGCAGGGAGGTTGGATGCAAGATACAAGGTGGTCACTCAGGTAATTTTTTGGTCAAATCATACAATTCTGGAATAATGCAGCCGAGACCGAGAGAGTGATATGTACTTGATGCAGGACGTAGACGAAACTCCGTCCTCTTAATCTTACTTGATTACTTCTAAAAACTAAGATTATGATTTTCTTGACCTTGTTGTAGCTTTTCTGCTTATTTTTTACAGGTATTCATCCTGGAGCAGCGTGGACAGGGTGTGCGTGTCGGCCACCGCGCATTTTGGGATGAGGAAACCGATAGTTTTGCCACAGAATCATACTCAAATGACCACATTTTTTGCATTGCCACTGCCTATGGTATCTATTTCTACTAGGTTGGTCATAGTTTGGTTGAAAATGATGGACTTGCAGCCCACAGTAACCCCGACACCTTAGCTCTTTTAGCTCACGATGAGATTGTGGCACACCACATGACATAATTTCACTAGCCACAGTTTGATGTTGTTCCTTTACAATTACATGCTTCAGAGAAGCATGAAGAAGCACGGTAGAATATTATTGTCAACATTGATTTCTTCTAGTCCTCATTCCCTTTGCGATTTTCTCACAGTCGACATCATTTGCAACTATTGAATCGTTTTCTCGAGAACAGCGAAGAACAGTTAGAGGTAGACCATTGATTGGTCGTTTCAGCACGGCAAAGCTCTCACAGTCTTTTTCTTAAAGAGTCCTTGAACTGAAAGCGTATGACCACTGTAGGAAGGATGAAAGGATGACCACCCCGACGTCTGTTTACGACACAAACTGCGTCGTCGGGACAGAACTTACGTTTCCTTCTCTGACGATGTAGTTGCACTCTTGGGTCTCCTTGCAATTGGCTGCTGATTCTTGGAGTTTTCTTTTGTGTTCATGCTTGCTTACTTGTGTTTCCATGTAGAGAAAAAAGCTGATCGTGTTATCCTGTTGGCGTCGCTGATTCGATTCTGAGGGGTTCGTTGTCTACCTTTGCTGATACAGCCTTTCTGCTGCTGTAGTGCGGCAACAAAGAAATGATCAGTCGCCGCAGAAGCTTGTCATTGCCTGAAAGACAGCTTGTCAATGTAAACATGATGAAAAGATGTTATGTTGATGAAAAGAAACGCCTTTCGTTCCTTGTGAAAAAGATGTGACCAGGATTCTGCATCCTGGATTCTCGTTCTGTTCGTTGTGAAAAACTAAGATCTTTTGCAAACATATGAATGTCTTAGTTCCATTCCGATCATTGTTGCAGCTGTTTGTCACTCGAGACGGAAGAAGTTGGACGAAGAACAAGAAGATTTACCGCGCTACAATGTTGCAGTGATGCCGCAACAAGACACTTCATGTCAGGGCGCGGCATGGTGCAGTGCGGACCTGTTGCGCACTTCCCCCTTCGAGCTCTTAGTCAGGTTATAGGAGGATGTAGCATTGATTCTGAGGATCCTTTTTCTTGTGATAGCAACTTCCTACTAATCGAAAACTCAAAATAACCGAGTTGCTGACTGAAATAAGGGAGGTGCTAGCTTAGCAGCAAGGCTCCCCTTCCTTCTCGTCAGTATCTCGGTTATTCTGATCTATGGAGTGGGGATTTTGCACATGGGGAGCACTAGAAGCAGCTTGGGGAAAATTTTTGAAGTTTGGATGATGATGAGGCGTTCTACCTAGCTATATGCAATGAGTGGGCTACCGAGCTAGGTGGGAGGCAAATGGCCAGGCTCGCGGAAGCTCGAGGATTGCACGCAGCGGAGGGCGTGTGAGCTATGAGTGCGACAGCCTGGCACAAGCTGCCGACGAGGACGCGGCTCTTTCGAGGTTTTGCTCGAGGCCCCGGGGGAAAGTGGTTGATTAGTAGGAGCTTCTTGCCACTAGGTTCCGGGTGGATGCCGCGATTTGGGGATTTTGCACAAGCGCTCGAAAGTTTTTGGCTTGCCTCCTGGAAAATCATGCTTGTGCAAAATCCCCAAATCGCGATCCCCAATTTCTATCCCCACTAGATGACGCATTTGGGGATTTTGCACAAGCACCCGGTTTTTCGTCTCAAATTTCTCGCGAGCCTCAGAAGTCTCCAGAAATTTGAGACAGTCCGAGCCCTCCTGTCCGAAGGGCAGGAAAGAGCGACAGGCCTGGCCATGGAACGGCAAGCCAAGCTCCGGGACATCACACGAAGCAGCAAAAGAGGGCGATCTGCGTCAGCGTACTGCGTCAGCTGTCTCGCCAATAGCCACACTCCCGCCACCTGCATTCTCCAGCTGCCGCGATCCTTTCAGGCCGCGCGCCTCTCTACTGAATAGCTTGGCGAGCTAGCGAAACTGCCCGCCTTTATCTACCTTTTCTGTTCACGAATTTTTTTTTTTTTTCGAGCAGGCTGCTATTGGTCCCCATGTGCAAAATCCCCATTCCATATGATCAGTTACTCGCTTATTTCAGTTTTTCGAGTACGTAGGTCTGACGTGGCTTAGAGGACGAGTTGTAATATATGAATATGCGTGTGCGTGCTTATCGCCACCTGAGTTGTACTAGATGATTATGAGTGTGCTTCTTGTACTATTCATTGATCTAATCAAATCTAATTTTTACCGTCCAAAAAATATTATATATTTCAAGAACCATAATCGTCTAACGTTCGATTACATTCTGCTTGGTCATCGTCATTGCCAGTGACCTCTTGATAGCTCATCAATATATGCAAGGTCTCAAAAAATTTGTATTACCTCCACCTCCAATCAAAAGGTAGATTGTAGATAAAAATGATATCGTGGCTCGATCATTTATCTGCACCTACTACCGTATGCAGTCATTGTGGACCGATGAAAACAATGATCATGTGAGTCTCTCGCTTTTCAAGTTCAAGGTGGAGGTCTAATCTACTGAGAAGTGTCGGGACGAGTCAGCATCACAATCCTTTTTTCAATAGCCTTTTACGATGGACGACGATCATCGTTTCCCGAGGACCGCGTCTAGGTATCAGTCTGTCCAACATCATCCTCGACTCATGCTGTTTGTAAGCAGCGTGTCGGACGGCGACTGTCGATGATCGATGGAACGAGTGAGAACGTGCATGGGCGGGCTCCTCTGAAAGAGACAAAAAGTGTATTATTCCATTCACGTGATTAGTAGAAGCGGAGATCAACGAACACGAAAAGCTAAGGAATTTTCAACATCAAGAAGGATGCTCCTCTGTCTGCAGTGCAGTGGAAGGAATTGGAATGGAAAAGGAAGTGCTGCGTTTGTACAAGTACAACGAGCCCTGACAGTGATGTGACGAGAATGGGGACCGAGAAACTGCGGACGATTCGTGAGAGCGTCTTTTTTCCGAAAAGATTCCGATTTTACACGCGACAGCGTAGAGAACTCGTCCATGCCGAGCCCACACGACAACTGGAATTGTAGAGTAAGATCATGTGCTTATGGTTTTATTTAGCGAACTGCCATATTTCGAGTCCGACCTGCACAACCTGTCCACACGACTTCATCCTACTACCCAGGCTCATGCCTCCATGACCGCAGCCTTGATGAGAAATACTCTGCGTGAGCCAATATGCTCTAAGGTCGATGCGCTGATCAGACTGCCTGATGTACGCACCATCATCGCAGATTGTTACCAAAAAGCTGACCAACACTGATGACTCATTTGCTCTCGAGCATGCCCTGGAGGTCGACCTGCTGCACGACTCGCATTGCCATCTGTTGAAGAGTTGCCAATCCTGTCCTCTTTCACTCCGCACACAGGAGAAGCGTGCTGGGATTCGCTATCGCTGCAGTCTTTTCATGCGAAGAGTGTTTTCCTCAACTACTTAGTTACGTAGTCTTGCACGACTAGTAGAATACGATAGCCATCGACGAGCTGCCGTGCCTGCGGACCTAGAAGTGGAGTGTAAACGATAAGAAACCGCCTTTGCTGTTCTTCTCACCGTATTAATTCCTCTTGGGTCATTCTGCGAGAAAAGATGCATTGCTTTCGGTTTTTGCTGCGGCTAATGGGCGGCCACGCCCAAGGCGGGAATCAGCTTCCGAGCTCCGCCAGCGGGACCGAGCTCGCGGGAGGAGCAAGTCTAGTTCCAGCCAGAGCAGCTCTCGCGGCTGCAGTTTCATCGTCTAGCGGGGGATCGCATCAAACGACTAGTGTAGAACTGTCTCCTGGTCGAGCAGGCGGGGGAACAGGTGTGCAATATCTTGCCCAAGGAGGAGCCGACCAGGAGCCGCGAAGCGTTGTCTGGCCTCACGGAGTCGGAGGGCAGTTTATGCATGCAGCCCTGTCTGACGCCGATCAAGATCAACGCACGGACGTAGCAGCGCATGCGGCACAGAGCGGCTCTTCGAATATTCCTGGACGTCAAGAAAACGGCAGGCAAAGCAGCTACTCGTTTGACGCAGCAGCCTTGGTAGCCGCAGGTGCTGCAGCGGTTGCTGCATCGGCGAGCGGTTCACAGCTGCCTCCTGCGGGATTCCTCGCCACTGCAGCTGCAGCCCGACGCGGAACTATCAGCCCACCGACCCCGACACCTTCATTTTCCCCCGTTTCCATTATGATAGCGTTTTTTACGCGCCTTTTACTTTTTTTCGTCGCCGTCGTTGTTGTTGTTCTTTGCATGCTCCGTTACCTTCAGCTTCAACAACACACCTAGAAGATCTGGATGATGATGTCACGTCACGCAAATGAGAGGGTTCGGAACTGGTTCTAACCCTTGCCCAAAGAATCGGGGAAGACCAGCGTCTGGAAGCGCTGGGTCCGAGAGAGAAATGGCGTCATACAACGTTCCCGAAGGTTTCAATATCGCGGATCTAAACGGTAAATGGACGTGCGCTTCCAGAATTTTATGAGACGCGTCTTCGCCTCTGCCTCAGTTTAGTAATTGCTCACTTAGTGGTAGAAAGAAGAACGGGATTTGATATTAATTCTCAAGACATATGTTCTCATTCATTTTCCACGACATCGTTTCGCATATTTTCATAGCAAGCCTCTGCTAGTTACACTAACTCGTCTATACAGATACTAATTTTCCGCTTCTGCTCACTTTTTTGCTGGTTCTGTCCTTCAACTTGAAGAAAGATGTTTGACCCCGACAGTGCCATTTTCATTTCCGAACTACGCAAGCTTGTTAGAATTGAATAACGTACCAGAAGCATTCTGGGAACGTGTGGTGAAAGCGGATGAAATCTGGATCTTTGAGTTCTACACGAGCGGCGCCTTCCGCATGCAACACAACATCCCGATGACCCACATGGAAAAAAACTTTCGAGTATACCTCGACGGCGAGTGGAAGATCGATTGCCCATACACTTTATGAAGACAAGAAGATAGATGGTTTTCTTCAAGGTCTATCTGCTGGGTGCATATCCATGTGATGCGTCCTCGTGAGACATAAGTGGCATGCATCGTGATCTTGATGAAACTGTGACGCCTTTTGTTAGGGTCTCATCCGTCTCCTATGCAATGGTCTGTCAAGAAGTGCAACTTTTTCTAATTACAGCACCCAGTGCTGGCGCAACTGGCCGTGCTGTCGCGTCCTCTCACATTTCTTCTAGCGGTGCTTCGGCAGGTTCTGCGGCGGGAACGATGCAACAGATTGCGGACGAAGCACAACGCTCATCAACTGAGACAGGAGCAGTTGAGCGCTCGATAGATGAACAAGAGCCAGAGGACGAACAGATTTATGATTGAAAATGAACAACTAATACAAGAATGTACGAAACCGAAAACCATAGGTTTTGTAACTGCGAAGACGACTGCCGGAAGCAAAGAAAGGACTTGGACCTGCCAACCTAGAGCATAAGTAAGAACCATCTATCGCCTAAATGTAATAAACGAGTACTTGATTAACTAAGGAGGTATCGTGCTACTATCAGCAGGCTGTTCAACAAAAATAACCCTTCCATTGATTTTATCTCTACAACTATCGACCTCCAGCGATTATCCAAGTTCTATGTCTTCATAATGCGGGTGAGGACCCCGACGTGCATGAGCCAACTGCACATCAGGCTATCGTGGTGGGACATGTGACGGGCACGACAACGAGAGATGGACTTGACGGGAGGGCTGTCGCCGTGGCGCCTTCTCCTGCGGCGAGAAATGCCGCCACAACAACTCGTTGCAACGTCGCTGCAGGACCCATCCAACTGAACAACCAGCCCAATCTTACACAGACGCTGGAGCACCATCCTAGTGGCAGTACAACAGATCATAGAGATAGAGAAGCAAGCAGTCCGCCTTTTTCTTCAAGCCATGAACCCCAATCCACTTCTCTTCCTGCTTCTCCGGGTTTCGACCGACTATCGTCTGACGATCGCCGTGTTGGAGCATGGCGAAACTTTTGGGACCCTATTCCAAGTACTGAATTGCTACATGATCCATAGAAAAAAATTCTGTTGATCCTTACGGGTTACGATACTGTAAATATTGGTTACAAAAATAATTTTCTCTACGACAATGTCGATGGTGGATGATAAATTTTTGCCTTTAAAAAAACACAACATTCCACCTAGCACAGCATTGACATTGAGATATACGAGTACAAATTGAAGGACAAGAAGACGCGCATCCGCTAACGGTGTTTCTGATTTAGTATTTTTCGACATCTTCAATATCAAAAACTTACAAAATCATATACCTTTTCCGGAATAGCAGGCCGGCGTGACCTTAAGTAGATCTACTGCCTGAAACAGGCAACTTGTTCATATACATCCACTGCCTGAAGCAGTCAGCTTGTTCATACATTCTAAGGACAGGGTTAGTAAAGCTTCACTTTGTATCTTATCTTCAGCTGACGACTGGCCGCATGATGAAGATTGGCCGGCGCCGACCGACGTTTCGTGGAGGACGGAAGTTCAGCAGAGAAACGGCGAAATGATGCGCATCTGGAGAGCTCTACTTGAAGACGGCTCTATGGCGATGAAAGTTTATATACTCGAACCTCCAGCAGATTTCGAGCATCAAATACAAATGCCTGTGGCGGCTTGTGCTTTATGTTTTTGGCTTTGATACCAGATACAGATAATTTTTATTCATTCTGATCGAGCCCGCTCACCCATGAAATTCCTTATGGATATGAATATCCTCCTCCATATCCATATTATCATATCGTGTTTCATCCTCATCGTCTTTACCTTTACCTAAAATTATGCTGCTTGTTTCATTTTCATCACAGTCGGAGTCTGAGCTTGACGATATGGATCATCAAGATGGCAACCACCTGAATCTTCTCGGCGCAACGCCACCGGCAGACTCTGATGATGCAGCCAATGAGGAAGACCGTCACCTTAGCAACTTTTATGGTCATTTATTGAATAACTACTGCCTTTCAACACTTATCGGATTTGACTTAATAATTGGCACTTGACGAGGCCATTGAAAGGTGAAACAGCACAAATATAGAAAGGTCAAAGAAGATGAAGGAAATCGAAATTAAACATTCCGCAGTTTCAGTTTGACCTTGATGTTGTTCACTAGAAAGATTATGATTCTTATCATTACGTCGATACAGTTACTATCTTATACTCTAGGTGTAGGTCTACGTCTAGTGCATTCTTCTAACAAGCGACGCGACGGGTTGCTAGTTGGAACCTGGATGGGTTCGAGAAGGCGCCGGACGAGCAGGAAGAACGCATCCGCGCAGGACCGATCTGGTCCCGATTCGTCCGCATGGACACGCAGGCTCGGCCTTCATGATATGATTTGGGGATACATGAGATGAGATGATTTTAGGCTTAGGGATTCCGAATGAGGAAGATGGACGAGCTGAGCTTGTTCATGCGTGGTCAACCCAGTTGACCTGTGTTGGGAGTACTTTCGCCCACTACTTTCATACATAAGGAACCAAATGTGGTTGTAGAATGTGGTGAAAGAGGGGTGATTCGGGGTGTTACAGTACTTCTCGAACGAAACATACGGGGGTCTCAAAAACATAATGATTCATAAAGCATTTCCATTTCTTTTAGAAGTACAACTACTGCTTTGATATTATCGCGCAGCACAAGGTGGAGGTGGAAGGCAAGTATGTAATGAGTAGAATGTTATAATTGGGAAAATTCACATGAAAACTTCACAATTTGTGAGACTTGCAGCTCCCGTGTTGATTGAAACTACCTCAAGAATCACACATGGAAGAAAACAGTGCACTATTTTGTGTCTGCTAATGGCATCTCCATCTAGAATGAAAACAGGAGGATTTTTATTCGCATGCTTAATCTTCTTCTTCTAAGTCCTGTAGAAGAAGCCACCAACTAGTAGATGAACGAGAGAACTAAGATAGACGGTGAAGAGATGGTGAGAAATTCTACATGTAGACCAGAAATTCTACTACGTATGAATGAATAAAGATAAAGTTCTTTTCGGATGAATCATGATTATGAAATAGAAAATGCTACGGGCGCAACATCCACATGGGTGTCTAAATGTTCAGAAAATACTCGAGCAGAAAAAGTCATCGGGAGACGCAGAAACTTCACTCTTGTCTATTCACTTAAAAAGAACAATAAAGCTAACAAAGGGCACACGTTGCTCTTGCTGTCGACACTTCAACTTTTTCAATACGCTAACGCTGAAACTGATATCATCTTTTCGTTGTGTATTTACGTTCCCCTTGAAGATACTCGCATACGCGTTTTCTCAAATTATATTTCGATACATATATTTATATAACAATGTTGGAACTTTTTTTTTCCTGCTCACGAAAATGAACAAAGAAATTGGACCCTTGCATCATATACTTATTCCTTTATTTGTTGATGCCTCCGCCAGAGGTATTCATCTTTGTAAAAAACACTCATTTGCTGAGTACAGCGTCTTTGGCCCTTCAGCCCTAGCAGGTCTACAAAGCCAGGATCAGGTGTTCCGCGGTCAGGGCATCCTTTAGCTATTCGGATGCGAAGACGCTCCCGCGTTGAACGAAAACGTGTCGCTGTGTCAGTACTGCACGCGTGTCGGTGTCACAGCATGCACTGCAGGGTGGGCTCCTGTCTGCGTGCCACCCCGAATACTCATTGTTGGTGAGATCATGGAGCGCCGTTGAGAGGTTGCCAGGTTCTTGTCGATAGAGTGTCACTCACATTCAGAAGATTACGCCGAAGAGAAAATACTAGTAGTTAGCTGATGCACTCAGTAGGGTAGCGAATCGAAATCCAGCGACTAGAGCGGTCCTAGTAGTTCTAGTTTTGGATTAAGCTATTATTGTATCTATAGTATAATTTATAAAACCCGCATACGCATTGCTATTTTTGTATACTTCTTAATCTATGTTGAGATGAGCACTTTACCTAGTTTTTTTCTTTTTGTGTCTTTACTGAGTAATTCTAGTTCTTGAAGTTGTAACACCGTTTTTGAACAATCTGAGGCAATCCTTCAAGATGATCTGTTCTTCTATTTCGATGTTCTTCGTCAGCAGCGTTGACCGACGTCAAAGCCGTCAACCTTCAGCGCTGAAAGCCGTTTTGGGCGCTGCCTTGCTCATATGTGGCGTCGCATCCGTTGCTGTAGTACCAAACAACAACACGACGACTTTAGCGCCTGGAGCGGTCGAAGACGATACAACAGAGTCGGATTGGATGAGGACGTCAATGATCCTAAAGAATGACGATGCTTATGATCAGCAAGGAGATGCTGTGAGGAGCAAGACTTCTTCACCGAGCAATGGCGATGGCACGACAAGCACCGATCCCGTCCGACAGCAGGAAGAGCTCAATGCAGGTTCACAAGAGCTAGGAAGGCCAATATCTTCAGGCACCTCCGGCTCTGTAACAGTCTCTGTCTCTGAAGCGGTAGGCAGCTGCAGTGGTCAATCGAGAGGTCCTCGTCGGACTGACGCGTCTGCTAGTACCACTAGGGCACTAGGTGAAACGCCAAAGCAGGCCACTGCGGAGCAGGTTTTGGATTCTGCTGTGGACACGACATTCACAAACGCGCCTAATGCAGAGAATACCCCTCGGAAAGATATTGGCGCAGATGAAGATTTGACGCTGGACGAAGAGCCAGATGAGGACGACTTTGTCATCGTCAACCAGGATGGCACAACATCACCGCCTGAAACTCCGAACCGACCCACCACAGATATTGATAAAGAACACGAGGCTCATCCTCCTCTCGCTGCAGTTGTGGGATACGGTCCGGCAGACAAAGAGGCTCCTACGGCTCTGAGTTCCTCACTACGAAGGGAAGGCGGCTTGCTCACAGGACGAGCGTACTTGCAGCTGTCGACACCTAATTAATGACTAGATGTTCTTGATAACGATATGTCCGTCGTCTATATCTATAACTCTGAGAAAAGTGTCCGTGTTCTGATGGTCTCTGGCAATGACAAAATCATGTCTTAAGAATATCAGGGACGACGATGCGGTACTTGATAGTGTCGCAGGGGAAGCAGTCGAAAGTGTTGATGGATCGGGCATCGACTCGGAAACCGGGTCTCAGAAAAGTGCATGCGTCGATGCTATCGACGCGGATGCTACCATCGCAGGCGACGTAGTAGACTACATAGTTCGGGTTTCAGTTTGGGTTTGCTCTCCCTGCTTTTTCATCTTGACAGGACAAGAAAATATAGGCTACATCATAGCCCTAGTTGTTTCATTATCATGATCATGGATCGCGATTGCGATGAATACGAATTACACCACCAGGTACCATCAACAACAGGAGCGTGCGGGTCCCCGCACTTGAAGCAGGTACATGAGGAAAACTGTCGAGGACACATCCCAATGGACTGCAGTGCGAGTGTTGCGTCGACAGATGCGGCGTCCGCCCCTCCTACCCCAGCAGCGGCTGTTCCTGTAATGAGTCCGCGAGCAAAAATGATAGAACAGGAAATGGAAGCCCAAGCTTTCCACGCTCTAGCCTCCGAAGGGCCGCGTCGTCGACGCGGTGGCACATCGGAGTTGTCGGAACCAGCACAACCACCTTGTATGAAATCGCCGAGACGCCACTCACCCGCAAACGACTGTGTCCCAGCCGCTCAGTCACCACCGTTCTTGTCGTCAACGCCACATTGTTCTGTAGCGTCATCTCGGACATTATTGAACAATAGCCAGACTCGCGGACAGTCGAGTCCACCAAGCTACAGCGGCCCTTCTACTAAAGACGCATTTCTATCGTCTGCAAATACGAATACAAACTTCTCTAGAAGTCCTCTTGCGGCTACAACTGCGTTGAGAGGGGGCTATCTAGCATCTCCTTCTAGTCCAATTTGCATGGGACGGCTCATGCCTCCTGCGACCACAACAGCCTCACCCTTAGCCAATGGAACGCCAATTTGTTCAATTCATACGGTTTCGAGGACCTCTTCTAGAAGCACACTCCAAGAACAGGGAATCATGTACAACGTGAGATTTCCGCAAGCGGTTGTTGAGCCCCCGCGGCCTGATGTCGGTGCCGCTCTCCTCGCGAGTGCTACTTGTTCTCGATTTTTTGGCTCGTCCTCGCGCGACCAAACCCTTGCCGATGAGGAAGACGATATTGAAATGGGGCTGTCCGCATCGCCCTCCGTCGACGGTGGGTCGGTAACGGATAGTAGGATATTACGTCTTCTAGACACCACGAATCAAAAGATGCGAGCGGGGCCGTCGATGTCTTCCTCTACCTCAGCGACCTCATCGACATCGTCTCTGCTTCTCGGCGTAGACGGAACGTCCTCGTCTGCCAGCAGTTCTCTGGGGTCGTCTGATGAATGCGGGAGAAGAAGCGGAAACTTCTTGCACGCAATGTGCAGCTGCACGAAAGCTCTATTACTTTGGCCACCGTCTAGTACCTCGCCCTACAGCGGCGGAGGTCCGTGTAGTGCACCGCCACCGATTCCTGCCCCTGCTCACCGGTACTCTAATGCCGCCCCCGCCTCACCAAACGTGCAACCAACGTGGAATAAATACGAATGAATTTCCACGAGAACAAACAGGTGGATGCGACTTACGTTGTCGTCGATGTTCATGCATTATTGTTTTGGTTTTTGTTCATGATCGCCCAAACGCAACAAATTAATGATGATAGATTCCTATGGAAGGAAAAAATGTACTCAAACTCAAAAACGACATCTAAAAATTTTATTTGATTTAATGTTTAGATAGTGAACTAGCTAGTTGAAATGGAGGCCAGAGGCAGCAGATTCGGTGGCGGCGTGGCCGTGGCGTGGGATGTATCACAGGAGACGAAGGCTCGCCTGTGTCAGTTGATGACTGAAGATGCAGAGCGAAGTCCCCAGATCTTTTATCATGTTGAAGTGTGGCGCCACGCCACCTGGTGCCACAACGAGAATGACAAAAGGAGCTTGCGACTTTACCTTGCGTCTCGTCATCATCAGACACAGGCCACCTTCATTGTCTACCTGACGATCCCCCACGCCGTGGTCTACGCCGACCCAATCTGCCGCCTCTGGCCTCCAGCTTAACTAGCTAATCAAATATCTACCTGCTAGCCAGTTAAATTTTTTCTAATTCGGTTTTCGAGAATTAGAATAGTTTTTCTTTGCATAACTCCACGCCATTTTGTACAACATAGCAAAGAATCCCGTCTTCACCCTTAACCACTCCTTCGTAGCCAAGTGTTTCTACTTCTCCTACCTCCAGCGCGAATACCCTACGAACCATTACACTAGAGAACATCTTTGGGATTATATCTACTCATCTATGTGCACATACAAAGATCTTTTGTGCCGTAATTCAAGTTCTTGAGCTTGTTGCTCCTCAACCAAATTTTCCCTGCAAGTTACTCAAGGTTATCCACTCCTTTCACATGAGGATAAGCATGAGCATTTCTATTACCTTACTATTCAATGTCTGATTGTATTCTTGGTTGTCATCGTAGACCATGCTGCATCGCATTCCTGGAGGAGAGAGGGTATTTTTCGACCTTGTAGCAGCAAATTTTTGATTTTATTTTGATATGAAAAAAAAAATGCTGTGGCTGTGGTAAGAACTCCTCATAGATTTCATGATGATCATATTCTGTGAAACTCACGTGGTTATGGTTTGAAGGAAGTTGTATCGTGTCTAAGATATGAGAACATAGACAGTAATATTGTAATGAGGATCTGTTGTTCTGGTCGAATTCATCTGAAGAGTCCAGCTCCAGTTGTTGCCTAACTGCTGCAACTACCATGATGAACACTTGCGACCACCATTTCGCAGATTGTGCTGTTGCGTCAGAAATTGTCCTGACAGTGTTGTGGCGCCTTGAGCACGTAGGGCATGCTCATCAAAATCGTCTGCAAGCCTGCTCATAATTGTATCGGTAAGCTAAGCGTGTCATTGTTAATGACGTGATTCGCAAAGATATGATTATGATGTACACCATGACATTAACATAAACATGCTGTACCGTGCTTGGTTCGCTGTGTCTCTTGGTGTCTTCCCGCCTGGCATTACTATGTATTTAAGCGAGCTCTTCTAGACGACCTGCTTTTGCTGGGCATCTCCAACAGCTGCATCAAAAATGTGAGAAAGCTTGTTCCTCACTGTCACTGGCACGAAGCGAAATTAAAAAGACCAAGAATAGGAACTCTTCACTTGCGAAGCATATTGTGAGACACAAAGCTGCAGCGATAATATATTTCGTGTGCTTGCTGCTGAAGGTTGCGATGCAATTATCAGAGCCAGACTGACAGCGTCTCTGAAGGCAACGCTCAGCGCCATATGATATGCGACAGATTGTTCGAAGACTCATTGGGTACTATTCCCAAATACGCACCACATATGAGGCTGCTGAAAAAGTAAGTTGACAGACAGGTATATGGGTGCTACATACGTAGTCGGATAAAGGCAAGAAGGCCAAACTCATTAGTTTCATTACCACGCGTCATAATCATTGGATAAAAGTTGACCTCTGTTAGCTGCTTCCTTTTTTTGCTTGTAGCAAGACGCAGTTCGTGTATTTTGTTGAGCATTGTTTTTCTTCTCTTTGCTTTTCTAAAAAATTGAAATTTCCATGACGATGAGCTACCGAGGCAGCTTCCTACTAAAAGCAGTCTTAGTAATTTCTACCGATAACAGTAACACTTCAACGTTACGTAGGAAATCCAGGAATCATGGTCGTAGAGTTTGAGGAAGGTATAGTTTGAGGAAGTCGCTTTTTTCAAAATTCACATAATAGAACTTCCCTTCATGATGAATCATCCCTGTAATTTCACTTCCTCTCATTAAAAACTAAAACTACGGAAAGAATTTTTCCGTACAACATCACCACTGGCACGGACTCGTTGTAAAAACCTAAGCCTCTCTTTGTACAAAGCTTAAGAAATAACAAGACGAACATTACAATGACGGCAGGCGACTGGAGACCTCACGGTGGATTCAATCCACAAGCTCAGAGTTTCGTCCCCCATGGTGGCTTCCAGAACTCAAACTCCTGGGCACAGGCGCAGGTCTTGTTGCAACTTTTTAATTTGCATAGGATCCGGAGTTAAAGTTACGCTTCTTGAATTTTTTGAAGAAAAATGATCAAAATCTTCTTTTATATTTGGAAATCACATACTCATACTCAAATTCGTCATACGCATAATATCTACATCTATACCCAAGTGCGTGACATCGACCTGAACACAGCCCCAGCAGCAACAGCAGCAGCCGCAGCAATTTGGCGGCTTTGCGCCTCGTTTTGGTGGATTCCAGCAGGGAAGCTATCAGGGACAGGGCGGCTTCGGAGGTTTCGGGCCGAATCAAGGTGGTTATCCTCAGGGATTCGACCAACCGGGAGGATACGGGCAACCGGGAGGCTATGGAGGAGGTGGGCCTTTATTCAACGAAGAGTCATCATCTTGTGTTGCAAAGACTGTTATCTATGTACGAGGTACGGATACCAACGGTGCTTCAGGTTCAGCCTCAGACCTTTATATATACGTACCTATCTTGTAATTGTAGCATTGATGTTGTAGTAGTTGCAAGGTACGTTTACGAAGTTGTAGCTAGTACTGATGGACAAAACCTTTTCGATTACACCAGGTGGCTACCAGATCGGACAAGGTGGTTTCGGCGCTAATTTGCACGATATCAATTGGGGGCAAGAAACTTTGGTCACCCTTCAGAAGAATTTTTATTGTGAACACCCGGCGGTGCAAGCAATGACCCCACAAGAATGCGAAGCCTTCCGTCATGAGCACAGTATCTATTTGTATTAGATAGGATCATCTCTTCTACGAAGCATCAGACGACAAGGTGCTATTGGTCGTTTATTCTGTCAATCACTAGCAGTAGCGTTTTGCTTTTGAATGGACAAGAGTTGAAGTCGAGCCATCTTTTCATACGAATTAGAGAGTGTTGACGTCAATTCTGGAAATTAAGGTACTTCATCTAGTAGAAGAACGTGCTGAAGACTCCACTTTGTTTATCTTGCGCGTACTACACACTTACACAGACACATATTGACACATATATATTGAAATCATACTAGGTATCTCCTTCATTGGAACAAAGGGCCCAAAACCGATTCGCACATTTCAAGAAGCTAGCTTTCCAGACTACATTATGCAGGCTATCCACCATGCTGGTTTCGATCGACCGTCTCCCATTCAGGCTCAGGGTTGGCCCGTTGCACTCAGCGGACACGATATGATCGGTAAAACCAAAATTTCTCATCCTCTCTCAGTCACTGACACTTTACTTCTTACTCTGCCCTTTACATTTTTCTTCTTCTCTTGCTTCCAGCAATGGAATATTAGATTTTTGTCATTTTCGGCAGCAAGAATGATTACAGTGTTTGGCTGGGGCTGTGGAAGACGTAGTCAGACTTTTTGTTTCTTGGTAGCCATTATACAGCATCCAAGTCAAGGTATTGCCGATACTGGAAGCGGTAAAACTCTGGCGTTTTTGTTGCCGGCTATGATCCACATTCGTGCTCAGCCTCCCATGCAGTGGGGAGACGGTCCAATCTGCCTGGTTTTGTTAAGGCTTCTTCGAGATTCAAATTGTAATATATTGAAAGGTTTGAATATTTATTTGCTGTACGTCGTAGCGGTAGCTAGGTTTATACAGAAGTCTTTGCGCCGTTCCTTCTGTGAGTGAGATGTATGTAGACAGTCTACTGTAGACTACCACTACGACTAGTTTATCATAGAAGAGGGAAGAAAATTGACGACGGTTTTTAGGCACAGATCTTTCGCTAGTAACTACTCGATGCTTGTATGCCCCTTGTTGCTTTTAATCATTTCCATATAAAGTTTTCCTAGGAGAGTCAAAGTCGCTCTAATTCTTGCCCCAACACGAGAGCTGGCCATGCAGATCAAGACTGAAGCTGAGAAATTTGGTCGAATGAGTGGCGTGCGCAACACATGTGTCTACGGCGGCGTCGCCAAGGGTCCACAGATTCGCGATCTCAAGCAAGGACGCGAAATCGTCATCGCTACTCCGGGTCGACTGATCGATCTACTAAACAAGGATACGCATCAAGCCCAAGCGGTAAGAAAATTTGATAGCGTAAATTTCTCCTTCAAGATAGGTTCAGTATGCTCTTGCTCATCATGATACTTAATATTAATCACGCACGCACGAGGACAACGACAAGGACTGCAAGACCATGATGATCAAATAGAGGCGCGTCCACATGTCTAAGTACCTCCACCTCGAATTATTTTGAACAAGACATTTCTATTTCTTTGTCTCGAAAAAATCTTATACCAATACCTCTCCAATATTGCCATGATCTCTCCCCCACGACCTGAAACATTACCAGGCCACCAATTTGAAGCGTGTGACCTACCTCGTGCTGGATGAGGCTGACAGGATGTTGGATATGGGTTTCGAAGACCAGATTCGTAAGATCTGCTCGCAAATTCGTCCGGACCGTCAGACGTTGCTGTGGTCCGCTACGTGGCCACGTGAAGTGCAATCTTTGGCAAGGGACTTGTGCAAGGAAATGCCGATCCACATCAACATTGGTTCGACCGAACTCAAAGCAAATCACAAAATCGTCCAGCGCGTTGAGATTTTTCCTGGTACTTATTCTTATCGTATTAAAGTCTCTTTTATACAATCATTCGCTTGCTTTCTTGCCTCGGCAAATGTTCAAATAACCGACTCGTCCTATGATTGTTAGATGCAATGTTGTTGTATGTTGTATGTGTATCTCTCCTGTGACCTGTGTTTGTTGCAATTCCGATGATCATGTGCCTTTATCTTCTTGCCTATTCAGGTTTCGACACCGAGCAAGAGCGGCTCAGGCGGTTATTTAGTCTCTTGGGGGAGCTTCCGATGGGAAAAAAGTTGATTTTTTCGCAAACAAAGCGTGGAGCAGACGTGCTGTGCCGCGAGGTTCGACGCAACGGCTTCGTCGCACAATCTATTCACGGCGATAAACGCCAAGAGGAACGCGATTGGGTACTATCTTCCAGTTGTAGCGAAGTACATACAAACTATACTTACTCGTCGAACTACTGTAACTTAATTATCCTCATACTGAGAACGGAAGATGAAAAATCAATTATGAAAAAGACATTCTCGAACCTAACTCCCTGGACTAGCCTGAACTTGACCTGCTGCAGGTATAATTGAACTTTTCAAATGTTTTTCAGGCACTAGCGGAGTTCAAGAGCGGCAGGACCCCGATTTTGATTGCAACAGATGTTGCCGCACGTGGTATCGATGTGAAGGATATTCAATGTGTCATCAACTTCGATTTTCCGACTCACATTGAGGACTACGTGCATCGCATCGGGCGCACCGGACGTGGCGGCGCAGAGGGCCTTGCATATTCCTTTTTTTTAAGGCTCCTATACCTACCCCTTGCACTTCTATTTATCTACTTCTTTTAGAAGAGCATGAAATGCAGTCCAGCACGAGCACTCCTTCTATGCAGTTGCACATCCATAAGCAATAGCAAGAGCCCTTGGGTAATTATTCTAACATTGAATCATTGTCCATGTACTAATATGCTAAATGAAGATACATCAAGAAAACAGATGATAATTACAACAACAACTGCAGTCGCAGTGTGGCTTGCTGGAAGGATGGAACAAAAGTGGTTTAATGTAGCGTGTACAAATGAATTTGTTCTAATTTGTACTCCGGAAGACCGCGGCAAGATGGCAAAGGATCTCTACAACATCATGGCCGAAGCCCATCAAGAGATCCCTAACGAGTTGTTCGAATACATTGGTAAGTTCGGCGGAAACTTCAACAAGTTTGGCGGTAAAGGTGGCAAGTTTGGTGGGAAAGGAGGCAAAGGAAAGGGAGGCTTCGGCGGAGGGGGAGGGAACAAGGGCTTCAGTGGTGGCTTCAACAAAGGGGGATTCGGCGGTGGTATGCCCGGTGGCGGTAAGGGTGGCTTCGGCGGCAACAAGGGTGGATTTTAGATTATTGAAACAGGCTGTTCACCTTGAAAATAGGACCAAGATCATGTTGTAGAAGTAAGTGTACTGGATGAATACGATGAAAGTCGCGGGTCGACGTTAGCCGAGGGTAATATGAGAATGGATTCTTACCTTGAGAAGGGACATACTGCAGAGTATGTGAGTTTGTTGAAATGAACAAGCTGCTGACCTTGACCTCAGACTTTGGTTCATGTATGTGAATGGTTGAAGAAGATTAAGCTAAGTAAATGATTGCAATTGGAGACGTAATATTTGGATTGATGGAAATATGACTATGACTAGTAAAAAGAGGTTTAGGTAGTTATCTAGAAACTTGGGTAGAATTATTATTATGATTAGAGATGACAATATCGAGGATAAAAACATAAAGTAGATTGTATATTCTTCTTGACCAAGCACGAGTTGGGTTTAGCTCCTGAGTAGTATAGTGGGATAACCGCTGTCAGTGTTTAGGTAATTATGGAGATATCCAACTAAGTCCGCGAAAGGAACGGTCAAATACAAATAGGCCATTTTCGGAATGCAGAAGAAAGCAGGAGCATGGCACATTCTGCATCCACCGAGAACAGCGCCGGAAACACTGCATCTAGCAGCTCGTTGCCGCATTCAACAGACAGTCCCTCTGAAGGACTATAGGTTTAGTATCTCGGCTCGCCAGAATTGTTGATGTTCTACCTATCTTTTCCACAGCTTGAAGCTCTCGAAGAAGCCCATCGATGTTCGAGACGAATACAGGAACAAAAATTAAGTAAACGCGACCAGCAGGGGAAAGGCTAATGTAGGCATTTAGCTGAGCGCGTTAAGTTGGTAGTGTTGTAAATTATGAAATCATGACTCCTAAACCTACGACGTTAAAACTGATTCCTTTATTATTGATTTGCTTGGATGAACAACTATGAAACTCCTGAATGGCATGCATTTATGTTTATGTTAAGCGTCGTTGACTACAAAAATGGTAGAGGAATCACGATGAAGATACCCACCACGATCCCACGAGGAATAGAAGAAGGTCACTTTTTGAAGTAGCGAACTCGGAGTTTCTTAGATTTGTCCCGCTTAAATGATTCCTTTCTTTTCTAGTCTTGTCTCTAGAGATATTAACTGAAATTGGAAATAGTGGCTCATTCAGAAAAAGCAATGTAGAACTAGAAAGTCATGAGTAAGTACTCCCATCGACGTTGATTATGGAATATGCGATGCAACGGCTTTTCCTTTTTTGTTCGAAGTGTGTATGATCTTGCATGATTTATCCTCCTGTTTATTCTCTAGAGAACAAGAGGAGTCAGTTCGTGTCTGTCTTGAGGGCTAGTTCTTGAGAGACTGGAGGTAGCATGATATGGCGTCCTCGACGAAGCGACGAAGTAGAGATCTCCTTGTACTAGCTCCAAACGTAAGTTGTTCGAGGAGAATTCCTTCATTCACACTGACACCACCTCTGTCAGTGGTCACTCGTCGTCGATAAGGATAGCAAATGTGAGATTGATTGGCACCTAATTAAAGACTGAAATTGTTTTGTTGATAATCAATCTATAAAGATTAAGATAAGAAATTGATTTTGTCTGTCTTAATAGTTTAGTGGATCGTTGTTGATGAAAATGCGTCCTCTCTCGTCGAGCAGCTGCTTGTCTGTTGATGTGATCCCCGAAGATATAGTGATAATGTCAAGTTTATGTTTTCCGTGACCTTTGTTGAGTCCCACCCACGCGTCCGAATAAATAGAAGGAAGTTTTAGATGGAGATATGTAAAAGCAAAAGAACCGAAAGCTGACGATGCTGAAGGTTGCCACGATCTATTTACGATTACGCATCACTTGATACTTGACCGACCGTGCTGGATGGTCGTTCCTGTTGATGATGTAGCTCCTAGTTCTAGTTCTAGGTGATGCATCATGAGGGTCGATTTAGTATTAAGTTTCAGTTTTTCCTTCTTGTTGCTCGGGGTGAGGACTCCGTGCGAGGATGGTGATGTCCTCTGGTAAGCAATACACAGCGCTGCAGCGGAGCGCTATATCATCGGGTGCTTCCGACATTCACCGGAGAAGATGACTTCAAGAGATGATGCGGATGTTGATTTTGCATAGGTAGACAACTAGAATAACTTCAATTATGTAATACTTTTTCTACGTAGATGAAGATCGATGGATCGATGTAGACCCCTGGGGGTCGCTGCGGGTACATACAATGTATGATCATGTCCGGTACCGGTAAGGACTTTCGATTTCGCACGTTGTTCACAAGAGGTGCTTGTCACGTGATGTAGAAATGTACAGATAGAAAAATCTACTCGCTCTTAGAATTTGAAAATCAACAACTAGCCAGACGGAAGACAGACCCAGATCGATGGTGACCAACTCGTACCGACTTTTTTTGCTGACCACCAGGGGACTGAGCGCCGACCGTGCCCTGCCACGCGATCAATGGATATTGCTTCGTCTTCGTGTATCTATTACTATTTCGGACTTGTATCTGTCTATCATGATGATGAAATTGTTTTCATTTGAGGGGGCTCGGGCTGCATTATTATGCAAGTGCGAAATTATAGACAGGAAGTGTGTGTTGTATCGATTGACATCAAGCAACTTATATTCCAGAAAATGCGAAAATATTTATATCTAATTCTACAAGAATGGTGGTGATCAATAACAATCAAATTCTTTTTTCCCAAGTGTTTCGGAGTTTTCCATTTGTGGCTGTTCGTTAGAGCAAATGAATTTAAGTTATTGGGGACCGGAGCTCACATATTCCTCATCAACTGCTTTTTTTATACCACCAGACGCAGCTGTGCACTGTTTTTTCCTTCTCGTTTGTCAGCAAGAAGGGCCCCTTCCGTCCTTCCAAGCAGGAGCAAGTAGAAAGTATCTTTATTTTAGTCTGCGTGGGCGGGTTTGGTGTGCCCGCCTCTGCATCCTTCATTCGCGTCATAAAAATGAGTCATCGCCAGGATTCCCACGGTTGGAGATTCTAATTCTCGTTCAGGCATCTCTGATGACTCTCTGTTGAACTTCGAACACTTAATGACCAGCAATAATCATGTATCGAACACTATATTGAATGAGGATGATTTCAGTCATTATCACAGGGGCGGCTACAAAAATAAAGAACCACCAAAATACGCATTTTATGTTTGATGGATGAAGAAACGCATGTTGAAAAAGAGTACTAAAATTGTTTGATGTTAATCGTTTCACCACTCTACCTAGTGTCTCCTTCTCATTTTTGTCATCAATAAAAATGTCTCCATCCAGCTACCAAAACGATCGATAAAAATATTACGGGCGACACTGCAAGTGCAAGATCTGTGCAAAATTGATGGTCTTGTGATATGCAACACAAGAATCGATGATCTAGTCTTCCTAGTGGGTAGCAGAGTCGTGATACAGTGTTTTTAGGGAGTAGGTTAGAGACAAAATGAAAATGAAAAATATATCGCGACGCGGCAATCTTCCACGGCATGAGAGTCAAATGAATCCATCCATGGCATCGTAAGCTGGTACTAATCAAGTTTTCTTTTCTAGTGGTTCGAGTACTTGTGCATGTGGGTCAGAGTCGGCAGCTGCACTATCCTATATGTATATACTAAGTTGGACACCCTCAGGGATATCTTAATGGGGAACGCGAGTTGTAGATACGTAACATGTAGGTCAGCTGTTAGAGGTTTCTGGTTACTTATAGTTTTTGTCAGGCTCAAGCCCATCGCCTTTATAAAACAACACGCATCAGCCGCGCAGCGCCACGCAGGCCGCGAGGGAATGATAAGGACGTAGTAGAGGAACAACAACATCAAGGCAAAAAACAAGACATTTCAGATTATTATATTTCAAAATTTATTGCCTCTCTGATTACTCGTACGCTCGTACGTGGACGAGCTTAATTTAGTAAATCGATCGGGTATGGACTAGTAGGTACTCTAAAAAACATGTGAAGAACAAGATGATATATTTTTTTTAGATTGTTGACGCACGACAATTACAAATGTCCCGATGCATGATCTTAATCTGGTCCCGATGCATGATCTTAATCTGGATGTAACCGATGAATGATCGAGAAATTGTTCGTGTCATTGATAACCATGATGATAATTTCTTCGATCATGCTCACGTCAAGTGACACCGTTACCAGCAGCAAGCATCAGGCTCACATGAAGATGAAAATCACATGTTACAGAGCCCAGTGCTAGCTTTATTGTACCCCATCGACGAAGTTGTTAGTTAATGCTCACTTTATGAAGACGAGCTGGCGGAAATGGAAATCTCGTTCTGATAAAACTGGTATCTTCTTGATGATTGTGATTGATCATGATATCCTCCTTGTCTTACATGTCTCCCTCGCGATGTTGGACATGCGAGTAGAACAAAGCACGAGCTGCGGCCTCAGGAAAGTGTTGTGTTCGGCCTAGAGATCAACAAGAAGCAGACTCTGCGACCTCGGTAGCCTAAACTCTTACTCGATGATAGTCTGAAAGGTGTGTATGAATTCAGCTATGCCTGCAGGCTGGTTCTTCGTCTCTGCTCGGAAAGGAAGTCCAATCATTGCGCTATTGTGCGGAATGCCATCCATTATTGATGCAAGATCAACAAGTACGACTCTAGCTCTAGGATCAGTCAGTACACAACATGTAACGTCCGAACAATAAGATCACATAGATACGGTTCTGATTTTCTTCTTCCGTGTGAAGTAGTAGAAGGACCCTCTCTTCCTTCACCTTCTGTGCGTCGGTCGTGAATCGCAAAACCAGTATAGCACACCCAATATGATCACAACTCAGTCGTACTCAGAATCAGAACAAACAGTCAGAGTAATATTAACTTCCCTAGTGTGCAAGCAAATAATGTAAAGATGGATGCTGATGTAGTGTTAAAGTATTTCCAATATCGTCGTGTAGGATCCATATCACCCGGTGTATCGCTGAAGAAGTTCTGCAATATTTATTTCATCTAATACATCAGAGATAGATGTGGTGTGTCTGTCATTCTAATTGTAGTCCTTTTTTGATGGCTCATCTTGTTGTTTGGGTTGTTGGAAGAGCAGTGTAGATGATTATTCTAACTGCTTTTGTTAAAAAGTTAGCGAAGAATTGCAGAATTCGCTATTCTGCAAAGATACAACATATCTTTTACTTTTGTTTTTTATAGAAGATTCGTTTTTTAAATTCTCAGGCTTATCATGAGAGATTGTTGAAAAGTTAGCTACTAGACGTAGATATTCATAGTAAGTAAGTAGCATCTCAAACAGTAATCCTTATTCATCTCGATCTCTCAGAGGATCTAAGAAAGATGACGAACCCGTTCGAGGGGGATGGCGACGAGCCAGTCGACGTGCCTGGTGATCGAATTACATCAAGCGAGGAGGAAAACCTGGAAAAATCGGTACTCAACGTTTCTCGAAGCTCAACCATGATCTACTCTTAGCTGCACGTGCTGCATCTTAATATTTCGATTTCCTTTTTCGGACAAGTTGTACAAGATATGAATGCGTACTTATGTCAACTCTTGTTGACTCCACCACTAATTTTTGTAGTCTGATGAAAGAGAACAAGAATGGTAGTTGGTTTTCTTGAATAGATTTCATCAATTAATACTGAGTATTAAATACTCGTGCAGGTCGTCCGCGATTCCGAGATGAAGGGTGCGGCTGGAGAGCAGGAGAGTGACGTTGAGAAGGAGGAGCGTTCTGAAGAACAGGGTCAAGAACAGAGTGGTGGATCCGAGCGCGGCGCTGACGATGATGAAGAAGCGAGTAAGGACGCAGGCGCGGGGGACGACAATGGAGACAATGAAGATGGTGCCTCAAAGATCTCGAAAGGGGATGGAGGTGGTGATGAAGAAAGTAATGCTCCGGAAGACGAAAGCAAAGCAGCCGGCGACGAGGAAGATGAGGAGGAGGAGTTTGATCCCGTGAAGGCGCGCATTGAAGAATTAGTCACAGCATGGACTGCCACACACGACGTAAGTCAAGACCGTCTGACAGAGCGCGAAAACTACGATCGCTGGTACGAGAAGGAGCAAGCCGCAGATGCGGGAGAAAAAGGCCTCACAAAGCCACTCTTCCCCGAAATCTGGAAGCACCTCCAGGAGAAGAAGGAACGCGAAGAAAGCGTGGCACGCAAGGAAAAACAAGACGAAATCCGCCGTAAGCGGGAAGAAAAACGAGAGCAGACGAGGAAAGAACGCGAAGAAAAGCGAACGCAGAAGCGTGGAGCGTCCCAGTCGCCAAGAAACCATCGTACTTGAGCAAGAGACTGATACACTGCGTAATCAATTGATGATGTTTCAGCAAACGGTAAAACTACAACTTGCACTGTTGAGGTGTTAGTACCTTCGTTTGAACGATCATATTCACAAAAATTGTATCAACACTATTAACAAAAGCTAAAACAATTTCAGGTGAGGATGAAAAGCGTCGTCGGCGCTCTGAGCCGCGCGACGGTGGCAAGGCTTTCGACTTGCGCACTGCATCCAAAGAGGAGATTCGGGAGCGCAAGATTGCTGACATGAATCGTTTTTTGCCGGTCTTCGAAAAATGCTGCGCCGAGCACGTTTTTGCTCGAAAGCTTCCGTTTAATGTGTACCATCTTGGTGACGTTCTGGAGCATGAGTTCGACTTTACAGCAGACACCGCTCTCTGGGACTTTCGTGCGCTTTTGCGCTTTACGCGTGACGAAACCGCGTCCGATCCGCTCTTCGAGTTTGAGGATCCCAACTACAGCAAGCGTCGTAATTTGACCGCGGGCTTGTTCTTCGTCTGGTTCAAGCACGGCGTGAAGACGGACCTCACGAAGGATCCGAATTTGTACTCGAACAAGTACTACAAGCCGAACTGCGCGCACCGTGCCCCGGAGTTGGCACGCATCAACGAGGAGTGGCAGAAAGGAGAGGCCTGCGGTGAGAGCCGTGCGGAATTTGAATTCTCGAAAAACCAGGTGATGGAGGCGTGGGAGGATGCGTTGAAGGAACTCTGCGAAGACGGACTGCCCGTTCCGCTGCCGGTCCACGTGAAAGAGGTCACAAATTTCTTGTTGACCAAGCGGCCGGAAATGGCCACTCTCAATACGGAATTCGTGGACTCTCACGACATCTGGCGCGAAGCCAAGCGCCGTGGCATTGTCGACCTGGACGGTGACCGTGGCGAGAGCACGCGCATGATCTGGGTCAAGTTTCCGTACATTGCGAAGACCAATCCGAAGCCGGATCACGTGCTGGGTGTCGGAAACCCAGACTCGAAAGAATCGAGCAATAATTACGAGCGGGATCAGCACTCGAAGGAAGACAGGAAGGGTAATGGCAAGGGCTTCTTCAGCAAAGGCGTGGGAAAGTCGGGAGGCAAAAACTACGGGGAATCCTCCAGCGGATTCCGCTGGGATCCATGGTCACTGCCGCCAACGAGCTACAAGGGTCAAGCGTACAATAACAAAGGCTCATCGCGTGGCGGAGGCATGATTTCTCGCTTTGATTCTGGACCCGACAGCAAAGGCTACGGGGACGCAAAACGTCGCGGAGATTCTCGAGGACCGCGCGCACAGCGAGCTGCTGGTACCAAAAAACACAATTTTTTATTTGACGAGACCTGACTTGATATTCTCTGGGCTTCGCAGGGAATCCATCTTGATGTCGATCATGCGGTTACTTGTTCCACTACATGGAGTTCCACTCATAGCGTCTTCTCATCAATCCTCAGATCATTTCCTTATCTGCTTAGAATCCAAGTATGACAATGACTGGGGATTTTAAGTCATCGAGCGTCACTCTCTCTCTTTCTGTGAAACCAATCGATGTAAAATTTTCTATTGCACCAGGAGGAAAACGCGGAGTTGAGCTGACACGACCGGCAGACCGCGAGCGCATGGACCGTGAGCGGATGGACCGAGATCGCGCAAATAAGGTAGATCGGGATGGTGAGGCCGCACCTCTCCCACCACGCGGAAGAGCGCCTTTGCCGCCACCAAGAAAGCGAGCGGGATCAGTACTTTTTATTTTTTACCTTGAACAAGATGTGTGCGGTCACATTGTAGTTGCTCGTTTAAATATACAAATGTTGTTGCTCATGCAGATGCTTTCCATCGATCTACAATCGGCTGCACAAAAATCATTCCAAACACCTCAACTCAAACTCTCCTTGATGAATGGTGATCGTCTATCCGATTCCACCAAACTATGATTTTTAATAGGACTCGCCGCCGAAAGATCGCGCCCGTGACAACAGCGAGGAGCCACCTCCACCCCGTCGTGAGGAAGCTGCACCTTTGCCTCCCAGCCGCGGCAACCGTGGCACGGAAGATCGACGTGATAAGGACACTCGAGGACGCGGTGAAATCGCACGCGCAGGATCGCGAGCCGAGCCACCGCGAGATGACAGGCGGCGAGGAGACCAGGACAATCGCCGTGACGATAATCGCCGCGATGGCGGACGTGCTCCTCCTCCAGCTTCCAGGGACGAAGATCGTCGTGGAGCAAGAGATGAAGACCGGCGCCCGGCTCACAAAGACGATCGTCGTCGCGATGCTCCTTCAAAAGACGATGATCGGAGTCGTGGACGCGGGCGTGACGATGACCGACGTGGCAAGGTAAACGATGACGATCGACGCGGAGCAAACCAGGCATCCAGCAGAGGAAGAGGTGGAGGACGTCCCAATGGTCGCGATGCGCCGCAGGACCGGCGTCAAGAGCGCGTGCGCAGCGATCGTTCCCCAGCTCGTGGTGACGATGACAGAAGGGCTAATGGCCGCCAGAATGACCGAGGTAACGGCCCCTCGTCGCCGACGCGCAATAGAAGTGGTGGAGACCGCGAGCGAGATGACCGTCGCAATAACGACCGCGACCGATCCGCGTCTCGCAAAAACAACGATCGTAGATCCCCGGAAACACGTGACAATCGCGAACCAGAGAACAACGCTGAAAACAATGATCGAGCGCGCTCTGTCTCGCCACCTCGCGAAAAGAGTGAGGAGCGCTCCAAGACACCTCCACCGGTCGTTGACGAGGGCCCGGCTCCGGTGAGGCCTCCACCAAAGCGTCAAGACAGTCGTAGACGTGACAGACGCCGAGATCAGCCGAAGTCTATTCCGGTTTCGCCACCGCGTATTGGTGTTGCAGGACCAATAAGACGCCGTCGAAGCAACTCACGTCGCGCTCGTGGCCGGGCGGACAGCCGCCGGCGCAATCAAGGTGCGAAGCGCCGCCGATACGACTCGCGTTAAAAACTTTACATGTATGCTTGACGTTTGAATGTTCAGATAAGTATTCAGTCACAGCTAGTGTACGAGTACTCTCTCGATCATGTAGCCTAAATCACGTAGGGATGTTGAAATGAAAATAGAAGTACTTCTGAGTGAGTTTTTATTCATGATTCAAATGGATTATATGTTTCTTTCAATGTCTGGTAGGCTCTCCACCTGAATCTTGAGCAAGAAGATACGAAGTATAACATCAGCTTGCTCAAGTACACCATTTTGGTTGGTGCGCAGACCGGGGCACTTCTTACCGACACTGCCCTTGACTTATTGACATCATTTCAGGGCGGCAAGCATACCCACACGACTGCAACTACTAAAAGATGTTTTGTTTTATGTAAATGAGGTGCCGACGCCCGACACAAACACATCAGCCACATAGATATAGAAATAGAAAAGGAAGTGCAAAAAGTTTTTATCATTAGCATTGCAAGGAACACGACAATGAAAGACAGAACTCACTTCCTTATCCCTGCGTCAATCTTGTTGTGCTAACAAAGAGGACTCACTGTTGGCATAGGATACATTAAGTGCAAGAGCAGCTGCAAGTAGCGGAGTAAACAGCAGGCTTCGAGGGAGATCAAGGTCTTGGGCTTCTAGGACAATCTAGTGGTACAGAGGAAGGACCCTCAATTTGAGTCTTCAAGAAAAAACTGCTTCGGAGTTTACTACGCTGTGGCGGTCTGGTCTTGGTGCACGTGTAGCCTCCTCGTGATGGCGTTCGGATATTTATGCCATGAGAGCGAGAAAGAAAAAACTTAGATCTAATGAAATAAGCGTGTGAGATGACCAACTGCTGAATCAATTCTAGTTTTTTTAAGAATGCGAAATTGGTAGTCGTACCCATTGAACCTTGATTTAACTTCCCCGCATAAGTTGTCAGAGAATCGTGATCTTCCCCGCCCTCTTCTATACTTGATGACCTTCGTCGAACACTTACATATACAAATACAGTATCTAAGAAGACAATTTCAATTATGTACAAACATGATTCAAGCGAAGTTGCTCATCATACAAAGATGACCATCATGACCCGCAAAACACGTGAACGACGACGAAGACTAGGATTAGTTGTCCACCGAACATAGATATTTGGAGCAAATGGGTAGCACTAGACTATTTATCTCTTGATCTTGCTTGATTATGTTTCTCTTATGTCGATGTTCTTCTTCATTTAACCGAATACATATGTTAAAAGTTTTCAAAGACAAGTCAGCAATCCGTGTGCCATCCCCATGCGCTCTTATCAACTGTGGATTCCCCCAAACAACATGACATATTATTTTTCACACGCCCACTGACTCACTTTAGTTGTAGCTCGCATTTCTTGAAGGTCTTGAGGATCTTATTTTTCTTCTAGTCCACGAGCTTCGTTGTGTTGTGTCTTGATCATTCAAATCTTGAGGAGGGTCACGAGTTACGCGTGTGTGGTGTTTTACGTGGTTAGCCCTGGAGGAGAGATACGATCCTTATATATAGAATTTCCGTCAACAATGTGATCCTGAAAAAGCTCATCGCGATGACACCCTCGTCAGACACAGCCCTCTGGTCTTGTTCTGAGAACTAGCACTTTCCACCACCTTCCTCACTTGGGTTGATGAAGTTGGCCAAGCAAAGATGGAGATAATCCATCAGGTTACGCCTCTGGAAGATTAGAAATCCTGTGAAGCTTGGCGAGCGTCCGTGTGTAGTGAAGTAAGATGTCTGAGGCACTTACGATATTTCATTTTTTCATCTGAATGAAGTAGCAAGTAGTGAAGTTGTCGAAAATTAGGCGCTGAAGATGCGCAGGCAGTGATGCTGAACCCTGAGTAGTGCGGTAAAGCTACTAGTTCATGGGGTTAGAGTTTGCAAGAGAAATATATAGCGACTTCTGTACTTCGGCGCTACTAGTAGTATTTTAACAAGAGTACAGATACCTTCCACAATTCGGCATTCGCTGCAGTTCATCATGCAGTGACTTGTAGTTCAACAAAAGCGCTTATTACGAGACAACCATGACTGATGCTCATGCTGCTTCGTCTTCAGCAGCTGAAGTGATTATGATGACACCCGAGGAAAAGGCGGGTACCACGAAAGGGAGTGACGACAGCGACGCAACTGCAAACGGGAATCCTCGCAAAAACTTCAAGGTGAGGCTAGATGAAGTAGCGAAAGTCTTTGACTTGCCGGCTTTGGATCTTGGCAAAACGACAACCCTCCCAAGCTACGATGACTGGAACTATCGAGTATTTAGTTCGTCCGCTTCCTCGTCATTCGTTGTCAAGTGCATGCATGCAGAGCATGTTTCGCGGGACCACGTCATGCTACAGGTTGAGGCCATGCGAGAGTTGAAGAGAAACGGCGTCGCAGTACCTGTACCTGTAAGAAAGCGACCAAATACAGATGAAAGTCAGAGGAAGCCTAGTGGTGCGGACGACAACGACGTAGAGAACTTCGTTCATTGCAATGAGGAAGATCGAGCGTTATACCACGTCATTACGTTTATCGATGATTCAGATCTCTATCCCGAAAGAGCTCGCAAGAGCGCGAAGTTTCTAGAGTGCCTTGGTGGTGTAGTGGGCGACATACATTGTGCGACGCGCAATTTCGTAGAGGGTGACGTGGCAGTGTCCTCGGACAAGCGGGCATGGCGAAAGAAGGTACTTCCACTTACATATAATACTGGCCCCCTGGTGTGGTTCCCCAGGGGAAGGATACGATGGGAACCAGAGGCACTTGCTAGACAAAGCACACGCACGGACATGCTTGAACAGGCGCCACAATTGAGAAAAAGCCCGAGAAGTGTCAGCCTTGGCGGGGCGTCATCGGGCGCGTTGCCGCGGGGCGGCGAGCCTTATTAGTGCGCGCATGTGCCTCCGGAGGATATGTGGACGCCTGGCACGGGTGGAAACGCCTGCGGGCCTATCCTCGTCAAGAGGAAGGCATAAGCAGGCACATGCCACGCCTTGGGAATTTGTTCGCCGGGGTCTGAGGTATTCAGAGGCCACGCCGGCCCGCGGGGGTTCAGAGGTGTAGGGCGGTGCCCGTGGGGTGCGGCGCTGCAAGCAGATGACGCGACTGCACGCAAGCAGGCGACGCGACTGCATGAGGCCGCCACCTCGCACCATCGGGCAGCGCGGGCCACGGACTTGGGCGAGAGGAGAGCGTGGCGCCAAAGCTCACCCCCTAGCTGCGTGGGCCCGGGGCTGGGGGGAGAGGAGAGCGGGGCGCCAAAGTACGCCGACGCCTTCACTTTCTGCATCCGTTTCATATCCTAACTTTCAACATTCAGGCCCTAACCCTCATAATTCAGGTCCTAACTTTCAAAATTTATGTCCGAACTTTCGGAATTTATGTCCTAATAACTTGCAAAATTCATACTCGTGTCGTCCTAACTTTCAAAGTTCATGCCCTACTTTTCAAAATTCGTGGCCTACCTTTCAAAATTCATGGCCTACCTTTCCAAATTCATGGCCTAGCTAACTTCCAAAATTCATGGCCTAACTTTCACAATTTGTGTCCTAACTTTCCAAATTCATTCCATGGCTTAACTTTGGAAGTTCATGAGTATAGCAACACGCTGCGCGTTTTTGCGGTGTTGTGGTTGTCTCAGCGTGTCTTGGTCTTCAAAATTCAAAATTTAAAACCAAAATTCAAAATTGAAAAATCAAAACCAAGGCAAAACTTTACAAGTAAAGAGCTTTATCGATATATTACTTGCTCTAAAAATTCTAATTTAAGTTTCTAGTTCTAGTTTTACTTACGAGGACAGACTCAGGCTCACTTTGAATTTGATAGTGTTTGATTGAAGTTTCATACCATGGTATTGATTTTTGTGCTACTTTTTATGTTCAGAAGTAGGCCTGTTCTTGCTTTAGCTCATGATGGTTTGCTCAGGTTTCCACCTTTACGTGGCAGTGGTCGACGTCAACAATTCCGGTTGAAGTTCAAAAGCTGTACAAGTTTGTGGCTGACAATTCGGAGCGTCTCTCCGAACTTCAGCAGCTGTGTGCGCGCGTGGCTGACGTGCTTCCTGTGACCGAGGAGAAAGTTGAGAAATGGGTCGCTGAAGAGGAAAAGCTTCACGACGAGACTTCCCCGGGAACAGCAGCTCAGCTTGCGAGGTTTCTCTTTCGCCGACAGTGGACGCACACCGACGTAAACGATACGAATTTGTTATTCAAGAAGTTGGATTTTGAGAAGGATGAATGGGAGTGCAGCGCAGTTCTAGATTTTGGCGACTCATGCTGGGACTACGCCCTGTACGATGTTGGTATTTGTGCTGGCTACGCGTGTATGCACAACGAGGATCAGCTTGCGGACGTGATTGCCGGTGTGTGTCGAGGGTACAGGAAGGCGCTCTTAGCCAAAAAGCTAAACGTTGAAACTTCCAGTACTATTAATGAAAATTTAACATCGACGAACACGAACATGTTGATGTCACTCGATGAGACTGTTTTCAAGCGATGGCCACGCTCGTGCGTGCGAGTCGTGTATATAGCAGCACTCGCGAGAAAGTTGCTAAGCTACGCTTGCGCTCTTGAGCAGATCGCGTTACAGCCAGGAAACGAATATGTAGCCCATACCGCAGAGCCCACCCGGCGGGCCGCGCTAGGACACCTAGACATTTGGAAGACTGTAGATGAAGCTGTAGATGCAATCATGTCGAAAATATGATCTCATCGAGATTGACTCCACCACCGTTTTCGCTCTGCTCTTGCTCTTCAGAAGTTCTATCCATGACAATATGTAACCCTAACGCACGCACGGCGTTTTCATCTGGTCTCATTCATGATTTTCAAGTGGTATTCACGCAAAGTGTGTAAATGAAGGTATATCTTCTAGCAAAATCTTTATCTTCTGTTTGAAGATACAGTTTCAGCTTGCTTACGTGTGATGTTTCCACCGCAGATTGAGAGAAGAGTAAGAGAGAGAGAGTCTTCACACCGATATACTTCGTTGAATTGTAGACCCAGCTCTGTCCCCTCCTCTACTTCTGATCCTGAAAAGATAATGTACTACTATTCGGTACAGATTAACTTGATGCCTAGTGATCTGTGATATTTATTTTGATTCTAACTGGTTTCTGAAAATTGGTGTGTGAAATGTGAATAAAAACGCCGTCAGTTCACAGTCCGTTAGAAAACCACTTGACCATATTTGATCACGTGTGGCTTGAGGGAGAGAAGGACAAACCCGAACGTCAAAAATGAAGAATGAGCGGTTTCCTTGATGGCTTGCATGCAACGTTAGGCGGTAGGTCAGAAGAGCCCTCAGGTGCCGCTTCAGGCACGAAGAAGAAGGACGCTGATGATGCAGATCTGCCGACGGCTGGAAGTGCTATTCGAGATGCGGTGGACGCTGGTGCTACGTCGGAGGACGAAGGCGAATCGGTCCGTGCGAGTCCGGGTAAGAAGAAGGGCTCGCGAAAAGAAAAACGCCGCGATGGCGGAAAAGAGACGTCGCGAAATAGAGGACGTCGCGGGGAGTCTGGCACTAAGGACAAAAGTAAAAGAGGAGACGATAATCCTGACGATGATGAGGAAAGCGAAGACGACGAATATGAGAACAACAAGAACGAGAATGAGGATACAATGTCCGAGTATGGCGCAAAGGCGACTGAAGCGGTTCTCAATCTGGGATTCACGCCTGCAGTGACTGCGACAGATTTCCAAGCTAGATGGAGAGAAGCACAGCAAACAGCGATACGCGATGTCACTGACCGTCCAGAAGCTCAAACGAAAACATTCCTCAGAAGTCTCTCTGGTTACTTGTTGAACGCCTTCGGACTTTTCTGGAACTCACGAAAACCGAAAAGTAGCGAGAGGTCCAGGCTCGCTACTCTACCCGCATCAAGCGCCGCTTCGAAGCTGAACGGACAACAGGGCGCCAACCTGTCGGAGAGCATCGGTTCGCTTGGCGGGTTCACAAAAGATTATCATGCAGCCGCTTCTGACTCTTCCTTGAATGTAAGGAACAACCTAAAGTTAGAGAAGAGGAAAAACGCCATAAACTTGTCTCCTGGTGTCATATCTGAGGAGACGCTAGTGCGGCAATGGGAGTTGGACATTTCTCGGCTTGCGATCTCCAGGATCGGACCTGCCGATATCTTTCCAGCCGACAGGCGGCTTCTTGTCCTGTATGTCGGACGCGACGAGCGGGAGTTCGTAGTCGAAGGAGAAATTTGCGCTACGGGTCGCGTTGGTCGCATGTTTCGAATCCCAGTTCCAAGTCACGCACTTTCTACTCCTGCCACCTCGACCATGATCAGTGCAAACAAGTCGCCAATCAAAAACACGGGAAATAAGGTTGGCTCCACCTCTGAAGAGACTGTAACCACAACAAAGACGGCAAAACTTGCCCCGGCCGCGACAGGAGAAGGGGCTAGCTATGTCGCGGAGGAGGCTGAGCCCGTGCGCCTCTTGGACAGTTCGGATGGGAACATAATGGCACTTGGCGGATCAGACACTCAAAGGCATCTGCAGGCTCGCATGTCATTTTCCTACGCGCAACTGGAGAAACAGAGCTTGGTAGCGGAATTGTGGGAGCTGCGGCGTTTCGGTCCCAACCGCTTGGACTGCTGGCTCTCTGTGCCCCTATCCGACATTGTTTTTGACACGAATGCCGATGGCGGCGACCGCACCCGTTCGCTGCGTCTTGCGCGCGTAGACAAATTTGGATATCGGACGGAGCGAGTCAAGCTTGCGCTGAGCGTGCAGCTTGAGCAGGTTCATGAGTTTGACATCCTGTTTCGTGACTTCAGCTTGTACCGCTCTGCCGAGGCCTCAGAACTCTGCGCACGCGCAGCGCTCGGCGATTGGCACGGCTTAGCCGCAGAAAGATGGTTAAGGAATTGGTCACGTTGACGCTTTTCAATTTTTTTCGTTGCATATTCTCTTTATGAGACGAAAGGCAAAGAAAAGCGATAATGACTGCATAAGTAGATGATAGTATTATCTAGCACATAAGTGATAAATTTTTATTTTATAGATTGTCAATCCTGAAGCTGAAGATGGACATTTAAGAGGGGACTTCTTGAGAGTGTCATCTAAGATGACCAGCGGCGTTGCAGCTGGCAGCGCAGCGAACGCAGTTTGCGAAGGGGCTCGTTGGGCCTGCTCATTTACGACTTATCATGCACCGGATCGATGCGAGAATCAACGAAGCGTATATCGCGTCTATTCGACGAAACAAAGCCGCTGAAATTGAGATCACTGCAGCGGGTGCTATGGTAAACGAGAAAACTGGCGACGATAGGACGAAAAGCACGAATGGCCACTCGAACGTCAGCGACTATCTCGCGATGGTGCGCTCAATCCAGTCTTCCCCGTATCAAAGGGGCGACTGGTTCATGCATGAGTTTCTGGCTTTAGAGGCGAAGGAGGAGGAGGAGCCGACAAGCACACGCCCTGAAAGGGGCAAGATGGCGCGAATAGCCCAAACTCAGAGAAGCTTTTTCGCGCTTCTTTCAGCTGAAGGAGAGAAAATGGCGGAAATCTATGATGCAGATGAGTATTTCTTTGCGCACGTGCTCGCCTTCATTCTAAAAAACTATGATTTCGCTCTTGCGGATGCAATCCAGTTGCATGACAAAGAAGTCGATGAGCTGAAATTGCGCGGGTCGAGTGGTCACCAGAAGACCGTGGACACGAGTGAAAATAAGGAAGAGGACAGAGAAGGAGATGGATACAGCAATCAAGACGAGGAACCGACGACTCCACGGGCAGAACGACGCGCGTCTGAACCCCGTAAGGAAGATGGTGATGCAGATGTTGAAGTTGAATCATCTGGGTCGAATCGTGCTTCTGGTGTGCCGACCGGAGGTGTAATGATACTTCTCATGATTTTTTTCTTCGTTTTGTTTATTGAAAAAGCTGAACGTGGATCATGATGTCGCGATCAATTAAGCTAAAAACATGTCGGCATTCTACACCTACTTCAATCGAAATCTAGCTGCAATAAACATTTTCCTTGTCCTTATGGCCTTCCTATGGAATGTCCTGCAGGCAAAGCCGCCTGGCCCTGGACATGTAGCGCCTCGCGCCAAAGCTTCCCCAGAGCCAATCTCTCTTTCGTGGCCTTTGGGAAATTCTACATCAAACGCTGAAGGCCGTTTCACATCAAGCGACACACACAATAAAAAGGGCAGCGTGCTGGGAGGCCTTTGCTGCGACAGTCTCTGCGTAAGTCCGCTTTTCGTGTGGCACCACACACAAAAAGGAGCAGTGCGCGTGGCCTTCGCTGCGACAGCCTGTGCGCAAGTCCGCGCTTCGTGTGTCACGGGATACAAACAGGGGCAGGGTGCGTGGCCTTCGCTGCGACAGCCTGTGCGCAAGTCCGCTTTTCATGTGGCACCGCACACAAAAAGGGACAGTGTGCGTGGCCTTTGCTGCGACAGCCTCTGCGCAAGTCCGCACTTCGTGTGGGACCGCACTCAGAAAGGGCCAGCGCGCGTGGGCTTATTTGCTGCGATAGCCTTTGCACAAGTCCGCTTTTCGTGTGGCACCGCACACAAAAAGGGGCAGTGTGTGTGGCTTTTGTTGCGACAGCTTACCTTTGCGCGCGGCCGCATTTAGTGTGTTGCCACACACAAAAAGGGTAGCACGTACGCGCGTGGCCTTCGCTGAAACTTGACTGTTGGTAAAGCTTCGGAGTTCGAAAATCCCATTCCCAGTGAAAGGGCATAGGGAATGCGTTAACAGACTCTTCTTGACAGGTTCTTTAATCGCATCGCGAACGGTGCAGGCCCCCATATCGAATGCCGCCACGGATAACGTCATGGCTGTTAAAACGCTGTTGACAATCGATGTCTTAGGCACTCAGCCTACTCGGATGTTCACGAGCCAGAGAGGCGGCAGGCGACTGCGCTGGCCGCGCATGAGCACGCGAAAAGGTCGCTACCGATTCCGAGGAACGCTCTCAGAGCTTCAACAAACCGACATCACGATTCGAGTTTGGAGCAACCAGCGGACCGCCTTTTCCCGGCGGAGCTTTACCCTTTTGCATCGTGCAGCGCAAGCGAAAGTGGCCGGTCAGGTTTCAAGGGCGTTCTCCAGGTTCTCGCGCCGTATGACGCTCAGCGACCAATCTGAACGGCGAGGATCATCCGGGCCAGGTTTTTTTCGTAAGCTCTTTGGTGTGGAGTCAATATTGGCTGAGCGTCGGCGAACCGCTGTAGGCGGTAAGCTAGATGCAAATCGTGGATCGATGTCCGCATCTAGTAGAAGATCCAGTTCGGTAAGCGGCCTCATTCGAGGAACTGCGAGCTCTGTTCGAAGCGCACTGATTGACCGCCCTCGAGAGGCGATGGCTGTTGCCCACGTCGCGACAGCACTACAAGCAAATCACGGAACGCGCGGAGGGGCCGCTCGTACGGTTCGGAATATTTTCAGCCGTAGGGGTCGGAAGGAGCTCGCTGCTGACTTCTTACATGGAATCACAGTACGGCGGCAGCGGCTGGTATGCCTCTCTACTGCGCGCCTACAGCTGTCTGTGCTAAGTCAGGGCTCGTTTGAAGAGAGACTAGCACCCTCTGGGGCCGTCCGCAATCGGTTGGAAGCGCCACTTCAATACATCCTTGGTGACGGAGTTGACCTAATCGATCTCGTGGACCCTAACTATACGACAGAAAAGGACAAGCAGCTATTTGAGTTTCCCCACGGTGGTGTACCCTCAGACGAGAAAGCCGCTGGTGCTGCTGTACCTCGAAGTAATAGTAAGACATCCGAAAGGGATAGTTCTGCTGCAGCTGCACCTTTAGCCGAGCTTGCTGGAAGTGGCGGAGTATCTTCCCTGTCCATGCGTGTGTTTTCACCTTCTAGACGAAGCGGCGCGGCAGCGACCACACGAGGCAGGAG